TAACATACCGGTTACCATAACGCATATGTTACCATAACGCCAAGTTACTATAAGGTCGTATCCCTGGCTGGTGGCAAGAAGTTGGTGGCAAGAATTTTGCGCATGCGATTGGTTAAAAAAACCGCTTGACCAATCGCATTGGCCGGGCGTCTGTTTTGGACCAATCGCGCGCGGAAACTTCTTGCCACCAACTTCTTGCCACCAGCCAGGGATACGACCTAACACATATGTTACCATAACGTGCATGTTTGGACGATGGGTGGTGGTGGTGGCAACGGCGGTGGCGGCGGTGGTGGCGGTGGCGGCATTGATTGCATGTAGGAGCAACACATACACACCATACAGGTTACACGCGACCGTGCTAACTACTCACAGCATTGAGGAATCGAACGACTGCTGTGGCGGTGACGGTGCTGCCTACCGGACATGATGTGCAGCTGCAGGGCGTGCAGTGCATGCTGTCATCACACCGCACCATCCGTGATCACACATGTTTTGAGTCGGCTCAAAATGAGCCGTGTTTTGAGTCGACTCAAAACACGGCTTGGAGCGCATGCTATCACTACACCACACCATCCGCGGTCAAACATGCGATCATCACACATGCCTTCTAACCAACCACCCACCAGCAACTTACCACATTGAGGAATCGAACGACTGCTGTGGCGGTGATGGTGCTGCCAGGCATGATGTGCAGCTGCAGGGCTTGCAGCGACGCCACCTGGGGGGGTAGGCGCCTGGAGGTGGTGGGTACCAAAGGGGGAGCAGGGGAAAAGGAGGGGGAAGATATCGACTCTCAAGGCATGATGTGCAGCTATAGGGCTTGCAGCGCGGCCAGCTGCGGGGGTACGTGCCCTACAAGCGGTGGTAGGAGGGTAGGGTAAGATGATATGTGTGTGCTGGTTTAGGAGATGATGATGTGCAACTGCAGGGCCTGCAGCGAGGTCAGCTGCGGGGGTAGACAGGCTGTGGGTGGTGTGACGGTAGCGAAAGGGGGTAGGAAAAGGGAAAGGGGGATATGATGTTTTCCACCAAGGTGAACGCGTTCCGTTCCAGCACATCAAACCGATGGAATTGCACAGCATACTCACTGCAGGACAGGGTGGGCGGCACGCAGCGACTCACTGTAGCACAAGGCGGGCGGCAATGAGTCCAGGGCTCTGCGCTCCCGCCCACACAAAGTCCCAATAGCCCTCCAACAGGGGTGAGCTGGTGGGTGGCGGCGGGGCAGGGCGGAATGAGCGGGGGAGGGGCAAGGGGTAGGAGGAAGGGGAGGGGCAAGGGGCAGGAGCAGGGGGCAGGGGGCAGGGGGCGGGGGGGAGGGGGCAGGGGGAGGGGCAAGGAGCAGGGAGCAGGGGAGAGGGGAGGGTTAAGGGGCAGGAGCAGGGGGCGGGGGAGGGGCAAGGGGGCAGCGGGGAACATGAGGCGCCTGGCAGGATGTTTTTGAGAGTTCTCAAAAGCACCCTTAGCAGGCTTGCAGCGTTTCGAACCCGTCAAAATTCAAACATGAGGCGCCTGGCAGGAGGCTCGTCGCTCCCCCCCACACAAAGTCCCGATAACCCTCCAGTCGGGGGGAGCTGGTGGGCAGGGGCGGGGGCGGGGCGGGGGCGGGGCGGGGGGAAGAGAGAAGGGTGAAAGGGGAAAGGGGGAAGGGGGAAGGGGGCAGGGGACAGGGGGCAGGGAAGAGAAGGGAAGGGGTAAACCTATTTTACCATACCTGCTGGGGCGGGTGGTGGGGTTGAGTCGCTCCAGAGCCACCACTCTCTCGGACACTTGTGTCTTCCCCGCAGCGTTGCCCGTGCATGTGGTAACCGCATTGCTGCTTATGGTGGTAACCCTACTTCTGTAATGTAACCCTGCTGTCAGACCTGGTGGGGCGGGTAGTGGGGTTGAGTCGCTTTAGAGCCAGCACCCTCTCCGACACTTGAAATTTCCCGGCTGCGTTGCCCTGTGCATGTGGTAACCCTACTCCCCCGCATGGTAACCCTACTTTACCTTGTGATAACCGCAATTCACTGCACCTGGTGGGGCGGGTGGTTGGGTTGAGTCGCTCTAGAGCCACCACTCTCTCAGACACTTGAATCTTCCCTGCTGCATTGCCCTGCCCTGTGGATAGGGACTCCACACCGCCTGCATCTTTAATCTGCGGAGAATGGGGGAGTAGGTGGAGCAAACGGAGAAGATAGAGGGAATTTGGCGGTAGAGAGGTGAGGAAAGAGCAGAGGGAGAAAAAACCGTTCTCTGGGGGTTTCGGCGAAAACGAAAGCACAGTGCTGCAACTTGAACTTGAAAATTTGACTTGGAAGGGGGGGGAAATGCGTATAACGCGTACGGCAAGTAGCAGCGCCTCTTTAGCGGCGACTCGCTCCATTTCCTTCGCGAACGACGAGACGCGCATGTCTCCTCCTCCCGACATCGCCGCCGCCGCCGTTGCCGTTGTTACCGCTCTCCTGCTGACGTGGCGACACGTGGACCTATTTCCACCCCTACTATTCAACCTCGCACCGCGTTGGTGGTGGCAGGAAGAGAACGATATGCCACGTGTCTGCATGGCATTGGACGAGGCAGGGCGACATTTGCTAGGAGAGTCGCAAGAGAGCTGTGCCGTTGCTGGCACGTGGGCGCGAGAAACCGGCGGCGAAAGCGCGAGCGAAAAGGACGACGCCATTTGTAACAGCATGTCGACGGAGAAATACTATCTAGGGTCGAGCGATAGCTGGTCGCGGAAAGTGCGGCGAGAATGGCGCAGATAGGCTACGAGCAATTGCAATGGTTGGGCTGGATTGGGAGGGGAGGTGGGGCGGAAGAAGCGAGGGGCAAAAACAAGCGGGAGGGGCTGAGCACGCCGGAGGCAAAAGTGCGCCGCCCGTGGGGCTCGAACCCACGACCACAAGGTTAAGAGCCTTGCGCTCTACCAACTGAGCTAGGGCGGCTGTTTCTACTAGCTTCTAAAATGTTTTTTAAAACTTTTCGTCTATCCCGCGAGTTGCGACCCATTAGCTGCAGCCAATCACGCGACACTATGTACATCACGTAGCTAGTCGTTCACCACTATCTAGAAGTCGTTCCTACCCTTTACCTCCACCCCAGCATCAACGCGGCTCGATGTTGGACGACTGGGAGGACGAGCGGGAGCGGGTCGTAGACGGCGGAAACTACGGCGGGAATCACGGCGGGGGTTACGGCGGGCAATATGGCTACCAAGGATACGGCGCGGTAGGTCATACGGCTTGACGGCGCAACTCAACGACGCGATGGTCTTACCGCTCCTTACCGCTCCCCACCGCCCCTCACCGTTCCCTTTCCTTCTCCACCCCGCACCACTCTTCCTCCTCCCGCTCCTCCCTAAACAACCCAGCCTCAGGACGAAGGCAAACCACGTCAGCAGCAGCAGCGACGGTTCAGCGACTCGAGCGAGCCGCTGTTCAGCGTGGAGGTGCTTAAAGCCCATGCAGCGCTGGGCCACGGCCGCCGCACCGCATCACGTGCGGGGCGCCGCATTGCAATGTACTTGCTATAACCACTCCTCACCGCTCTGCACCACTCCTTTTCCCCCACCCCTAACCAACCGCCCCCCCTTAACAACCCGGTCCTCAGGACGAGGATGAGCCACGTCAGCAACAGCCACGTCAGCAGCAGCAGCAGCAGCGGTTCAGCGACTCGAACGAGCCTCTGTTCAGCGTGGAGGTGCTTAAAGCCCACGCGGCGCTGGGCCATGGGCGCATCACGTGCAGCGCCGCGGGCAACTCCGTGGTTGCCGTAGGGACTTCTGACGGCTGGCTCGTGCGATACGACTTTCTGAATGATGAGCTGGCAGGTGGGTGGGATGACGTGGCAGGCCAGGGATGGAGGGGAGGAATTCATGAATGAAGTAAGGAGGGTGGACGGCAGGGGGAAGCGGCGCGGCCGGCAATTCCGTGGTGGCGGTGGGCACGTCCGACGGCTGGCTCGTGCGATATGATTTCCTGAATGATGAGCTGGCAGGTGGGCAGGCGGGCGGGCGGGCGGGCGGGCGGGTGGGTGGGCGTGGGATGAGTGGGTGCGATTCCATTGTCGAGGCACCTCAGAAAAGAGCAGCGCAGTGGTGAGCAGCAGCAATGTGAAGATCTGTGTTTCCCGACCTTCATACACTCACTCTCCATCCTACCTCCCTCCCTTCCTCCCCGCCTCCCCTCTCCCTCCCGCCTCCTAACCTTGTCACCTTCTTCAGAGATCAACCTAGCATCCTACATCTTGAGTCGACGCAATAGTCTCCTTGCCTGACCTGACTTCTAAACCCACTTCCCGTCTTCCCCTCTTCCATCTCTCTCCTTCCCTTCCCTTCCTTGTCCCCTCTCTCTCCCGCCCACCTCCTAACCCGTGCCACCTTCTTCAGAGATCAACCTAGCGTCTTACATCCCCCCAGACTCTTCCTCCTCCTCCTCCACCACCTCCTCGTACCCATCTGCAACCCCCATCAACGGGTCCTACCGCATACACGTGAAGAGCGTATTCGTTGACCCGGGCGGCCGCCACACACTCGCCGTGCTGCAACACACGCCCCTCGGCGCCCCCGCAACACCCCCAACGACCAGCAGCAATAGCGGCGGCAGCAGGGCAAGTGGCAGCAGCAGTAGCAGTGGGAGTGGCAGCAGTGGGCATGGGCATGGGCATGGGCATGGGAGTGGCAGTGGGACGGGGGGAGCGGTGGCAGGGATGTATGCAGCAGGGACGTACTGGGATGTGGTGTATGTGCATGGGGGGTGGCAGCGCGCGCGGCATGTGGCACGGCATCGCATGGCAATCGGGGCTGTGGCTGCTGTGGCATGGCAGCCTGCTCCCATGGCACATGATGGTATGTGCGGGGGTGGTTGAGTATGGGGCATGGGACATGAGGAGTGGAGCATGTGGCACTCCGTCGCATGGCCATTGGGGCTGTTGCTGCTGTGGCATGGCAGCCTGCTCCCATGGCACATGATGGTATGTGTGGTGGAGATTTGGGGAATTCATGCTGGGCTGGTATGATGGGGCGATGGAATGGATATGGTGTGGAGAGTGAACCACATGGCATGGCACATGATGATGGTATCCTTTGTTTTGTGCCGCTCTGCACCGCACTGCACCATTATGCACCACTCTTTACCACGTCTCACCCCCCCCCCCCCTTCTCTCCACGGTAGGCAGCATGCAGGAGATTACTCTAGACCACCCATGCCTATCCATCCCATGGCATGCCTGCGCCGCTTTGAACCACTCTGCACCACGTCTCACCCCCACCATCTCTCTCCACGCCAGGCAGCACGCGGGAGATCATTCTCGCCACGGAGGGCGGGCGGCTCTACGAGGCGGCGTTCGAGGAAGCAGACAAGCGAGACCGCCCGCTGAAGCTGCTCTTCGAATTGCCCGACGCTGAAAAGTGCCCCTTTCGGGGCATCCAGGTATGTGCTCTTAAAGGAAGGCAGTGCACCTATATCGAAGGAAATTGCCCACTATTATTGGAAGACTATATTGAATAAATGTGCTTTAAATCGAAGGGCAGCGCCTCTAATCCTCCCTTCCTGCATCTTTCCACCAATCACTGCCCTGAATACAACCCCAGATGGAAGTGCTGGGATTACACGGGGGAGGCTCATCAGGGGGAGGTTTTTCTGCAGGGGGAGGAGGAGCCGGGGGAGGTACAACTGCGCCAGGCGCATCATCTCAGCGCTTCTTCGTCCTGGCCGCCACAGCCACTCGCCTCCTTGCCTTTGTCGGCTCCACGTCTCTCGAGGTTAGTCAGTCACATCAAGTAAGCAGTAGGAGAGGTAAGGATTGAGGCATGCGTTGGCATTATTGAGGTCAAGCAATTGCGTTCAATTCTCCCCCGCTTCCTCTTTTTGTTTTCTGTGTTCCATTTCTCCCGCTGCTAACTCATTTCCTGCTTTCAGAGGATTTCCTGCAGTCCCATCATCCATTTCTTTTGAGTCGACTCAAAAGTCAATTTCCTGCAGTCCCATCATCCATTTCTCCCGCTGCTAACTCTTTTCCCTCCTCCTTGCTCCAATCGTTTTCTTCCATTGCTTCCCACACTAGATGTCCCTTTGCTCTCCTTCCCCCCCCCCCTCTTTCGCCCCCTCTCAAACTGCAGGCCACCTTTGCACCCTTCTCATCTCAAATGCCCAAGTTTATCGAGCTGCCCGCATCATCCCCCCTCATACCAAGGTACCGACAGACAGACAGACAGACAGACAGACAGACAGACAAGCATACAACTGTTGAGACGTCTCAGAAACGGCTTTTGAGCTTTAAGGGTTCTCAAAAGTCACCCTTCGCATCTCAACTGCCCAAGTTCATCGAGCTTCCAGCCTTGTCCCCACTAATTGCAAGGTATGGCGCTCATTCATTTGATTCCTCGCGCTCTCCTCTCTTCTGCCCCACTCAAAGAGAACCTTATCGAGTTTTGAGAAGTGTCAGAAGCCCTTTGCGTCTCAGCAGCTGCCCAAGCTCATTGATCTGCCAGCCAGCGTCGTCTAACGCTCATACGCTCGCACGGCTCCCTTCCATTCTCCCTCCCTTCCCCCCGCCATTGCCGTTATCACCCCTCAGCTCGCTGCACTTCTTTGGTCGCCAGCAGCGGTACGCAGAGCGGTTTGCATGGATGGCGGGGCCTGGCGTGCTCTTCGGCCACCTCAACCTCAACGCCACGTCCTCCAGGTATGTGCAGGCGACAGGTGCTGCTGTTTGAGTCGATTATTGAGTTGACTTAGGGTTTGCATGGATGGCGGGGCCTGGTGTGCTGTTTGGGCACCTCAACCTCAACGCCACCTCCTCCAGGTACTTTCATCAGGTGGTTTTTGAAATATCAGGTAGTAATTCAGGTAGTGATTCAAGCGTCCTGGTGTGCTCATCGGGCACCTCAACCGCAACGCCACGTTCTCCGGGTAGATCCGCCACTTAAAGATAATGCTGTCAACATCCGTGCAGTGGTCATTACCGTCATGATGCATATTTGGGCGACATGATGCGTGCATGACATGATGCTACCACTCTTTGCCACGCTGCTCCCTGCCAGCCCCGTCAGTGTCCCTTTTGAGTCGACTCAAAAGTCACCCACCCTGCTAATGCCTGATTTTCCCCTCAAAAGATCGCTTTGGTTCCCGCTCCTCCTTCGCCCTCCTTCTCCCTCTCCGCCCTGCAGCCTCCTCTCACGCTCCTCATCAGAGCCCCCCATCCAGCGCAAGTCTCTGCTGCCCTTCGCCAAGCTGCTCCCAGCCGGTCCCATTAGTGTCCCCTACTTATCGCCCACCCTCTCTCCCCTTCCCCCTCCCCCTCCAGCACCTCATCAGAGCCCCCCATTCAGCGCAAGTCCCTGCTGCCCTTCGCCAAGCTGCTCCCAGCACTGTCTGTCTGTGTGTGCCCCACAGGGACACCCTCATCTCCCTGTCTCCTGCCCTCTCCCCGCCCTCTCCCACCCTCGCCCCTTCCCCCCCCCCTCCAGCTCCTCATCAGAGCCCCCCATCCAGCGCAAGTCTCTGCTGCCCTTCGCCAAGCTTCTCCCAGCCGGTCCCATTAGCAGCGCAGATGACACTGACGACAGTGCTGGTGCTGCTGCCGGTGCGGCTGCGGTGGAGCATCCGACGGCAATGGCAGTGTCTGAGTTCCACCTGCTGCTGCTCTACAGCGATCACATCAAGGTGTGATGGGGCCCCGTGGGGAGGGAGTTAACGCAGGCAGAGCAGCCGTTATTCCTGACAGGCAGAGCAGCCGTTAGTGTGCTCTGCCTGCCTGTGTTAACTCACAACGAGCGAGCGAACTCTGTGAGGGCGTGCAGTTGTATTGGAGTGACTTTTGTGAGGTACACCTGTGCGTTAATTCTCAAACGTCACTCCAATATAAACTCTGTGAGGGCGTGCAGTGCAGTGCAGGAAGAGCAGCATGGCTCTGGCTGCTCTGCGTACAACGACCACATCAAGGTGATCAGGTGGCTGGGGCGGGTGTGGGGGCGGAGGAACTGGAGGGAGGGTGGGTGCGTGAGAAGGTACACCTGCCTTGCCCTCCTCCCCCTTTCCCTCATGTTTCTGTGCTCATGAAGAAGGGCAGCAGTAGGCAAGGTCGCCCTTAAGATCCGAAGGTACACCTGCCTTGCCCTCCCCCTTTCCTCATGTTAACAGATCATGAACCTAGTGAGCGAGGCGCCTGCCTTGCCCTCCCCCTTTTGAGGCGCCTCAAAAGACACCTGCCTGCCCCTCCCCCTTTCCTCATGTCAACGGATCATGAACCTAGTGAGCGAGGCGCTGGTGGATCAGCTGCCCTTGCATGCCTTTGCCCTCCCTGCCATCATGCAGCATGCTACACATTCCGTCTTCCCTGTTCTTCCACCTCTCTCCCCAACCTTTCCCCCCTCCTGTCCTTTGACACTCACCACCCGCTCCCTCAATAGTGCCCCTCCCGCATGTCTCTCCCCACTCCCACAGATTGTTGAGTCGACTCAAAAGTCACCTCGCATGTCTCTCCCCTCTCCCAAACATCATGAACCAAGCGAGCGAGGCTCTGGTGGATCAACTCCCCTTCCACGCAAACACGCACTTTCCTCTTCCTGTGCTTCCCCCGGGCCCCCACCCACTCATCCACCTCCCATGCTCTACCAACCTTCTCCCTGCCTGTCAACAGATTGTCAACCAAGTGAGCGAGGTGCTGGTGGATCAGCTGCCCTTTCATGCCACCGCTCTGGAGATGGCGCCAGGTGGCATGCTCGGATTGGTTGCTGACGAGGTTGCCTCAGCCTACTATGCATTCTGCTCCAACAACATATACGAGGTGCATGTGCGCGCGTGTGCGCGCGCGCGCGTGTGTGTGTGTGTGTGTCATACTTGCATACATACATGCAGACATAGATTATGCATGCAAATTCGAGTGACTTTTGAGAATTTTCAGAAGTCACTAGAATACATGCAGACATAGATTATGCATGTGTGGACATGATCTTATGCGAGGTGCCTACTATGCCTTCTGCTCCATCAAGGAGGGCCATGTGGCAGGCAGGTGTATCTGGGCAGGCACGACTATGTTATGACTTTTGAGAATTCTCAAAAGTGATTTCAATAGGGCCGTGTGGCAGGCAGGTGTATCTGGGCAGGCACGACTACGTTATGACTTTTGAGAATTCTCAAAAGTGATTTCAATAGGGCCGTGTGGCAGGCAGGTGTATCTGGGCAGGCATGACTATGCTATGGGTGCTTACACCCACCACTCACCATGTCCTTCCGTTTCCTTCTATCTGTGCTCCCCTTCGCATCAGATCGCCGTGTGCGATGAGGGCAGGGCCATGTGGCAGGTGTATCTGGACAGGCATGACTACGCCATGGGTGCTTACACACACCCTCCCTCCCGTTCCCTTCCCTTCTCGCTCTGTCAACTTTCCAACCCAGATTGCTGTCTGTGACGAGGGCAGGGCCATGTGGCAGGTATACCTGGACAGGCATGACTACGCCATGGCTGCTCTGCTGACAAACTCCCGTCTCTTCCCCCAATTGCTCCCCCCTCTACCGTCTTTTCTCCCCAGATTGCTGTGTGCGACGAGGGCAGGGCCATGTGGCAGGTGTATCTGGACAGGCACGACTACGCCATGGCCCTCTCCTTCTGCCGCACACCGCTCCAACGCGACCGGGTATATGCAGCCCAGGCAGAGTCAGCGTTCAAGGATGGGGACTATGAAAGAGCCGCCACCTTCTTTGCTCGGGTACGTGTTTCTGCACAACACACACAGTGGTTGGGGCAGGATGAAGGTGTATCTGGACAGGCACGACTACACCATGGCCCTCTCCTCCTGCCGCACGCCCCTGCAGCGCGACAGGGTGTATGCCGCCCAAGCTGAATCCGCGTTCAAGGACGGGGACTATGAAAGAGCCGCCACCTTCTTTGCTCGGGTACGCTTGTCAACCGCACAGTGATTGCATGTGTATCAAGTTCGTGGATGCTTGCCCGCCCTATCTCCCATCACCGTTCACCACCACTCATCACCTCTCGCCACCGCCCACCCCATCTCCCCCCACCAGACGGCTCACCAGGTGCCTTTCGAGGAGATGGCGCTCAAATTCGTGGAGGCAGGGCAGCAGGGCGCCCTGCGCTCTCTTTTGAGGCGCCTCCAAGGGCGCTCTGCGCTCTCCCTTCAATCAAACCTTACCCACACCCGACCACAACCATTACCTGCCCCCTCCCTGCTCCCCCCACCAGACGGCCCACCAGGTGTCCTTTGAGGAGGTGGCGCTCAAATTCATAAAAACAGGGCAGCAGCAGCAGGATGGGCTGCTTTGCCCCGTGCCTGCACTCACTCAAATCCTTCCCACCACGCTCCACCTGCTCCCTCCCACCACCAGACGGCCCACCAGGTGCCCTTTAAGGAGGTGGCGCTCAAGTTCGTGGAGGCAGGGCAGCAGGGCGCTCTGCTCTGCTCTCCTTTCCGGCATTCAAATCAACTCATGCCTGCCTGCCTTGCGTGGCCCCTTCACCCTCTCCCCCCCACCAGACGGCCCACCAGGTACCATTTGAGGAGGTGGCACTCAAATTCGTGGGGGCGGGGCAGCAGGGCGCTCTGCTCTGCTCCTTTCCATGAAACCTTGCCCACACCAAAGCACAACCAATGCATGTCTCCCCCCTGCCCCACTCTCTCTCCACACACTCGCTCCTTCCTCCAGACGGCCCACCAGGTGCCATTTGAAGAGGTGGCGCTCAAATTCGTGGAGGCAGGGCAGCAGGACGCCCTGAGGAGCTTCCTACTGCACAAGCTGGACCACCTACCGAAGCAGGAGCGTGCGCAGATGACCATGGTGGCCACGTGGGCTTCAGAACTGTACCTTGACAAGGTAACACATCTGCCGGACACGAAGGCGTATCTTGACAAGGTAAACAGATAGGCGTGTGTGTGTGGGACGCCCTGAGGAGCTTCTTATTGCACAAGCTGGACCACCTACCCAAGCAGGAGCGCGCGCAGATGACCATGGTGGCCACGTGGGCTTCAGAACTGTACCTTGACAAGGTAACGCACAAGTGCCGGACACAAAAGCACAAGCACATGCACTGTGTGCTGCAGACTAACGAGGTGACTTATTCAGTCGATGCAAATGACAATGGTGGCCACGCGTGGGCGTCTGCGCTGTATCATGACAAGGCAACACACAGAGTTGTGTGGCGCAGGGACACACAAGCACAAGCCCAGGCACTGTGTGCCATTTAACAAGGTGAACTTCGAGTCGACTGAAATGACAATGGTGGCCATGCGTGGGCGTATGCGCTGTATCTTCACAAGGTAACACTCAGATGTGCACTCAATGATATGTATAATCTATGTATGCATGATGCCTCCACCTTTAGTGCCCCTTTTGCACATGCGCGATTGTCCCTGCACTCGATGTCCACCTTCTGTTCCCAAGGTGACTTTTGAGTCGACTCAAAAGTCACTTCGCACATGCGCGATTGTCCCTCCACTCGATGTCCACCTTCTGTTCCCAAGGTGACTTTAGAGTCGACTCAAAAGTCACTTCGCACATGCGCGATTGTCCCTCCACTCGATGCCCACCTTTTGTTCCCTTCCCTCCTTCTAGGTAGGCCCATAATTCACCCTTCCCTGTCCCCCTTATCAAGTTTTCTTCGTTTCACTCGTCCCCATGTTTTCCATATTTTTCCTCCTCTCCCTCCTCTCCCTCCTCTCCCTCCTCTCCCTCCTCTCCCCCCTCTCCCTCCTCTCCCCCCTCTCCCTACTCAGATCAACCGGTTGTTGCTGCAACTGCCACCTGACTTTGAGAAGCACGATTCGATAGCTACCAAGTCCGAGTCCAGTTCTGCTGCTGCTGCTGCTGCTGGTGCTTCTGGTGCTGCTGGTGCTGCTGGTGCTGCTGGTGCTTCTGGTGCTGCTGGTGCTGCTGGGGAAGGAAGCAGGACAGGAGCGGAAGGATCAAGGACGGGAGGTTCGAAGGAGGGTTCAGGAGTGGAAGGGTTGAGAGAGGAGTATAGAAGGGTGGTGGCGGCGTTCAGAGCGTTCCTCAGTGACTGCAAGGACGTGCTGAATGAAGCCACCACTGTAAAGCTGCTCGCCAGGTGGGTGACACGTGGTAATGAGCGGTGGTGAGGGGTGGCGAGGGGCGATACGTACTGCTGACTTCAACAGACTGAAAGGGCGTGCTGGAAGAAGCAACGACTGTGAAGCTGCTTGCCAGGTGGTGATTGGTGGTGAGGGGTGATAAGGTTTGATGAGGTGTGGTGATTGGTAATGAGGGGTAATTCCTTCATCCGATTGGGTTTGACCTGTGTTGACGTGGATTGACGTGTGTTGACCTGTGTTGACCTGTGTGTGCATGTGCAGCTACGGTCGGGAGGAGGAGCTAGTGTATTTTGCAGGACTAAAATGAGAGGCTCCGTGTCTTGACCTGTATTGACTGTGTTTACCTGTGTTGACCTGTGTTGACCTGTGTTGACCGTGGTGTGTGTTTGCAGCTATGGTCGGGAGGAGGAGCTGGTGTACTTTGCAGGACTGAAGCAGCGGCACGAGACAGTCATCGAACACTTTATTCGGGTATGTATGTTTTGAGACGTCTCAAACTATGAGAGGCATGAATGAGGCGTCTCAAATAATGAGACGTGTTTTGAGACGTCTCAAAACTCTGCGGGGCTGAAGCAGCGGCACGAGACAGTGATTGAACACTTTATTCGGGTATGTATGATTTGAGACGTCTCGCATTCCGAGCAATTTGTAAGCAGCTGCTCAAGTGGTCGATAGATTTGTCCCTCTCTCTCCTCCCGCTCTCTCCTGTCTCCCCTTTGTGCCTGATCAAACATGTCATCCAATCCGGTGTCGCCACCTCAGCAAGGCGATGCTGACTCAGCAATCGCCGTGCTGCGCCGACCCTCAGTGCCTCTAGAGCTTCTGGTAGGCCGCCCTCATTCACCCCCCTTATTATCACTCTCTTGAACAGCACGGTGATTCTTCTGCTCCCTTTACTGTCACATCTCCTAAGAGCACAGCTACACTGCCCCTGTTGCAATCGCATTGCCAGTAATACCTTCTCTTCTCGTGCTCTGTTCTCACAGCGCCCTCTGTCACATCTGTTCTCTCTGCCAGACCTCCCCTCTTGCCCCTCGCGCATGGGCCCACCCCCCTCCCTCCCTGCCAGTACAAGTTCTCACCAGCCCTCGTGCTACTCGCTCCCTCCAGCACTGTTGACCTCTGGATCATGTCTGCGTCTGCTGCTTCTCGTGTCCTTCCCCTTCTGTCCCCCCTTCCACTCCTTGCCCTTTCGTTCCCTCCCCCTCCTTCCCAGTACAAGTTCTCACCAGCACTCGTGCTCCTGGCTCCTTCCAGCACTGTTGACCTCTGGATCATGTCTGCCTCTGCCGCCTCCGCTCCTGCTTCTGCTACTCCTTCTTCTGCCGGTGCTGCTGCCGCTGCATCTGCTGCGGCAGGTTTCGATCCTCGTCGGCTTATCCCAGCAATCATGCGTTGTGCTACTGCCTCTAGTGGTGCTGCTACGGCTGCCACTGTTACCAGCTACCAGCCAAATGAAGCCATCCGCTTTTTGGAGTTTTGTGTGCACAGGCTGGGATCCAGAGATCCTGCCATCCACAACCTGCTGCTCTCTCTCTATGCTGACCAGGTCTGTAGATCTGACTCGGTTTCTCCTCAGACCCTGTTTTTTTTTTTGGTCCATCCCTAATCTATCAAGCCAATGAGTCATCTCTATGCCGACCAGGTCTGTCAACTTTCTTTTTCGAATCCTTTGCCCGCCCCCCACCACCCGCACCTCTCACCTCTAATGTCCTCCCACCCCCGCCGCCATGAACCCTCCATTCACCTCTGCTCATTTTCCTTCTTTTTCCTCCTATTTCTGTGCACACTGCTCCCATGTCTAAGCAGGCGAATGAAACATCCCTGGTCAACTTCCTCTCTTGGATCCCCCCTCCTCCACCACCACACACCCTCCTCCTCTCCTCCACCCCTTCCTTCCCCACCATCCCCTCCTCCTCCTCCTTCTCCTCCTCCTCCTCTCCCTCTGCAGCAGCCGCAGCAGTAGGGGCAGCAGGCCGCTCCCCTGCCGTCACACCCACCGGCACCACACTCAACCTCTCTCCAAGCCTAGCCAATGCTGGTGGCAGTGGTGGCAGCAGCGGAGACACAGGAGGAAGAGGAGCAGGAGGAGCAGCAGCAGCTGGGGCAGCAAGGGGAGGGGTAATTTACGACCCTAAGTTCGCTTTGAGGGTGTGTTTAGAGCGAAGGAGGATGCGGGGGTGTGTTTGCGTGTACAGTACCTTGGGAATGCATCAAGAGGCAGTAGCTCTAGCTCTCCAGATTGACGTGGCACTGGCGAAACGAGAGGCCAATAAGGCGCGAGAACAGGATCTCAAGCAATCGCTCTGGCTAATGATAGCGCGCCACGTCATCGAGCAAGGGCTAGCAGGCCGAGCTGTGATTGGCGGAGATGATACAGGCAGGAGTGAGAGGGAAGGGGAGGAGGAGAAGGAGAGTGGGAGGGGGGATGAGAAGGGGAGGGAGAATGAGGAGGAGAGTGCAATGCGGCAAAACGTTCGGAGAGCAATTGCCCTTCTGAAAGAAACCGAGGGTTTGCTGAAAGTCGAGGACATTCTGCCTTTCTTCCCGGATTTCACCTTGATAGACGATTTCAAAGATGCTGTGTGCGAGTCATTAGAGGCGTATGGACAAGAGATTGACCGGCTAAAAGCCGAAATGACCGAGGCGACCCGGGCGGCGGACACGATCCGGAGGGACATCCAGGCGCTGAGTCAGCGCCACGTCATCGTGTCCACGCGGGAGACCTGCGGCGTCTGCTCTCGTCTGATTCTCGCCGCCCCGCCGCCGCAGAAAGCGCTGCTGTCTGGTTCTGCTGCAGCCGGCGCCGCTGGTGGTGGCGGTGGTGTTGCTGCTTCTGCTGGCGGTGTTGGTGGTGGTGGTTTAACTGGTGCAGTAGCAGCAGTAGCAGCGGCAAGCCTGGCAACAGCATCAGCAGCAGCAGCAGTAGAGGCAACGCCTTTCTATGTGTTCCCCTGCTCCCATGCCTTCCACATTGACTGCCTGCTCACCCACGTGGTTCAACACTCTGACCCTTTTCTGGTGAGGTGTTGTCCTGCTGAGGTGCCTAAGCACCTTATGTTCCTTCTTGTTTTTTTGGGAGAGAGAGAGGGGGGGGGGGGGGGGGGGGGGGGGATGGGGGGTGGGGGGGACTTGTACCACAGCACTCTGCATTTCCACTTCTATCACCCTCCTTTTCCAATCTCCGTGTGATTCTACTTCCGCATCTGCCCCCCGACCTCAGATGGAGCATGTGTTGGAGTTAAAGCGGCAGCTGCTGGGAGTGCTGGAGACACCGAGGAGGGGTGGCAAACAGCGAGGAACAGCAGCAGCAGCAGGAGCAGGATTGGGAGGACTATCTAGGTTACTCAAATGCGTGTGTTTTTCCCCTTTTTTACTGCCACCTGACATCAGATGGAGCATGTGTTGGAGTTGAAGCGGCAGCTGCTGGGAGTGCTGGAGACCCCGAGGAGGGGTGGCAAGCAACGAGGCGCAGGAGGAGGAATAGGAGGAGCAGGAGTAGAGGGAGACAGTGACGTGGTGGACCTTCATGCGGGACTATCGCCAATTGATAAGGTAAACTCTCACACAAGCAAATCTGGGTGTGGGTGGGATTGGTATCTGAAATGGCCTTCTTGATTTTCATTTCAGCTCATTAATTTGTTTGTTTGCCATGAACTCAATGTTATGCATTCGATTTTCCGAGTTGGTGTGAATGTCTTTTTCCCGCATACTGGCAGGTGCGGATGCAGCTGGATGAAGCAATTGCCGGTGAATGCCCTTTCTGCGGTTCACTGATGGTGGCTAGCACATCTGAGCCGTTGATCGCTGCTCATGAAGGAAATGTGCTAGATGCATGGAGCATTTGATTGCCTCAAATATTACCTAGTTAACGGTGGTTGCTGATTCTGGCATGTATTTTGTATCTCCAAGTTGCATTTCTCTTGAAGTGCAGGAGAATGCGCTTGTCAAGCATGTCCTGCAAATGGTTTTTTCAACGCTGAATAAGGTTAGAGACTGTATAAGGTGTACTACTAACAATTGGTCAGACTTCGAACCGCGTGATGGCAGCTTATACCGAATATCCCCAACACACATGATCCGCGCCTCGTCCATGATGAACGTGCCCGCACCGTCAGCTTCGTGCGCACGTCCGTAGTGTAATGCCTTCACAACCAGCCATCTCCGAACCAGATGGATCATCGACCACTAAGATTAAACCACATCAGCAGTCCTGGAGCTCGTCTGGCAGCTTTGCTGGTCGTGGCCAGTCAAGCCCCACTTCAGCTCTCCCCACAGCATCGCGCCGCGAAATCCCTTCACAACCATCACGCACGCACAAGAAGCAGGCCAAGCAATGTCAGCAGATTTCACGTACAGTAAAATAAACAAGTTGCGCGACGCGGGATCGATTCGAATGAATTCCGTGGATCCGCCTATGGATGGAAATTGCAAACCGCAAGTCGTCCCACCACCGCCACTGCCTGCCCATTTCCGCCTGCTTCGCCTCCCCCCTGATGTGCTCTCGTGCGTGCGGTCTCCCACGCCCCCGTGAAACCCGCTCTCACAGCCCTCGGTAGCAACCTGAGAACTCCCTCTCACCCACGTCGCGAGTTCTACCACACCGCATGGCATCCGAGCGCTGTGGCGTGCTGAGAGCCGGAGGAGATTCCCCCCGGTCGCTTCTCGAGGCGTGAGATGAGTGCGGCATCATTGTGCTTGCGTGGCAACTCTAGCTGTACGATTCCGTTTCAGGCACAGATGCAAGGAATGTTGTCAGTCGACCTCGTCAATGCGGGCACTAGCCTAGCCATCGTCGTCGATTCTTTCCTTCCTTGACCTACGACATTGACTAAAGCTCAAAGTTGAGACACATAGTATCCACTATTCCCACCAGTGACAGGCATAGCGAGAGAGCCCTAACATAGCACCCGTGTACTCATTTTAGAGTTCTTGTGGCGCCTTCCATCCCTGAGTCATCTCGTAGCTTTCCACATGCCCGTCAGTCCTAGAGGCCTCGATTGATTAAAAACGGTTACCAGTTCACGGCCCCATTCAAAGGTTGATGTTTTATTGCCGCTAGTCTATTTGAACCATGAAGCTTAGGCGGAACCTTCGTCGCACTGCAGCTGTCCATCCTGAGCCGCGCTCGCTTCTCTTTCCTGAGGTCCCCATCCGCGGTTCGAGAGATGAAGGCAGAAAACTCGCGACCGAGTCCCTTTCAGGAAGTAATGGCGCATCGCCGGGAATCGCGGTAGCGCAAATGACGCTGGATCAGGCTATTGAAGCCTCGGCGCGCGAGCAAAGGCAAAAGCAGCAGCAGCAGCCGCAGCCGGCACCGGCTCAGCCGGCACCGACCCAGCCGGCACCGGCCCAGCCTGCACCGACCCAACCCGCACCGACCCAGCCCGCACCGACCCAGCCTGCACCGAACCAGCCTGCACTGGTCCAGCCTGCACCGACCCAGCCGGCACCGACCCAGCCGGCACCGTCACAGCCGGTAGTGAACGAGCCGGCAGTGACGACGCAGCCATCTGTCGCGCAGCCGCAGCCTGTAACACAACCACAGCCGCAGCCGCAGCCGCAGCCGCAGCCGCAGCCGCAGCCGAACGATGGGAGCACGCAACCGCCGCTATTCCCGGGCGTCACCCCCGCGCCCGTCGTCACCCCCACGCCCGTCAACAATCCCCCGGTCGCCAGCGGCGGAGGGTTTGGGATCTTCCCCAGCGGGCCGGGCGGGTTCACCCCCACGCCCGTGACGCCGGAGATCCCGGCTGTGCCGAACACTCCAACGCCTACGACTCCTGTGCCCGCTCCTACGACTCCTGTGCCCGCACCTACGACACCTGTCCCCACGCCTACGACTCCTGTCCCCACGCCTACAACTCCTGTCCCCACGCCCAAGACTCCTGCCGTTCCCACGCCTAAAGGGCCTGTCGTCGATCCCACACCCAAGACTCCAACTGTCCCCACGCCTACCACTCCCACTACTCCTGGCGTCCCCACTCCTACCACTCCTGGCGTTCCCACGCCCACGACTCCTGGCGTCCCCACGCCCACTACTCCTGGCGTCCCCACACCTAAGACTCCTGGCGTACCCACACCCACAACACCTACCGTCCCCACGCCTAAGACTCCTGGCGTCCCCACGCCCACAACTCCCCCAGTCAACCCCAGCGTCCCCACACCCGGAGCCCCAGGCTCGACTCCCACTCCCAAGGTTCCCCCAACGGTCCCCGGTGCTAAAATTCCCCCCGGCGTCCCAAATCCCAAGGTTCTGCCTGTTGCGCCGGGTTCCACGGCCGCCCCTGGCGTTCCGAATCCTAAACTTCCGCCGCTTGCGCCTGGTTCCACGGCCGCGCCTGGCGTTCCAAATCCTAAACTTCCGCCGCTTGCGCCTGGTTCCACGGCCGCGCCTGGCGTTCCGAATCCTAAACTTCCGCCGCTTGCGCCTGGTTCTACGGGCGCGCCTGTCGTTCCGAAGCCCAAGACCCCGCCTGTAGCTCCTGGCAGTCTTGCCGCCCCCGGCGGGAAAACGGTCCCCGGACTTCCGCGCCCCAAAGTACCCCCCGTTGCACCAAGCTCCGCCGCTGCTCCAGGTTCCGACTCTGCGCCTGGTTCCGCCTCTGCGCCGTCCTCTCTGCCGTCCCGCGCCCCTGCTAGCCTGTCCGCTCCTGGCTCCGCTTCCGCGCCTGGCTCCGCCTCTGCACCAGCTTCCGCACCTGGCAAAGTTCCGAAACCTGCCCCTGGCTCCGCCAAGGCTCCTGTCTTAGCACCCGGTTCCACGCGCGCCCCATCCGGCGTGCCTAAAAACGGCTCCATCACCGCGCCGGCCTCGCTCCCCCCGCCGCGCCCTGCGCAGCCCTCCGCTCCGCTGCCGCAGCTCTCTACTTCGGCAAACGCTGCGGCGACCCCCTACTCGACGACCCCTCCCGCGAACACGACCGCGACGGCGGACACTGGCGGAAACAGCGTGTCCGCGGGTGCGATTGCGGGGATCGCTACTGGTGTGACGCTGGGGTTCGTGTTGCTGGTGGTGCTGGGGCTGTACGTGTTCCTGCTGCTGAGGCGCAAGAAGGAGGAGAGCGACGGCGAGAAGAAGGGGAAAGCGGGCGGTGCGGCCAAAGGGGCAACTAAAAGTGAGTATGCTGTCTGTTTTGTGTGTGTTTGCTCTATGTGTGAATAATGTGGCTTTTTTCCCACTTAGTTGACAGTGATGTAGAGTACACACATGTACTCACGTTCCTCTTTTCCGCCCTTTCCCATCCTCCTCACCCCCTGCATTCCGCTGTTTCAACAGGCAAGGTACCATTCTACGCAGCTCCGTTCAAGACGAGTAAGGCCACCGGCAATCCGGAAAGTGCGGAGATGCAAGACGGGGGAGAATCCGGAGTGACAGGAATTCCGCCAGCAGCAGCGGCTGCAGCAGTGGCAGGAGCAGGAGCAGTGGCGACAGGAGCAGCGGTCGCAACCGCTACCGCGGGATCTGCCCCTGCTGACAAAGCAGCTGACGTGGCATCTGCTGACGTGCCACCTGCTGGCGCGGCGGCTGCTAGTGGCGCAGTGAGTGCTCGCCCCAACGCAAGTCCGCCATCTGCTAAAGCGGGGAAAAGCCTGACTCCTCTCCCGGGTGGCGCAAGCCCGCTGGCGAGCGCAGCGGGGGGTATAACAGCAGCTGCAGGAGCGGGTTCGGCCGCCGGTTCGACAGTAACTACCGCGGGCTCGGGTGCAGCAGGAGCGGTGGCGCCAACTGCGGGTGCGGTTGCGGGTGCTGCGGCGGCAGTAGCGGCAGGAGCGGCGGTAGGAGCGGCAGCTGCCACCGCGGCAACAAAGACGCCGGCAGCCGCGAGAGCCGCTGCTGTTCCTGCTGCAGGCGCAGCTGGCGCGGGGGTGGTCGCAGGTGCGGCGGCAGCCAAGTCAGGAAACGACGAAGACGAAATTGATCCGTCCGAACAGTGGTGGTTCCCTGCTGAAGAACTTGACCAAGCTACGGAACGCTTCGCTCTTTCGAACAAGCTCGGATCGGGAACTTTCGGAACTACTTACAAGGGAGTTTTGGAAGACGGGCAGGAGGTTGCAGTGAAAGTGCTGAAAGTGAAAGGTTCGCTGAGCGATGACGCATGGAAACGCGACGCGGAAGAGGTGTTCGCGATCCAGCACGAGAACTTGGTTACTTATCTGGGTTATTGCCTCGCCAGTTCGCAGCGAATGCTGGTGCAGGAATTTGTCGCGAACAGTTCGCTTGACGCGGCGCTGCATGGGAGCAACAAGCCAATCCTGGCGTGGAATTTCCGCATGAAGATCGCCAAGGGCGCTGCGAGGGCTCTCACATTCCTGCACGAAGAATGTAAGTGGCCGCGAACCTAGACGTTACCCCTTTCCAAATTCAGTTATTATTGTTTCCCTTCTTCCTTCTAGAAGCTCTGCATGTGACCCTGGTTTTAACCCTGTGGCTCCCACTCATTTCTTACAGGCAAGCCCCACATTATTCACAAGGACATCAAGTCATCTAACATCCTGCTCGACGCTCAGTACGAGGTCAAGGTAAGCATACAAAACCCCTGTGTTGTCCCAAATTCAGATATTCACATTCAAGCTATACACCAAGGAACACATCTACCTCCCCACATATTGTTGACATTGTCTTGACTTGTGTTTTTCTGTTGTGCTTTTGTTCTTTCTCTGCTCCTCCCCTCAGCTGAGTGACTACGGCTCAGCCAAGCTGGCAGGAGATGCTGCCCTCACAACCATCATCAGCTCGGCCGGCTCTTTTGGGTGAGCAGTCAACATTCACCAGTTGACATGTATGGAGCTTTGATTGTCATGGATATGGTTGTATGAGCGGTCTTCTATGTTGCTGGTCAGCTCTCCCATGCTTCACCACTCAATCCCCCTTCCCTCTCACCCCCTTCCGTTGTGTGTGATTCCCAGCTACCTGGCGCCGGAGCATGCGCTCACAGGCAAGCTCACCGAGAAGTCGGACGTGTACTCGTTTGGAGTGGTCTTGCTGGAGCTTATAACGGGGAGGAAGCCCAGTGACAAGCAGAGGGGGCAGAAGGACAGCCTGGTTGAGTGGGTGAGTGCCTTGTGTGATGTGGCTTTCATTGCATTACAAGGTGACAACTACATTGGATGACACATGCCCTGAGTGCACTATCCATGCCCCCTTCCTTTCCTCCCCTGACCTTATCAGGCTCGGCCACTCCTTGCCTCCAACACGCTCAAGGAGCTGGCTGACCCGAATCTGGATGGCTGCTTTGGGGTGAAGGAGATGGATCGTGTTATTGTGGCTGCCTCGCAGTGTGTGAGGCAGTCGGCTGTCCTCCGACCAAGCATGAGCCAGGTAAGAGGTGGTTTTGTGTCAGCGATTTTTTTTTTTTTTTTTCAGACCCAGAGTTGTATGTTTTATCTGACGGCCCTAATTTTCATGTGTGTGCAGGTTCTACGCCTTCTGGATCAGCAGTGACAAGCGGTAGAAGTTTGACTTGATCAAGTAGGACACGAATGCTTTCTAGGTTGTGTGAGTCGCTTGGAAACATGCAAATGTAGAGCATGCTCCAGAATAAGCACCGAGTGCAAACGGCCTTCTAGAAAGTGATATAGATGCATAACTAGCTAGTCATGTAGTTGTGAGATTGCATAACCTGAACCAAATGCTCCTCTATGACCCAAATCCCTCTTACCAGCATGAGGCGGAATGCCTTCCCCGAAACGTATGAATCGTTTTTTTTAAGTGGCTCAAATTTACTGGTCAGCCCCTCAATGAGTGATCCAACGCACCATTGAAGTCGGCCGCAAGGAGGCATCCACTATGTACAAGCCCAATCCAATGTTATATCGAAGCGGACCGCACTTCGCCTTTGGCACAAGAATCTGCTAATCTGCTGACAAGCAAGCGAGCCTTGGCGGCGGGGAAAACGAGATGGACGATGAGATTGCACGAGACGACCGTGCAAGGGTCCACGATGATTTGCTGATTGGATGTCGCTGACAGCGTATTGTCCACCTCATGACGGCAACGAATGACGGAAAGGCGACAAGAAAGTGCGTTCGCTGACCGTGAACGAAACGATCTGAAAAAAGTTCTCCCGAAGGTCAGGAAAAGGGCAGACGGTCAGCCACGTGGGCACAGTGGCGAATAACAGAACCTCGCGGCGAATGTTCAGAAACGTGTCAACAAGTTTCGTTTCGCTATGCACAGCATGCATTCGCAAAGCCAGCTGACAAATTCATACTCTCGAATCTCTTCCCATGGGGGAAGAACGACATCTGTTCCCAAGGTTTCCTGAAGCTCCCAAGGCCTCGTTTTGTAGGGTGTCTATCAGATGGACCCTCAGTGCTTTCGTCTCTCAGGAGCAATCAACATCGGGAATCCAGCCACCCGAGAGGCTCTGCAAGAGCCACTATAGTAGCAGCCTTGGTGCTTGGTTGTTTCCAATTATCGTGACTCAAGAATTTCAGTTCTTTGGTGTGTCCCGCTCACCTTAGCCCCTCATCCGCCTACCAATCTCTGTTTCTTTCTCCCTGCCTATCTTGCGATTTATTCGAATAGCGTCACTTGTTAAGAACGCGCACCTTTTTTGCTCGTCTGGGTTGTACACCGTACTCGAAACAAAAACCGTTCAAATTCAGCTATCTCTTTCACGCGCATGGCAAGTCTGATCAATCAGGTGACCCAAGGAAGCTGCTGTCTCACAGGAGCCACGGCGGTAGAAAGCTCTCGTACAAGGACTATCAATGCTAACACTGCAGGAAGCAACCACCTGTTGCCGCCGAATCCCCGGCGTGCCTCTGTTCCGATCTCGAAGCTGCGACGCTGCGAATCCAGGGCTCTTGTTTCGCCAGTCCCTCTCTCGCGCTGTCGCCAGTGCCAGTTACGCCATTCGCCATTCTTCGCTGGAGAGACGAACCTTTGCTTCACGCTTTTGACCGATGGGTCGGCTTGTCTGTCCGAGGGTTTAGAGCACGCACAAGCAAGAAAGGCTGCTAGTGTTCCTTGCAGAGTAAGGTCCCAAGCGGCAATCAATCCCCATGAAGACTTTAGGGGACGGCAGCAGGATGGGCTGTCGGAGGTTTGGAGGGAAACTAGGTGAGTCGCCTGTGATCGTTCCTTACTGCTATCAGTAATTACTCTGATACTAGGCATCAGTAACCTCATCCTTACTTCTGTGTTGGACGACATACTTTAAGTCACTTTAAACCAAGTTACGGAGATAGTTGGTTATTATCGATGCCTAATATACACAGCTAGTTGGTTTGTATTTTAAATCAGGTTCGAGACTCCTTTTTTCGATTCCTTTGTTTTTTCTCCACACAGAAGGTCGCTGAGAAGGATCTCTCCGAAAGGCGTCGCAGGGGAGCTCATCAAGCTCGCCATCCCTGCTGTCATCGCCGGATTGGCGGAGCCTGTCGCGCAGCTTACGGAGACCGCATTCATTGCACGAACCGGTAAATACCACCATTTTATACTTTCTAAAAACATGTTCGTATTGTAATTGTCACATTTCCTTATCTGGTGTCTGAAGTGCATTGTTTGCGAGTCTCTGCAGGAGCCGTGAGTCTCGCGGCCATTGGCGTGTCCATCTCAGTTTTCAACCTCGCGTCTAAGACCTTCAACTTCCCCCTTCTCAACCTCACCACGTCCCCCACCTCACCTCCCCCTCCCTCCTTGGGATCGTCCGCATTGCCTGTGTGTGTCCCTGTGGGTGTCTGCAGGAGCCGTGAGTCTCGCGGCCATTGGCGTGTCCATCTCAGTGTTCAACCTTGTCTCGAAGGTCTTCAACTTCCCCCTCCTCAACATCACCACCTCTTTCGTCGCTGAGGATGGCGAAGCCAGAGCGAAATCAGGTAACTCTCGAGTTGATTCACGAAACAATCAGGTACTGGGACTGATGTGATGATCCGCATGCGTTCTCATCTTGGAATCAGGCGCCTCTAGACGACAAGCAGATCTTCTTGTCTCATTCCTTCTATTCCTGCCCTTGTTGCTCGCTAATCTCTTCTCTTTTTCAATATAAATCTTCTCATACCTTGCCATTCTCCTTCTGTCTTCGCTTCGCTCCCCACAACCACCAGCAGCATCAGCGTCCGCAGCAACAGAAGCGGCGGGTGAGAAGCGAGTGGTGCCTGCGGTGTCAGCAGCGCTGCTGGTGGGCGCCATTCTCGGGATTGTCGAGGCTGTGGTGCTCGCCTCTGCTGCTGCACCCATTCTCGGAGCCATGGGCGTCCCTGCGGTGGGTGTCTTGTCCTACTCCTTGTTTAGTGTTCTTCCTTATTGTGTCTTCTTCAGTCTTCCTACTCTTTTCAGTTTGACTCTCATTTAAAACAAGCCCACTTCTCTTATGTATAATGGATTCAACCGTCTCTTTCCCTCCCTCCCAACCCTTCCCCCGTCTCCCTCCCCTTTTTCCTGGCTGCCCTTGCAACCTTCTCTGCTACCCTCTCTTCATCCGTCAGACCTCGCCCATGCGCGGTCCAGCGCTGCACCATGTCTCCCTCAGAGCGCTGGGTGCGCGTGCGTTGCTTCTCCTCCTCTTCCTCTCATTCTCCCATGTCCCTGTTCCTCTCCTCACGCCGCTGTGTGCATCAGATTTTTGAGGCGCCTCAAAAAACTCCTCTTCTTCTCATTCTCCCATGTCCCTGTTCCTCTCCTCGCGCCGCTGTGTGCATCAGATCAGACCTCGCACATGCGGGGACTGACCAACCCTGCACTACCTTTCTCTGAGTTCGCTGGGTGCGCCTGCCTGCATTGCTTCTTCTCCCCATCCGCTCGTCTCCATGTTTCTCCCCCCTGTGCGTTCCGTCCTCCGGTGTATGTGCGTCAGACCTCGCCCATGCGCAGGCCAGCGCTGCACTACCTCTCCCTCAGGGCGCCGGGTGCACCTGCTATGTGACTTCTACTCATCTCCCCATTTCCTTGCTCCTCCCCCGTTTATTCCCTTCTCGGCTTGCCTGTGTCCTGCAGACCTCGCCCATGCGCGGGCCAGCGCTGCACTACCTCTCCCTCAGGGCGCTGGGCGCGCCTGCTGTGGTGCTGGCTCTGGCCACTCAAGGGGTGTTCCGAGGCTTTAAGGACACTCGCACTCCGCTTATCGCTCAAGGTACGCACGAACCTACCACTGAACGTTTTTCTTTTTCCCCCGTGTATATCTGTTGTCGCATCACACCGTTTTTTTTTCGCTTTCTCCACTCCTTTCCCTCCACCCCCTCCACTTCCCCGTCAGTGGGAGGCAACATCGTCAACATCGCCTTGGATCCGCTCCTCATGTTCGCATGCGGGCTGGGCATCAGCGTAGCAACCTTTGCTTTCTGGCGCCTCAAAGCATCACCCTTGTTCCTCTCCCTCCTCGTTCTGCTCCACTTCTCCTTCATCTCCTTCTAACCAGTGGGCGGCAACATCGTCAACATCGCCTTGGATCCGCTCCTCATGTTTGCATGCGGGCTGGGCGTCAGCGGGGCAGCGTTCGCCACAGTGACAGCGCAGTACAGCATTGCGGCCTTCATGCTGTGGCAGCTCAGCCAACGCGTGGTGCTCATGCCTCCCCGCCTCTCTCACTTGAAGCTTGACCGCTTCCTCAAATCAGGTGAGTATAGAGGTCTTTCAATCTCACCTGATTCAAGACTTGTCACAAGTGATTCTCAGGCTGCAGCCACAGTGACAGTGACAGTGACAGCGCAGTGCAGCATTGCAGCTTTCATTGCAGCCTCCCCTCCCCGCCTCTTCATACCTGCCTCACCGCTCGCCCTGCATGGAGGTGACTCTCGCCACCTCCATGGCAGCTCCTCACTTCAACCCTCGCCACCGTTCTTGACTCCTCCCTGTTCCAGGTGGTCTCCTGCTGGGTCGCACGCTCGCTCTGCTCTGCACCATGACTCTCGCCACTTCCATGGCAGCACGGCAGCACTGCTTCTGACTGCTCTCCACCACTCTGTACTCCTCCCTTGTGCAGGTGGTCTCCTGCTGGGTCGCACAATCGCCCTGCTCTGCACCATGACCCTCGCCATCTCCGTATAACCACCTCGCTTCACCCCTCTCCACCGTTCCTAACTCCTGCGTTGTGCAGGTGGTCTCCTGCTGGGTCGCACTCTCGCCCTGCTCTGCACCATGACCCTCGCCACCTCCATGGCAGCGCGGCAGGGCCACACGAGCATGGCGGCGCATCAGATCGCCATGCAGATCTGGCTCGCAGTGTCTCTCATGTCCGACTCCGTGGCTCTTGGCGCCCAGGTGAGGGCAGCAAGGGGTGGGTGGGGAGTGTGAGTAAGGGTATGAGGAGGCAAGAAGTCGGGCAAGGCCACACACACGAGCATGGCGGCACACCAGATCGCCATGCAGATTTGGCTCGCAGTGTCTCTCATGTCTGGCTACGTGGTTGAAGAAGTGCTTTGAGACGTCTCAAAACCTTCTTCAAACACGTGGCTCTTGGTGTTTAGGTGAGGGAGAGGGGGGGTGTGAAATCAAGGGAGAGGGGTGAAGGGAGACGGTAGGAGGAGGCGAGGCAGGCAGGCAGGGCCACACGAGCATGGCAGCGCTTCAGATCACCATGCAGATTTGGCTCGCGGTTTTGGTTATGTACGACCTGATGCTCTTGGCGCCCAGGTGAGGGAGAGGGAGAAAACAAGGGAGAGGATAACATGGGAGAAGGGACAGAGGGGAGACAGGGGACACAGCCACACATGTATGGCGTTGCACCAGATCCGTCTCCCTCCTTGCCTCGCTTTCCCCCAGTTTCAATCCTCTCTATCCTTTCTTTGCTTGCCATCCCTTCAAATATTTTTGTCTGTGTCTCTGTTTCCCCCCCCTCTTTCCTCCCTTCACCTTCCCCCCCTCCGCCCCCCCCAGACCATGCTAGCATCAGCTTTCGCACGCCACGATGCGAGGAGGGTGAGGAGGATCGCCATGCGAGCCACACAGATGGCGCTGCTCATGGGCCTCACCACCGCGGCCCTACTCACCCTCGCCACGCCCTACATCCCCCGCGCATTCACATCCGATCACACTGTTCAGAAGGCGCTGACTTCCCTGATGCCGGTATGTAATGACTTGCATCCGTAGCTCCACTCCCTTTCTTCCACCTGCCTACTTCAACTCTCCTAATTCCACTCTCCTACTTCCACCCTCCTAATTCCACTCTCCTAATTCCAAACCACCCACTCTAATTCCTTCCTCCATCTTCCCATTTGCGAAACTTGCCACTTCATGGCAGCCATGTAGCCCATCACGTCGCCTATGTGAAGGGAGGTTGTTTTTGAGACGTCTCAAAAACAACATGGCAGCCATGTAGCCCATCACGTCGCCTATGCAACATTCGAACGACTCGCTTGAAAGTCTCTCTTTCACCCCATTTCCCGCTTCCGCCATCCCTCCCACGTGTCCCCCACTCCCCCAGTTCGTGGCGGCCACACAGCCCATCACATCTCTCGCCTTTGTCTTTGACGGGCTGCATTACGGCGCCTCTGACTTTGCCTACGCTGCCACTGCAATGGTGAGTCTTCTCTTGCTCCCTCCCTCCGTTACTGAGCCACCTCAAAGTGTGTCTTTGACGGGTTGCATTACGGCACGACCGACTTTGCCTAAGCCGCCACTGCAATTGTGAGCTCCCAGACTGACTTTATTGGAGTCACGTCTGCTCCCACCCTCCTTGCCACTTTCCATGCTCTTCACCTCCTCTTGTGTCTTCATGCCCTGCTGTTTCCCTCTGTTATCTCTCACCCCATTGCCAGATCACAGTGATGCTGCCCATAGCTGGAGTGCTGGCGTATGCGCCAAAGGTCATGGGCATCCATGGCATGTGGGTCGACCTCACTCTTATCCTCCCTGGCTCTCCCCGCCACTCCACGTTGCCAGATCACAGTGATGCCCCCAATAGCTGGAGTGCTGGCGTATGCCCCAAAGGTCATGGGCATCCATGGCGTGTGGGTCGGCCTTACCCTCATCATGACTGCACGCATGCTCATTGGCTTGGCAAGGTAATCCAGTTAATTTCTGTTGTTCTTGCTACTGTATCTCCCAAGCTGGATTTGTTAGTGAGTTGGTTTTTTTTCTTCCTGTTTTCGGTTCAAAGCATTGTTCTCATCAACGTCATAGCTGCCAATTCCACATGCCCTTTTATTGTTACACTCGTTACAGGGTTTGCACTGCCAGTGGTCCTTGGCGCATACTCAAGGAGGCTTCTGACTCGCAGTCCTCATGAATTCATCGGCAACAACTGCTGCTTCACCACAAGTCATCTTGAAGCTCCAGGGCCTTCATGTTTCCAAACGAAGCAGCCGTTAATAACCAGGAATAAAATGAGTACGGAGAGTTTACGACATGGAGCAGCCATTATCAATCAGGAATAAAATGAGTACAGAGAGTTTATGACATGGTGCATGCTCGAAGGGTTTCCACATGTCTGTGGCCTATATGTACACCCATCTACTTTTGTGCAAGGAGGATATTCTTGTGTACAGGTAATTGTAATATCCCAAATGAACATATTTAGGTCTTAGGTGGAAAAACAGAGATTAGGCTGCTCCATGTATTACCAGGGTGGAAGAGTGAGAGTAGCAACACTTGATATGGAAACACTATGTATCGGTAATACAGCTAATGCCCGTTAGAGCCCTTCCCGGTTGCCTTGTGAAGGGGGTCTGTAAGCTAAACCTGCATTTCGCGTGGGGTTCGTACGTTTCGTTAGGCTTTATGCGTGCTTCAAAACTGAACATGGTAACCACCCGATTTGTCCGAATCGCAACAGTAATGGTTGGCCCTACTTGTCCCACATGTGTGTTACAGGTTACTCAACGAATGTAAGAACAACGAAACAAGCAGCCTCATCAAATGTTCCTCTTAGTTCAAAACAACCAAAACACCAATCACAACCAATCAGCTTCTCCCACATGGCCCCCAGCTCCATTCCACACAAACATCGAAACACGCACAAATGGGCACAAAGAGTGAACACTTATACTCAACAAATTGCCTACGACGCCTTGCATGGTGTGCCACTCCATGCTCCCCGCCTCATAACACGCCGAATCCCCCACTCGAGCTGACAGCTCCTGCCACTGGCGTTGCACCTCCTTTCGATTCCGCTGGTCTTGAAGCAGCTTCTTCCTCACGCGCTTTTTCGACGCTTACTGTCGCATTCGTCTGTTTTTGTGATGGAGGGTTCCGCCGCACCGACTTCGTTATTCTCACATCCGTCGGGCTATGTGCCTTCCACGACGTGGTAGGCCATATCGACGGTCGTCCGTACCCACACCTGCTCGCCGCCCTTACAACGGCGACAGTGCTCCTGTGACACAAGGATCACGTTAGGAAAACACAGTAGCGCGCCGAGAAATGGCTTGCTAAAAAGTGATGATTTGGAATGCGAAAAATGGCATCGCACGTTTCCCGTTTGGAACGGACGAGGGAATCGACGGGTCGAACTATATCTTTGTAGCGTTTTGAAATGGGACGAGCCGATGGGACTGTCGTGTAGAACTCGTCAGAAAGAAAAGAACGAGTCGTTGGTGACAGCGGCTCGACATCGCGGCTCAGCTCTTTCAGTTGCAATGACGCGTCTGATTTGTCGACCCAACGCGGCGGAAGCTTCGGGTTAACCATTTGCGAAATGGCAGAAAAAAGAAATGAAGGAACTTGATCGAGAGAGGTTGAATCATCGAGTTGCGTGGATACTTTTAGTAGCTATGAACCAACACCCTGTAAACTCCTGAGAGCTGTGAGGATGACAGAGGGTCTGACCGATGCTTCGCCTAGGGGAATCAGGAATCGGGATGTGGTTCTGTCTGACTAATTTACCGCAAATCGTGCTAGTCACGACGATGGAAACGGGGGATTGTGAGAGGCGGGGGTGTGTGAGAACGATGCTCTTGTGAATTCGTTGGTCTGATTTTAACTTCGGATGGCGGGCGTGCTGTGTCACTCGTGGGGCCTGTTCTGTGTGGCTCGTCCTAGTCGTGTGGCCGTTGTTAGTTCCTTGCACCTATCTTGAATCTCCGCTTGTGTGGCTTGGTAACCACACGATGGAATGTCTGACGTGGGGTCGGCGAACAATGCCTGGCTGATAATGCGCTTGTACCCCACAGGTGCAGACTACACGTGGCAGTGTGAATCTGCCCAAATGTCTGTTACACGCACGATGAACCTCGCTTAGGTGGCGTGGCAGTCGGGCGAATGCGTTCACGAAACCACTCACGTTTCGTCCTTACATTTCGCCTGCCTGACTTCTGGCCTAGAAACAAGGCAAACCACAGACAACAGGGTGCGGGACTGCACGTGCGTTGGTGGCCGCAGCGCGTGTACTGTAGCCAGCCATCCAGGTGCTTGTACTGTGGGAGCAGCAAGCAGGGTGCGTGAGCTCGGGTGCAGCGTTTACATACGGTGCATAGCAAATTCGCGTGCAATGGTCGGGCATTAGCTGTATACGGTTTGGAAGTGGCAACCTGCAAATCGAACTGCCATTGCGCGACTCGAGATGTAATTCATTCAGTCAACCACTTTCAATGCTTCCACAGGCTCATACTCCTTAGAACCCCTTCAAAGCTCTCCAACTTCTTCCCAACGCCTGCCAACTTTGTAAACCCACGGGGATTTCCCACACATTACCCCCTTCCCACTTCCAAGCAACTCGTGCAATATTCGTGTTGCCCCTTCGTATGTGAGGCAATTCTAAATTTATTGTCATGCCATATCACACTGGAGAATTGACCCGCGTTAAATAATGTTTAAAAAGCAATTCTAAGAGTTTCATTGGTTCTAGAACCTTTAGCGCAGGTAATTCCGTAAGTTTGTCACCAGCAGGTTCGGTTGGGCCGCCTCCCGCAATTTTCAGGGCCGAAGGACCAATGGGCAACCCTACAGATCTCGATTTTCTGGACCAAATTTATGGGTGGCCTGGCCCCCACGCAATCGAGGGTCCTGGGTTGTTCCCTCCCGCAGAGTTGTAGGGCCTCCGCCTCAACATACTGTATCATCCCCTTTCTCCCTCCTCCCCCTTTTTCGCCCCCTCGCATGTGCGCCGTTTTCCTCATAAACGCGAGTTTTCCCCTCCAACTTTCGTGCGCTGCCGTTCCGCGCGTCAGGATTCTTTCCCCGCAACCAGATGTCGTTGCGGACGACGAATTTGAGTCACTCTTCCCACCCTCGCTGTCTCAACCGAAACCTGCCGCGGTAGGCCGTTCTAGGCTGACGTGGCAGCCGTCCTGAATGGCGTGGCATAGAGAAAGTATGCGACGTCGCAGCTTTAAGGTCGTAATCTCGACGCTCCTGTTGGTGGCGTCGTCTTGCGCTCAGACAGCAGGCGGAAGCAATGGCGGTAGCGTCGGTGGAAGGATCAGCGGAAGTAGACGGGGAATGGTGCAGCTTTTAGCAGCCGGAGAAGCGCCTTCCCGCCGCCCCATGCGGTTCTATCCCACAATGGCGGCTCCCACGGGTCAGAACGTGCGACGCGGCGTTTCTTTGCCCACGAGCTATTACACAACAACGCCGCAATCAACGGACGTCTCCGATTCCGGCACTATCGCATCCTCCACTTCGAACCGCACCATCGGTATCGAGAGCAGCGGTAGCGTGAGCAGCGGAAGTGTGAGCGGCGACAGTCGGAAGAGCGCGGCCGGCGCGGCCGGCGCTGCCGGAAATACTCAGATAAAGCCGTTCGCGGGCCCCATAGGGATTAGTCCGGGGTGGAACAGCCGTCAGTGTCGGAATAGTCCGTACTGCGGGGTGATGTACGCGCCGATTAAGGTGTACGTTATCTGGTACGGCAAGTTCACGGCGACGCAGAAGGAGCTAGTGCGCGCATTCACGCGCTCGCTCAACCCCAGCTCGGATACCTCTATAACGGGTACGTTTTCTCGAATTGTTGCAAGTTTCAACTGACATTTGCGTTTCGCATTTCCGTTTTTATATTCGTATTCCGCCACCCCCCCTCCCCCACTCCCGTTCCCCAATCCTCCTTGCCCCCTGCCCCCTTTTTCCTGCCTCGGATCTTCCGCGCCTCTCGCCCTCATTCTCCCCCTCCCCCTCGCCCCCACAGCGACCCTATAGCGGAACATCAACCGCGCGTCTGCCGACGCCTTTCCCCCCCAAACCGCCTTCTTCCCCTTCCCTTCCCCTTTGCCTGCCCCCCATCCCTCCTCCCCCACCCCCACCCCCCTCCTCTCTCCCTTTCCCCACACAGTACCCCTATGGTGGAACATTAACCAGCTGTACTACGACCGTAACGGGCGTTTCATCTCCAGCTCCGTTACATTTGCAGATGAAACGTCCGACACCGGGTATTCCCGAGGCTCGAGCCTCAGCGACAGCGAGATCGACTCGCTCGTCTCGTCCGCCATAAGCAGCCAAAAGCTGCCGTACGATCCAAATGGCGTGTACTTCGTTCTCTCGGATGAAACGGTCAGCCAGGTGAGATGACACCCTGAGATGACACCCTGAGATGACACCCTGAAATGACACCCTGAACCCTGAATGAGGCATGTAGACCCAACAGCTATCTATGCTTTCGGGCAAAATATGTGCTTCCAAACCCACAGGGGCTAGTAAAAGGGCCTAGAGCATTATTCAACTCAAGTCTCCCCTCTCCCTCCGCCTCTCCCTCCCCTTTTCCCTCCCCTTTCTCCCCCCCCCCCCCCCCCCCCCCCCCCCGTATCCCAGTCCTCTCAAGGCTCCGCCTTCTGCACGCACTACTGCGGCTGGCACACCTACATCCTCGTCTCCGCCAAGAGCCGTGTGTTGAGGTGCCGACTCAACTCCTGCCTCCCCATTTCCCAACCCCAACCCCAACCCCAATCTCCCTCATCTCGTATCCCAGTCCTCTCAAGGTTCCTCCTTCTGCACGCACTACTGCGGCTGGCACACCTACACAGACGTCCCGGGCAAGGGCCGCGTGGTCAGCGGCTGGGTGGGCAACGCCAAGACCCAGGTGAGCACATTTGCTCACTGTCATCTCTGGCAGGGATCACGTTGCTAGCGCCACCTATCCTGGCCCATCGAGAACACATCAGCTTATTCTTGTACTTGTACACAACCACCCCCCCCCCCCCGCTCCTCCTCCGCTCTCCAAATCTCTCCTGCGCCCTGTGTGTACAACCCTGCCCTAAAGCCAGGGACGTACGGCCCTGCGCACAGTGCTCCTCCTCCTGGCCCCACTCAAATCGTTGCAGGGATTTTCTGGAATTCTCAGAAAATCCCCCACAGTGCCCTTTCTCCTGGCCCCGCTCAAATCGCATCTCCATCCTATTTTCCAGCCCCCCCTCCTTTTTTCCATCCTTCCCTTCTCCACACTCCTTCTGACATGCATGTGCAAACAATGACCTGGGAGCTGCGTAACCAGCCTCATTTCAAGCTCATCACACCAGCCTCTCCCCAACCGGGACAAGGGCATGTCCGTGTATGGACACACGCGCACCCGATTCCCCCTTCTCTCCCCCCCTCCCCCACACACACACGCAGTGCCCTAGGAGCTCCATCGCGGGCCTCATCTCAAGCTCCTCCGCCTCCCCCAACCGGGACAAGGGCATGGATGGGCTCCTGTCCGTGTATGCACTCACACGCACCCAGTTCCCTCCTCCCACCCCCTCCCCACACACGCAGTGCCCTAGGAGTTGCATCGCGGGCCTCATCTCATCTTCATCCTCCTCGCGCAACCGGGACAAGGGCAAGCATACTCTTATCCCCCTCCCCCTGCCACCCCCAACCCCCCATCCACAGTGCCCTAGGAGCTGCATCTCTGGCCTCATTGCCTCCTCATCCTCCTCGCCCAACCGCGACAAGGGCATGGATGGGCTCCTGTCCGTGTACTCTTATACCCCTTCCCCTGCCACCACCAACCCCCCATCCACAGTGCCCCAGGAGCTGCATAGCAGGCCTCATCTCATCCTCATCCTCCTCGCCCAACCGGGACAAGTGCATGTCCGTGTATGCACACACATACACACACCTGGTTCCCTCCTCTCACCCCCTCCCCACACGCAGTGCCCTAGGAGCTGCATCGCGGGCCTCATCTCATCCTCCTCCTCCTCGCCGAACCGGGACAAGGGCATGGATGGGCTGCTGTCCGTGGTATACTCTTATGTACGCACACGAGGTGGCCGAGGCCACTAGCAGTCCATACCTGACTGGCAGACGTGGATGTGCTGCTGTCTGTGTTGCTCTGATACCACCCCCCAGTCCCGCACCCGACCCCTCCCTTCCGCCTTCTCCCCTTTTCCAAATCTGCCCTGCTACCGTTCCCCCATCCACAGTGCCCTAGGAGCTGCATCGCAGGCCTCGTCTCCTTGTTTGCTCATACACCCACCTGGGTCCCTCCTGCCACCCTCCCCCCATTCGCAGTGCCCTAGGAGCTGCATCGCAGGCCTCGTCTCCTTGTTTGCTCATACACCCACCTGGGTCCCTCCTGCCACCCTCCCCCCATTCGCAGTGCCCTAGGAGCTGCATCGCAGACCTCGTCTCCTTGTTTGCTCATACACCCACCTGGGTCCCTCCTGCCACCCTCCCCCCATTCGCAGTGCCCTAGGAGCTGCATCACCGGCCTCATCTCCTCCTCATCCTCCTCGCCCAACCGGGACAAGGGCATGGATGGGCTGCTGTCCGTGGTATACCCTTATCCCCCTCCCCCTGCCACCACCAACCCCCCATCCACAGTGCCCTAGGAGCTGCATCGCGGGCCTCATTGCAAGCTCGTCCTCCTCACCCAACCGCGACAAGGGCATGGATGGGCTGCTGTCTGTGTACGCACACGAGGTGGCAGAGGCGACTAGCAGCCCGTACCTGCAAACATGGATGGATGACAAAGGGGACGAGAACGCAGACAAATGCGGATGGAAGTAAGTACTTTTTACCATTTTTTACTCTCTCTCTCCTTTCACCCCGCTCCTGCTTTTTTCTTCCGTGCTTTTAGTTTCAATCATCTTTTTTTTCCTTTGATCTTCCTATTTTGCTACTCTCTTTCCTTTTTCCCCCGTTTATTGACATGCCCCTTTCCAAAACCCCCTCATTGCCAATCTTTTCTCCTAACATCGTGTGCCTTCGTGTCACACTCCCACCACTAGGTTCGGCACCGTAAACCATGACTCCTCGAATGCTCCGTACAACCTAGTAGGTGTGAACGGTTACAAGTTCTTGATTCAGCAAAACTGGGACTTAACAAAAGGTAGATGCGCAACCACTGTGCCTTACCCAGGCTCCAGCTCTTCATCACCACCATCGAAAAAATCACCGCCACCATCAGGCTATTCGGCACCCCCGCCACCGCCAACTGGTTCAACTCTTGTTGAACTTTTGCAACTTTTGTGGAAGCTGTTTTTTGGCTCCAATAAACAAAGACAGCAAGCGCCATCACCACCACCACCTCCTCACAACTAAAATGTAATGCTGACGTATAATCCCTTCGTATCTGTACCTGTAGCCACTGTACATCCTCACTAAAGTTGGTGGGAGCACGCACATTTGCCGAGGCGCAAATCCATGCCCTTTGTCGGTGGGCCGTTGAGCGGGAAACACCCTCGAAATTGAAATATCGTAAGCTGCAAAATGTATAGGGGTGTCTGTAACCCTGAAATAAAAGTTTCTTTCACGACTGTAAAGAGAATCACGCCTGTGCGTGGCAGGAAAATATAGTTATGCCCAACAAAAGTGTGGTCAGGTCATAACCAATTTCGAGGGTGGGCAACACCTGGAAAACCGCCTGTGCATTCGCCTGATGACTTCTCGTGGTTGTGGCGGCCACTGCAATTCGTCTGACGACCCTACGTGACCACTGCCAATATCTTAGCACATCAAGGAATCCCTGCTTGCTCGCCTCACGTCACGTCTGCTAGTTTGGTAAGGATCTCGACGGCTCAGGTGCAGGCATTGAGGCAGATAGCTAAACCAGGAACAGAGCACGAGGCAAAACGCGACGAAGGAAATGGTTCTTAGTAACAGGAAAATGCGGCCCCGTTGTCGCCGCATCCGGCGTTCCCGTACGAGCCTCAACTTCAGAAGCGCGCTTCCGCTGTTCCTGGGACTCCTAATTGCGTTCCTTCAGCTTACCGTCATTTCCGTCGCCGAATCATCACCGCGAGCGCCCGGCGTTACGGTAGGGATCTCAGTCTAGCTCGCCGTTCGCGGCCTTTTAGTCAGCTTATCGTCATTCGCCAAATCATCACCACAAGCGCCCGTTACGGTAGGGATCTCAACGTAGCCCGCCGTTGAGTTTGAGACGTTCCTAAACTTCATCGCGAAAAAGGCATTCTCACAAACACTCGTTCGCGGCCTTTCCATTGCGAGGCGCCTTCGAATTGCAGGTTCCCCATGCCGTTCTAGCTTCTCCTATTCTTAAGCTAGCAATAGCCATTGGTGAACCCCCTATCCTTAATCTCCCTCTCTCATCTCCCCTTTCCCCTCCCCCTCTTCCCCCGTCCTCCCGCCCCCCACCCCCCACACCTTCGCCCGCTTGCCTCGCTCCACCGCGCCTTACCAGCGGGAACCCCCCATCAGATACACCTACGCCAGAAGAGCCGGACTTTTACAGTCAGATGAAACCTCCACCAACAAAAGCACCGATTCGAGCCACCAGAGAGGGCTCCACGACGAGACCCCCACGACCGTCCGTCCCTTGGGAATTGCGCGCGTGTATAATGCAAGGTAGCGTACTGCGCTGTACTGTATTGTACTAATTGTACCTTTATTACTATTTTCTGTGCTATGGACCTATTATGACCGTGCTGGTACTTTTACTATGCAACACGTCTCCGCATGACTGTTTGTTTTTATCTTTCCCCCCCCCCCCCCCTCCTCCCTCCTTTTTCTTGCATTCGCTTTGCGATACTGAGTATTTCTGGAGCCCTTTCCCCGCCCCCCGTGTCCGCCTCCTCCTGGTCTTTCTTATATCGGCTGCAGCCATGAAACATCTGCAGCAGCAGCAGCAGCAGCAGCAACAGCAACAGCAACAACAGCATCAGCAGAATCTGCATCAGCAGGAGATTCAGCAGCAGCATCTAGCAGCAGTAGCAGCAGCACGAACCTCCCGTTCACGCCTCGGGGAATAGATTACCACTGGGACGACCTGGATCCCAATCAGATGGCCTTCTGTGCCGCGTCGCCCGCGCATTGTGGCGTGATGCACGCGCCTGTGGGGGTGTACCTGCTGTGGTATGGAGCCAAGTTCAGCGAGGAGCAGAAAGACATCGTGCGCTTGTTTGTCGCTTCCCTCGCTGCAGAAGAAATTGATCCAGACGCCACAGGTGGGTGGCTCGGCTTGAGTGTGTTCAGGACTGCAGAACGCTTTCTCGTAAGCCTCTCCTTCTCCCTCTAATTCCTCTCACATCATTCCTCTTCCTCGCGGGAATCCTGTGACCCCCATAACCCCCATAACCCCCCTCCACAGTGCCGGCATGGTGGGCCATCAACACGCTCTACTTCGACCAGCAGGGCCGAAACATCTCCTCCAATGTGACTGTTAAGTCCGAGACTCACAACCCTTCGCAACCCCTCTCAACCCCTCTCCACAGTGCCAGCATGGTGGGCCATCAACACGCTCTACTTCGACAAGCAGGGCCGAAACATCTCCTCCAATGTGACTATAAAGGGCGAAACTCACGACACCAAATACACCCGGGGCACCATGCTGCTGCGCTCTGACGTGGCGGGGCTCGTCCAATCAGCCGTCAGGAGCGGGTCACTGCCGTACGACCCGGACGGCGTGTATTTCGTCCTTTCCGATGAAGACGTTTCGCAGATGGACGATCCGAGCGGGACGGGGGGTACGCAGTATGCTCTGGCGTTCTGCTCACACTACTGCGGATGGCACTCGTTCACTCAAGGGACTGACGGGCGACCCCTCATCATCTCGTTTGTGGGGAACGCAGTCAACCAGGTACTAAATTACTGTATGTGACCTGGACAACACAGAGGTAACACTGGCGTTCTGCTCGCACTACTGCTGATGGCACACATCACTCAAGGGACTGACAGGCGACCCTTCATCATCTCGTTTGCGGGGAACGCAGTCAACCAGGTACGAGCTCTTTCCATGTGACCTGGGTCAACACAGACGTACCAATGGTGTTCTGCTCGCACTACTGCGGTTGGCTTGGCACACATCACTCAAGGCCAGGACGGGCGACCGCTTATCATATCTTTCGTCGGAAACGCAGTCAATCAGGTACGCACTGTCTCGTTTACACACTTCCCAACCCCAACACCAATCCAATAATAAATACTTGGTACCCCATCAGTGCTCTCTCCAAACATCGAGGAACAGTACATGACACTTGCATATCATTGTACCCCAATCATGGTGCATAGCATCTCAATCAAAATCAAGATGTTCTTTCAACCAGCCCCACGCAGTGCCCAGAGGGCAGGGCTGCATCTCGCCGTACCTGAACCAGCCCGGGGTGGTGGCACCGATCCACTGCATCTCATTGTATCTCGAAACCACCCCCCTCCTCCTCCCCCCTCTTAAATCATTCCCCATCCCCTTGCAGTGCCCGGAGGGCTGCATCCCTCCATACCTGAACCAGCCGGGGGCGGTGGCGCCGAACGGGGACGCGGGGATGGACGGGATGGTGTCGGTGTTGGCGCATGAACTCGCAGAGGCCACCAGCAGCCCCTTCCTCGCCACGTGGTTCGACGACCAGGGCGAGGAGAACGCCGACATCTGCGCCTCAAAGTACGAATGTGTCATATATTTTGTTCTTTTATATCTGGTTTTCTTTGTTGACTTGCCAATGCGAAGATGAGCGAAGACCTAAGATCCGTTCCAGGACATCCTGGGCCCTCGGGGCAAATTCTCGGAAAACGGTGTAGCCCTAGTGGCAAAGGGGGTACTTATAGTAATAACGGGTGAGGACAATTCAGGAATCTGCTCTTGTGGGTACATATGTTTGTCTTTCGGACTGTGTAGGCTGTAGATTCGTATATGAGGGGATGGACACTGGACATGGGCATGCGAGGTACACTGTACTTTTTCTCCTATGGTCCTTCCTTGTGTTTCCCTGTCTCTTTCTTTTCAATCTGTTTATTCTGTCTCGCAGTTACGGTGATGTGATATCAGATGCAGCCAGTGGTGTGCAATACAACGTGGTGGGTCAGAATGGGGCACGATTCCTAGTGCAAGCAAATTTAGACCCACGAGCAGGGAGTTGTGTGATTTCACCAGTTGCCGTCAACTCTCCCAGCGTGGATAATCCCACCATTGGGGAACCCCCTCCAAGCGTGGATGTGCCGGTTGAGGAGCCACCTCCACCATCACCATCATTCCTAGATAAACTAATAGAGTTTATCACTCACTTTTTTGGCTTTTGATAGTTCATGCTGGGCCATGATAAAAGTTGGGCATATTTGTAAATTACACCGTTCGTTGGAACCACACTGTACCCCTCTTCGTTGTCGTTAGATCGCCGACCTATGTTTTATCTAGGGGTTACAGTACAGTGCCGAGTCTGGCTGGTCAAGGCACCGCCGAATTCCCCCCACCATCGCTTTGCCGAAGAATACGACAATTGCGGCAGCCAAAAAAGACAAGCTAGGGATGTTCTCCGCGTCACGACGATCCGGATCGCGCTTTCGGGAAACCGAGACACATGCGACTCGCCGACATCATGTGCACCGAAGAGGGGGCTCGCATGAAATCGTCCACGCTCTCAGTAACCAGGATGTGCAGGGGGTTCACAGAGGAGCTCGTGAATTCGCAAACCGTTCGTTCCTCGCTGTCGCCGACTTATACATTCGCACCCATAATTCATTTGCAACCAGAACCACAAGCATAGCTTTTCTTCGACATTGCGTTTTCATCCTCTCCCACACGGCATCAGAGTTTGGCGCAGGATATCTTTCAACTCTCAGTGGTCGAGCAAGCTCAGCGATTCCCAATACACGAATCCTCCATAAGCTTCAGATCAATTCGTCCTTCTGGAGTCTTCCTGCACTATCAGAATTGAAATATCGTTGGCACACGACGATGGCTCGTTCTCGACTTAGCTCGCTCTCTCCAGCCATCCCATTCTTTTTCCTCGCCCTCTGGGCCTCGTTCCTAAATGCATCGTCCGCAAGCGATCTGTTTCCATCCATCCCGGAAAGCCGCACCGATGTAAGTTCTGGCTGTAAGATTTTCCTGAGTAATGCCTTCAAGGCCGTGACATTGCTCAAATGTGGGTTCAACGATCGTTGAGTCACACACATCTGGGCGTCATATGAATATGTCGAGAGATACTGCATCTGACGATCAATGCGGCACATCCTCATGCCGCACTTTCTTCCCACGCTTTCCGAAAATCCCGCCTCTCCAGCAATGGATCCGCGCGATGCGTCGGACATTCAGGGTCTCGTACGCGCCCATTCGTGGCTCTCGCATCAGCATACGGGGTTGGCGCCTCAAAAGTCATTTATTCTGCATATCCCGACGTCCCCTCTCTCAGGAATGGAGCGCGATGCGTCGGTTATCCAGAATCTCGTACACGCCCATCCGCGGCTCTCACATCAGCATGCGCGGTCTCACGGAAATCGCGTCTTCAGGAGGAATCAGAAGCGGCAGCGCGAGCATGCGACAAACGAAGCTTCCGCATGGAGTCAGAGCTCTGATCGATAACAGGTGTGTGAACGCATCTGCTCTGACCAAGACAGGTCATTTCTGAAACATCACTCCTTTGTACAACTCGTCATGTTCAACGCGATGAATAGCCGCCTCTTGCATCATGATGCATCGTCCGATTTGACGCAAAGCAATTGAGTCTCAGGGACGGAATTTCCCTCAACTATCATGTCCCTTTCTCATGATCCCCTGGTACTTTCCACGCGTCCTATCCCTGCAACAACAGCGCCCAAGTAGGCGCATCTGCGTCGAATCCCCCGCCCAAGAACATCGGCTACCACTGGGACGATCCCAGTGCCGCCTACATGTGCTCCGCGAACGCCAAGTACTGCGGAGTCATGCACGAGCCCATCGCAGTGTACCTCGTGTGGTACGGCGTGTTCACGGAAGCGCAGAAGCAGATTATGCGCACGTTTATCGAGTCACTCAATACTGGAAACAGCAACGACACATCTCTGACCGGTAATGCTCTCCAGAGCCCCCCGCCCTTCGTCCCTGGGTGGCATCATACGTGGCATCATATTCACGTTCTCTCCATCACAGTACCTCTCACAGCATGACGCCACGTACTCCATTTCTCGCTAACCTTCCCTGCTCTGATTCCCCTTGAACATTGTTGGCTTTCTTCCTCCTTTACCAATATGCTCACCCGTTCCTCCTGCCAGTTCCCAAGTGGTGGAACATCAACCGGCTCTACTACGACGCTCAAGGCAACTACATTTCCGGATCCGTCACTCTCAAGGGCGAGATCGACGACACACTCTACTCCAAAGGCACCACTCTGTACAACTCTGGCGTCGCCGACCTCATTTCTTCCGCAGTGAACGACGGGAAACTTCCCAATGACAGCAACGGAGTGTATTTCGTCCTCGGGGATTCCAAAGTGGCTCAAGAGGACGACTCAAGCTACTCTCAGTCAGGATTTTGCAGCAGCTACTGCGGATGGCACGCGTACACCCACGACAACCTCGAGCTCGTGATTTCTTTTGCTGGTAACGCAGTAACCAGGTGCCCGGAGGGCTGCATCCCGCCGTACCTGAACCAGCCGGGGGCGGTGGCACCGAACGGCGACGCGGGGATGGACGGGATGGTGTCGGTGGTGGCGCATGAACTCGCAGAGGCCACCAGCAGCCCCTTCCTCGCCACGTGGTTCAACGACCAGGGCGAGGAGAACGCCGACATCTGCGCAGGAGACTACGGGGATGTGACCCGTGATGCGACCACGGGAGCGTATTTCAACCTAGAGGGTGTTCGGGGATCAAAGTTCATCGTACAGGCGAATCTCGACCCAGTTACCGGCCGCTGCGTAGTGCAGTCTGACGGGCCTGAGGCTTTGGGAAGTCCGAGCGAGCCTCCCTCTTCCGCTGGTACCACGCCCAGTCCGCCACCTGCTTCAGAGCCACCAGTTACCGTTCCCACACCCCCGGTTACCGTTCCTACGCCTCCTGAAACTGTCCCAGAGCCACCCACCGTTGCTACACCTGAGCCACCAGTAACTGGAACGCCCTCAGGAGGGAGTACCTGGGATGCACTTGTTTCCTTCTTAAGTAGCTTGTTTGGTTTCTAATTATGTATGAACTATACAGCTATACCACCCTAGAATGTGTTGCAACGCACAGGTGTGTTCGGTTTCAGAGGACCTCGGCTCTGATGCAACTCATCATTGGTGTAACTGATGCTGATTAATTTGCATGGCCTGTATGGGTGATTGTTTTACAAAAAGCATGAGGCTTTTATTGAACCTCATATACATCTCTGTATAGTGTCTGCCAACAGCGGATCTTGGACAAAGGTCGCGGAGGTGTTGATGATGTACATTTGCAGTTTGGACTGCGCTTGTTTCTATAACCGCCACGCGAAACCCTTGCAGCACCAAAATAAATTCACACGACAGCGTGCGGGCAGAGTTCAGGTGAGCGAATGTTGACCGGAGCGGGCAGACCTTGACCTAGCCTAACCGAATGTTGTGCGGCATGCACGGCACTCACTCGAAGGAACCGAATTTACGTTCTAGCTCATCCCTTTTACAGAGTTGTGAAAAACGTTTGTTTTTGGAAAACCCGGATAATTGAGTTCCAGTCCTGTCGGAATTTGGTTCCAACTAGGATCGATTTCCAAAAACACTCTGGATCGAGTGTTTCCACCGTAAACTTCAGCACTTACATAACCCCGTCTTTCTCTGAAGTTGGACCCGTTAGAAAGGCAGCCATGCTCAAACACTGACTGGAGAATGGAGGAGAAGTCAAGGCGTTTATTAATGAGAAGTGGTGTCGTTCTGTGTAGTGTGAAAATCAAGTGGGACTAGTCCTTTCCAGCTGCTGATGTTTGTAGCGTGGGGATCCGTGATAAGTCGATCAACATTCAAATTCGTAGTGCAAGTTCTCAATCTTGTGCGGATCCGGTACAATTGGTACGGGTTTCTTATCCGTGAAAAGTCGACTACTGCCCGTGACCTCCGTCAACAAATAACAACTTAAAGACGACAAATTTCGGCAAGCAACAAACAATGAGCGACTCGACGTGACCCGAGGTGAAAGATCGGTGTGTGACCTACGAGACGTGGGAGAACCGCGCCTAGGGCCACCGTCCAGTCGACAATCCACGCCATCCCCATCTGATCTGACCAACAACTTTTTGACCGCCTAAAAAGTACAACATGGGATCGTTCGAGCTGTGCTGCGCCTGCCCAAGGCCGATTCAAACGTTTTCACAATAAGGCTTCTGCTGCCCACCGCTGGCGCCTTCTGGCAGGGTTGCACTGTGCTAGCTTTGGAGCAGGGCTGTCGTTTCGTTTTGGCCCCCCCGGACAAATCAGGGGGCCTGGCATGTACGACCCTGTATTTAGCAGGGTCGGGGCGAATCTCGGCCCTTTAGGCTTCAGGGCTGAAATTTATTCCTCCCTGTAAATCAGGTTTGGCACGGAAAATTCTGCAGCCTCAGTTCTACCACAAAGCTGACAGCTGCACTCCGCTAGTATCAAATTAGCTAGTTAGCAATAAAAAAACTAGTTAGCGTCATTCACTACGCACGCGTAACAGACTTCCTCCTCTTCCAACTCTTAGCAAAGATCTGAGATGTGTTTTGCTGCTTGCTATGCCCATTCAGGCCTGAGGGTGCACAACATGACGGGGATCTGAGATGTGTTTTGCTGCTGCATGTTGATTCATGCTACTGTCTGTGTGTCATGGGATGGGAGCGAGGTTGTAATTGGTACAAGTACCAGTTGTTGGTTGAGTTGAATCTGTGGTCCAGCCACGCAACTCCAAATTTGACAGGCTTGAATGCAATCAAAATAGAAACGGGGGGAGGGGGAATGGAGGAGTTTGGGGGGGGGAGGGGGGGGGAGGAGTGGGAGGGGAAGTTCGAAAGACTTTGTTCCAGGGCTCGCCTAAAATCTACCCTTCACACTCCAGACCAAAGCCCGAAATCAGCCCTGTAATGAATCAGGGCCACAATTTTCTCAACCCATCAATTTCAGTTTTCAAGGGCAACCCAGCCCTGGAATTCAAGGTCCAGCAGGGCAAACGCCCTGCAAGCGACAGGCCTGCTTTGGAGATTTGAAGATTTGCCAGCTGTTTCCATCAGTTTGCGCTGCATTGCGACGTGCGCTATTTGCGCCCTCAAATCGAATTGGTCGCGCAATGTTTGGACTCTCGGCCCTACTCACCAAATGCCTCAGCGCCTCCGCGTTTTAGGTTCCCTGTGCGTCACTTAGGGAGCGACTCACCACCACCATCACCACCTGGCACCGATGATCGAGAACCATCTCCGTTTTCCTCTCGGCACCAATCGTGGGCCAACACAAGTCAGTACACCACACCCAGCACAGCAGACGATAATCCGCACCAGGCATTTCCCCATTGCAGAGCGAACGTGACCTGACCCACCAAGCACCCATTCGGCCCACTTTAGTCGGCGCAGCCACGTCACAGTTCTTTGTGTGGCCCCTACCGTCGCGCCTCGTGTGAATCAGTCCGTCGGGATATCTCTCCCAATACTAAAAGCCGAGCTACCAAAGTTGCACACTGCTCAGCACTACAACTTGAGGTCGAGTCTTGGTCGAGTCCAGCCTGTATTGTGCGATAGTGTAACTCCAGTTTCTTACTCCAGAGTCCAGTTCAGGTCCCATGGCAATTAAAAGTATCAGCCGGCCGTCGTTCCATATACGAGCCATCGTCGCACTCCTCCTCTTCGCCGCACTCTCAACCATCGCCTGCGCGCGACAGCACAGACGACTCCTCGTAAGTCGTCGCCATTGTCGCACAGACTCGTCTCGCCTCGCCCTGCAATTTTCGATGCGCCATAGAAAGAAATACCTGACCGGCCTTCAGACGCCGTCTCATTATACACCTCAGTTAGCAAGCTATTGAATTGGTGTCAATTTCGAGGCATAGCTGGTTCAAGCATGAGTCGTAGTCATGGCTGTCCTCCTACTTCCCACCCCTCTCCCCCTCCTCCCCTCCCCTCTCCCCCACCCTCTTTCTTCCCCCCATATGACTATCCTGTTCTCCCCCTCCCCCGCGACCCTGTGGCCTAAACTCTCCTCTTCCCTCGTCTCTCCCCTTATTCTTCGCGCGCAGAAATGGCGCAAGCGCACGGACGATAACCTTCTGATGCGCGGCGCGATGCCAGAGGGAATCGCGCAAGTCGTCGACACGAGGTGAGCGGTGCCGCGCTAATACCACCATTCGCGGAAATGCATTTCTCCCCAACTATTAGCACCTCAGCCTTGTTCTCAATAGTTTCCCACGTTCGCTTCTCCCATCTCACCCATCTCTCCCTTCTCCACCCTATCCTCTGTCTTTCCTCCCGCCTCTGCCTTCACAACAACAGCGAACCCGTCTCCTCATCTTCCGCTGCTGTAAACTCCGCGGCTCGTTCCGCCTCCGCCGCTTCTTCCGCTTCCGCCGTGTCTTCCGCCCCCGCCCCTTCCCCCGAGGCTGTGAGCCAGATGATCGCCTCAGCGCTCCGCGCACCTTCCTCCTCCGCCTCGATTTTTCCGCCGCGCCACTCCCCCGCCTTCCACAACATCGACCCGCATTGGGATGATCCCGAGGTTTCCAGCGTGTGCAACCCCGTTACAAAGTACTGCGGGGTTATGTACAAGCCCATCTCAGTGTACCTTATATGGTACGGCAAGTTCACAGACGCGCAAAAGCAGATCATCCGCACGTTTATCGAGTCACTCAATAACAGCAATGACACCGACGCTACAGTCACCAACTGGTGGAACGTCAATCGCCTATACTACGACGCGATGGGCAACCATATCTCTGCATATGTGACTCTAAAGGGGGAGATCGACGACGCAGATTACTCCAAGGGCCGCACTCTGCTCAGCACCGACGTGGCGAAACTTGTCTCGTCCGCGGTTACCAGCAAGCAGTTCGCGAACGACCCGAACGGCGTGTATTTCGTCATGGGAGACCAAACGGTGGCGCAAGAAGATGATACTGCTCCGGAGAAATCCGCGTTCTGCAGGAACTACTGCGGGTGGCACTTCTACACGCGCGATGCTCTGGAACTCCCCATCGCATTCGTTGGCAATGCCGCCACCAGGGTAAGTCGCAACCGCAAACAACCATTCCATGATTTATCATGCTCCGTAGCAGGTCCTGATCGTGTTGTGCTTGAGACCCACCGCTCACTCTCTCCTTCTCCATCTTTTTTTCACCCTGCCTTTCTCCTTCCTCCCACAGTGTCCCAAGCGCTGCATCCCTCCTCGTCTCAACCGCCGCGGAGCAGTGTCCCCGAACGGGGATGCGGGGATGGACGGGATGGTGTCGGTGTTGGCGCATGAACTCGCAGAGGCCACCAGCAGCCCCTTCCTCGCCACGTGGTTCGACGACCACGGCGAGGAGAACGCCGACATCTGCTCACACGAATACGGGGATGTGAAGAAGGATGCGGTTACCGGCGCGGTGTATAATCTTGTTGGCGTGCGCGGGTCGAGGTTTTTAGTGCAAGCAAATCTGGACCCTGTAAGGGGGGCGTGCTCGATTGAGGCGGATGGGCCCGGAGCTGATGTTTTGACGAGTCAACCGGGGTGGTTGTGAGAGGAGAAATGTTGAGACGTGAAGCGGCGAGTGTGGAGTAGTAGAGGGTTTTTTTCGCCCTTTCTGGGTGAACGGAGAGAGAGTGGTTGGTGTGAGGGTGGTCTTGCTGCTGCTGTTGCTACTGCTGAGCTGGTATGGTGGCAGTGCTATTGCTGCTGGTGCTACCGCTGGTACTACTGCTGGTGCTACTGCTGGTGCTGGTGGTGCTGCAGCTGGTGATGCTGTTGCTGCTGCTGGCACTCCGCTGCTTAACAAGAGGTCTGCATCTGATGCCATTTTGTGGCAATGGGTGGTTGTGGAAGCAGGTCCACATCAGCAAAGTGGCACAGCACATGACTGGGCCAGATGCTACGACAGTTGGCGACTGTCGGATGCACTCCGAGAGCTCTCCGAGAAACTCAGACCGTTGATTGGGACACATTCACAGCACTCACGATCCTCCCTCCCTGCAACTCCTCTTTCCTCTGCTCCCTCCACTAGTGCACTACTCTTCCCAAATAACCAGCTCCCTTCTCCAGCATCTGCAGTCAATGCAATGCTGCCATGCAGTAGAAGCAGCGCCAGTCACAGGTTACAATATAAGGCGGTACAAGGTCTCTGGGGAGGCCTTGGGTGAAGAGTCATCTGAGAGATGGGATGGTCTGGTAGGGGACCTAACCTGAGACCTTTTACCGCCTCATATGGGACACGAAGAAAATGGTTGTATCAATCTACATAAGTATTGCTATGTTGATAGGTTAGATTAATGCAAGACAAGTTTTTGTTTATCAAGCCTTCAAAGGATTGGAGTGGGTCATATTTGAATATACCTTATTTGATTTCTGGTGGTGAAAAGTAAGTGAATTTCTGGTGGTGAAGAGTAAGTGAATTTCTCGAATCAATTTGGTGTACCGTGACCACTTTGTCGAAACTTTGACTTCTCCAGACCACGCGATCTCTCGTTATCGGAGCACCAGCTTCTTGGGAAACGATCCCAAGGTTCTTCCGATTCCTGTGAGTTCTCATAAACCATAGAAGCGCAGTGCGGTCCAGTTTACTGTAGTACGGTGCGGTTGCTTTTCCGTTTCCGGTCGAGACCACCCAGATCAGAGTTTCGATCATCTGCTGTTCTTGTTTCCGCTTTTGCTGTGGTTTCGTTTTCACTGTCGCTTCGTTCGCTTTCTCTTCATTGTTTGCGGCCACGCGGCCAGCCAGTAGTTATTGGTTGCCTACGCGCGTTAAAATGGAAGAGGACAGGTGAGCGACAGGTGCGCGCGCACCGACGCGCATCGACGCGAATCGGTACCAGCGCGCGATTTGATGCATGAAAACAGTTCCTGCTGGTCTAACACGAACTTGGCTGGCTATTCGATGACCGTTGGTGTGTTGATTCCTGAATTTGTTTCGTTGAATCTGTTCTGTTATTTTCATCACTGATTAACCCTCCTTATCATTTTTTTCCATCGGCTTTTCATAGCATGTATTTCCCCTCCCCCGCGACCTGGTTCCCGACAAAAGGTGAAAGAAAACACCGTTTTCCATTGGGTCATTCCTCGCCTTATTTTCACGCCTACCCGTCCTCCCCTCCCCCAACCCCAACCCCTCTCCTCCCTTTCCCTCCTCCCCCCCACATCTTCTTCCCCTCTCCCCTTCTTCCCACCATCTCTTGCCCTACCTCCACTCCCCCTCAGCCCCGAGCGGGCGCGCGGAGCGCAGGGGCGGTGGGTCTCCGAGCGGATCGAAACCGTCGGATCGGATCCCCCGGCCGCCACAAACGGCGCCTTTCGCGGCGGCCCGAGCGGCGACAGAGGCGGAGGCGTAGGAAGGGGAGGGGGCGGTTGGAGGGACCAAGACCGTTGGCGCGGCGGAGAGGGGTACTTAGACGGGGGGAGGTATGGCGGCGGGTTTAGCAGCAGCCGCGGGTATAACAGCGCGGAGGGGAGGGGGAGGGGAAGGGGGAGGGGGGGAAGGGTGGGCTGGGGGGACCGGTACCAAGGGCAGGGGGGCTTCGAGGAAGGTGCGGAGGGTATGGACGTGGATGGTGGGTTAGATGCCGGTGGTGGTGGTTTTGGTGGTGGTGCTGCTGGTGGAGGTCCCAAGGGAGAGATCAGGCCGGAATTTGTGAATCCTGACCCGCAGCACATCCCGAGATCAGCCCGCTTCTTCCTGGTGCGTACATGCTCACTCGCTCACTCCCACCTTTCAATGATTTGTGAATCTACTCAAAAGTCGGTTCCAAGGAAATTTCTCACTCTTATTCTGCCTTGAACAAACCCATCCGTTCAAAACTCTCTCCATGTCGCCCCCTCTCCTGTTCCCACTGCTTTCTCGTGTGGCCTTGCCCCTCCCCCCCGCTCCCTCCCTCCCCCTCCCCGTTTTCGCCCCTCCCCCCCGCTCCCTCCCTCCCCCTCCCCGTTTTCGCCCCTCCCCCCCGCTCCCTCCCTCCCCCTCCCCGTTTTCGCCCCTCCCCCCCGCTCCCTCCCTCCCCCTCCCCGTTTTCTCCCCTCCCTCCCGTTCTCTTCCCCACCACGCTCCCCTTTTTTGCAGCACGACGATCGTTTGAACGAACCCATTCGTCTAAAACTCACTCCCTTGTCCCCGCTCCCATTGCTTCCCCGTGTTTCCCCCCCCTCCCCCCCCCTTATTCCTGTTCCCCACCACGCTCCCCCTCTCGTTGCAGCATGACGATCGGATGAACGAGCCCATTCGCCGCCCTCGCCTCTCATCAGGCCTGCCCGCAGGTAAGCCTTCCCCGCGTAAACCGTCGCCGCAGGCCAACCCTCCCCGCATGTAAACCCTCCCCGCAGGTAAACCCTCCCCGCAGGTAAGCCCTCCTCTCCCCATGGTAAGCCCTGTTCCCTTGGATGCACGCTTTTGTATCCAGCCTCCCCTCTCCCTCCTCCCCTCTCCCTCCTCCCCTCTCCCTCCTCCCCTCTCCCTCCTCCCCTCTCCCTCCTCCCCTCTCCCTCCTCCCCTCTCCCTCCTCCCCTCTCCAGTGTTCCCTCTCGCTCCTCCCTCCCTCTCCACCCCACTTCCCTACCCCTTTCTCCTCCCCCAGACTATTCCAGCCTCAACTGCAGCACGTGGGTTTCTAAGCCTGGCGATTGCTCTTTCAACTCGGAGGGTGATGGCAAGGGAGTGATGATAAGCCCATCTCTTACCCTTGCGCCCCTGCTAATCCTCCCCTTCTCCCCTCCCATTTCCCCCCTCCCCCAGACTATTCCAGCCTCAACAGCAGCACATGAGGTTCTAAGCCCGGCGATTCATCCTCTGATTTTGAAGATGATGGCAAGGGGGTGATCAGCCTATCTCTTACCCTTTCACCCCTGATAATCCTGCGCCCTTGCTATTCCTGCGCCCCTGGTACCCCCTTCCTTCTCCTCCAGACTATTCCAACCTGAACAGCAGCACATGGGGTCCCAAGCCTGGCGATTCCTCCTCTGAATTTGGAAGATTATGGCAAAGGGAGGACCAGCTCATCTTTTACCCTTTTGACCCTGCTTATTTTGCCCACCTGCTTATCCTCCCCCCCTTCCAGACTATTCCAACCTCAACAGCAGCACTTGGGGCCCTAGACCCGGTGATTCCTCCTTTGATTTTGAAGATGATGGCAAGGGGAGGAGAGAGGAGGGGCGGGGTAGGGAGAGGAAGAGGGAGAGGGAGGAGGAGAGGGCGGGAGAGAGGGAGGGCGAGAGGGGGAGGAATGGGAGCAGGGGTAAGGAAAGGGGGAGGGAACGAGGTGGCGAGGAGAGGGAGAGGGAGAGGGAGGGTAAACGTGGGAGGTATGAAGATGAGAGGGAGAGAGGGGTGGATAGGAGTGAGAGAGGAGGGAAAGGGGAGACAAGGGAGAGGGGAGGGGGGGCTGGGAAGGAGAGGGGCGAGGACCGATGGGGTCATGATAAGTTTGAAGAGGGGAGGAAGGAGGTTGAAGGAGGAGGGGAAAGGGATGTAGTTCCAAAGAGAAGGAGCTTTGTTGTTGTGGCTAAGGGTGGAAAGGACGATTCAGCTGCTGCTGCTGCTGCTGGTGCTGGTGCTGATCCTGCTGGTGCTTATGGTACAGGTGTGGGCAATGAACGCTATGTGGTTGATAGACCTGTTTCGGCTGGCCGGCATCGGGAAAAGGAGAGGGACAGGGGCAGGGACAAGGAGAGGGACGGAGAGAGGGACGGAGAGAGGGACGGAGAGAGAGACAGAGAGAGGGAGCAGAGGAGGAGCGATCGAGCCGAAAGAAGCAGGGAGCGTGGGGAGCGGGCACGTGACTGGGTCGAGGAAACGGCCAAGTACCGTGGACACTACTATTACGGCCGCGACCAGGTTTACCCAGGCACAGCAGACTCCCGTCGCGACCGTGTTCGCACGAATGTGGAGTCGGGGAGAAGAGGTCATGCACCTTTGGATGATGGGTGGCGGGACGAGGAGCAGCCGGTGAGAGTGAGGAGTTTCAAGAGGGAGGGGGGAGGGGAGGACAGGTGGCAGCATGACAAGTTTGGTGACGTGGCCAAGAGCCCCACGCCGCCCCCTGCTGCTGTTGGTGTTGGTGCTGTTGGTGGTGCTGCTGATGCTGCTGGGCCTGATATCAGTCGGATTGAGGCACTGCTTGCAAGCTGATGTGGAAAAGGAATGAGTTATTCTCAAGGAATTCTAAAAAAACGTATTCGGCTGGTGCTGCTTCTGGTAGCTCTAGTACTGATGCTGCTCTGCTGGGCCTGACATCCGTCGGATCGAGGCACTGCTTGCGAGCTAATGAGCTATTGAGCTGATGACATGATGATAAGTTTGGTGATGTGGCAGAGAGCCCCATGCCGCCCCCTGCTGCTGCTGGAGGTGTGGTTGGTTTGGTGGTGCTGTTGGCGCTGCTGCGTATGGTTAAGGTCCCTCAAATATACCGTAGACTGGTTATGCTGGTGGGGTGGGTTGGTTGATTGCTATTTGCTATTGCGACGCGCTGCTAACCATCGAGTGTTGCTAATTTTGTGTGGCACTAAAACACAGGCTGCTGAAGTGTTGATAAAAGGCAGTTGCTTGGTTGGACTGCGGTTTTGCTTGTCTTCCCTATATCACACAAAGATAGCTACAGATTAAGGAACAGAAACAGTTAGCAATGGAGGTGCTACACCTCACTTGAACTGCTAATATAACATTGGGGACAATGAGGAAACGGGTGTACAGTTTGTTTCTGTTTCCTGAAGTCCTATCCAGTACTATATGAAGCATAATTAGACCGGAGTGGCTTGGGCAGTCTTGGCAATCTTGATAAAAACGTCTTCCAGAGTGGTGTTGGTGAACCCCCACGCCCGAATCGACATTTGGTTGCGCACTGAAGCAATCGTCGTAGAATATATTCATACTGGTGTAGCTTGCGCAGTCTTGGCAATCTTGATAAAAACGTCTTCAAGAGTGGTGTTGGTGAACCCCCATGCCCTGATCGACATTTGGTCGCGCACCGATGCAATCGTCGCAAACACATCTGCAACTTCCACCTCAGCCATGGGCATCTCAAACTTTTGCGTGCCCGCCAGGCTGTAGATCCGCTTCGCGTTCGGGCAGATGGAGTTTACGACCCGCCCGATGTTCTCCTCTTCCTCCAGAGGCGTGGTAAGCGTCAGCACATACGTCCCGCCGTAACGCGTGGTGAGCTGGCGTGCATTACCGATGCACTCGAACTGACCGCTCACAAAAATGCCCAGTCTGTCGCAGAGAGCTTCAGCCTCTTCCATGGAGTGGGCTGGTGGAGGGAGAGGGGAGGGCGGGCAGACAGGAAGCGGGAAGAGGGTGCGATTGGCTGCGAGGAGAAGGATGCCGAAAGGATGAGAAGAAATGAGAGGCTGGCAAAAGCTGAGAGCCGGCTTGCGAGAAAAGGGTGGGTGCGACGGCACTCACTCGCCAGCACGATAGCACAGAAAACGGTGAATAATGAGGCGCCTCAAAGCATGTAAGGGTGAGCGCAAGGGTGAAGAAAACGGTGCAGGCACTCACTTGTCAACACGATCGCTCGGTCCTTCTTGGCAGCCTTCACTACGTCCCACAGAAGCTTCCGGGAAGCGGGGTCCAGCCCGGTGCTGGGCTCATCCATATACACAACAAGGGGGTTGCCTATAAGGGAGATGGCGACGCTCAGGCGCCTCTTCATGCCGCCGCTGTACTGGCTCGACACCTTGTCTCCCACACCCCCTGCCAGCAGGTTCACGCTCTTGAGGGACTTGTCCACTGCGTCTTTCAGCTCCTGCCCCCGCAGGTTCTTGAGGCGCCCGTAGAAGAGCAGATGCTCCCTGCCCGTCAGCTGCTCCCATAGCAGGCTGGACAAGGGGAGAGAGGGAGGGGGATAGGGAGGGGAGAGAGGGTGAGCAATGGAGGGAGAGAGACTTGTCCACTGCGTCCTTGAGCTCCTGCCCGCACAGGTTCTTGAGCCGCCCGTAGAAGAGCAGTTGCTCCCTGCCCGTCAGCTGCTCCCATAGCAGACTGGAGAGGGGAGAGAGAGGGAGAGAGAGAGGGAGAGAGGGAGGGAGGGAGGGAAGGGGAAGGGAGATGAGCGATGGAGGAGGGAGTGAGACTTGTCCACTGCGTCCTTGAGCTCCTGCCCCCGCAGGTTCTTGAGGCGCCCGTAGAAGAGCAGATGCTCCCTGCCTGTCAGCTGCTCCCAGAGCAGGCTGGGGAATGGAGAGGAGAGAGGAGAGAGGCGGGGAACGGGGAAGGATGGGTGGATGGAGGGGGAAAGAGGTGCCCAAGGGTTAGAAACGGACGAGGTTAGATTTGTCTCATGCGTCGATGCTCAACAATCAAACACTCCACCCACCCAAACCTCTCTCAAACCCCTCAAAACCACAATCAACCCTTCTCAAACCCCTCAAAACCACAATCAACCCTTCTCAAACCCCTCAAAACCGCAATCAACCCTGTCCAAACCTCACTGAATCCCTCCAACCACGCTCAACCGCACCGAAACTCACTCGTGCTGTGGGCACACGCCCATGATGGAGTAAATCGCGTCCATGTCATCCACAATCCCCATGCCTTCAATGATCGCAGCTCCCTCGCTAGCCTGCAGGAACCCCATCATCATGCTCAGCGTCGTCGTCTTGCCCGCCCCGTTCGGCCCCAGCATGCCGAAGCACTCCCCTCTCGCCACGGCGACTGAGAGGTCCCGCACAGCCACCTTCTGCTTGTTGCCGTCGCGGCCGGGGTAGACCTTCCTGAGACGGTCGCAGATGATGGAGTAGTGCGGCGAGGACGGCGGCTGCTCCGAGTCGGAATGCAACAGAGAGTCCACCAGCGCTCGCTGTAGGAAGAGGGAGAACCACAACACAGGAGGGAAGCAGGAACCAGGGAGATGATTCTCGAACTGGGGCATGGGTACACCTTCCTGAGACGGTCGCAGATGATGGAGTAGTGCGGCGAGGACGGCGGCTGCTCCGAGTCCGAGTGGAGAAGAGAGTCCACCAGCGCTCGCTGTAGGGATGAAGGGAGGAACACTGGGGGAAAATTGGGAGGGGCAAGGGTAAGGGAAGGGAATGAGAGAGGGGTGGACCTTCCTGAGATGATCGCAGATGGTGGAGTAGTGCGGCGAGGCCGGGGGCGCCGAGTCGAAGTGGAGGAGAGGGGAGAGAAAGAGGAATGGGACCATGGTGTTCTATTGTGTTCTTCTCCTGAGTTACCTTTCCCCCCTTCAAGGCAGAACAGAAACAAATAGGAACCAACCTCTTCCATCACATCTGGCTTGTCCTCGTCGCCCGCTCCCTCCTCCATGGAACTGCTCCTCCTCGCGTCCTGTCTCTTGCCCTTCTTGAACAGCTTCTGCAGCCCCAGCAGAGGATGCTTCTTGAACGTACCTCTTCCATCACACCAGGGTCAATTCCCCCAGCCAAAAAGAAACGTACCTCTTCCATGACATCAGGTTTATCCTCGTCGCCCGCTCCCTCCTCCATGGAACTGCTCCTCCTCGCGTCCTGCCTCTTGCCTTTCTTAAACAGCTTCTGCAGCCCCAACAGGGGATGCTTCCGCACGCCGCTACCCACCGCCACCACCTGGTCCAAATACAGCCCCACTAGCAGGAAAACGAGCGCCTCTATAGCGAGGATGAGGACTGCTGTGAAGAATCCCGCGTTTTGGGCCGTCTGCCACGTCAGCGTGCCGGTTCCATTCATCACGGCCGCGTCGTATGCTGACGAGGCGAACTCGTAGAGGCAGTGGTAGATGGAGAAGGCCGGGATGAGCTGCAGGGCGATCAACACCCCGGCTGTTGGTGGGCGAAGGGAAGGGGGAGAGAGAGGAAGAAATGAGCTTGTGAGCCCACAAAGGAAACTCGTCGAGGCAGTGGTAGATGGAGAAGGCCGGGATGAGCTGCAGGGCGATCAACACCCCGGCTGTTGGTGGGGGGAGGGGAAGGGGTGAGAGAAAGAAATGAGTTTGTGAGCCCCCAATGGAGTAGAGGCAGTGGTGGACTCTGTTTGAACTGCCTTGACTGCTTTGACTCTGGTTGACTTTGGTTTGACTTGGTTGACTCACTTGAGGCGCTCTCAGAGTCGAGGAAGAGACGGAATAGGAAATTAGCCATGAGCCGCGAGCCAAACACGTAGAAGTAGCAGACGACTGTGGCAACCTTGGGAGTTGCTAACTTCTGTTGACTCTGTTTGACTTGCCTTGACTGGTTTGGACTCTGGTTTGACTTTAGTTGACTTTGACTCACTTGAGGCGCTCTCAGAGTCGAGAAAGAGGCGGAAGAGGAAATTAGCCATGAGCCCTGAGCCAAACACGTAGAAGTAGCAGACGACCGTGGCCACTTTGGAGTTGTTGAAAGCAGTGGAGGTGAGGACGGAGAAGGACATTTGCATGAAGATGAACACGCCGTAGGCTAGCAGCTGCAGCCCGACCGGATTGGCCGTGAACATCTTTAGCTCTGGAAGGGTGGGAGGGAATGGGAGGAGAGAGAGGGCAAGAGGAAGGCAGAAAGCGGAGGAGGTGAGGAGGGAGAAGGAGATGTGCATGAAGATGATCAGGCTGTACGCGCGAGCAATGCGCAATGAGGAGGGGAACGGGGGAAAGGAAAAGGAACCGCCGCTTATGAATAACGAGGCCGGCAATGAGAAGACAGCGATGCAGATGACAGACATGATGATGGTGAGATAAGAGTAGGAGATGAGCCAGTACAGCCCGTCCTTACAGAGAGACAGTCAGGAAGACACACTTAAGAATAATGAAGCCGGCAATAAAGAAGACAGCGATGCAGATGTTAGACATGATGGTGGGATAAGAGTAGGAGATGAGCCAGTACAGCCCGTCCTTACAGAGAGACAGTCAGGAAGACACACTTAAGAATAATGAAGCCGGCAATAAAGAAGACAGCGATGCAGATGTTAGACATGATGGTGAGATAAGAGTAGGAGATGAGCCAGTACGGCCCGTCCTTACAGAGCCAGTGGAACCCATTCCTTCCATAGACACACAGCCAGGAATGCACACAAGCACTTACGGACGATGAAGCCGGCGATAAGGAAGACGGCGATGAAGATGACGGAAATGATGGTGAAGTACGAGTAGGAGATGAGCCAGTAGGGCCCGTCCTTGAGCCCATGCATGCGCATCATCATCCTCAGGTTCTTCTCCTTCTCATACACCAGGCTCGACGTGAACACGGGGTACAGGAGCTGCAGCATCCACAGGTAAAACAGCGGTCCAAGCAGCGTCGCGGAATCCAACCCCACCGAATCCTGCGGCCGGGGGAAATCCTTCAGGTACAGGAGAGGAATCGTGGCGTTCGGGTTGAGCAGCGCTTTTACAAACGCGTTTGCGGCGAGGTTCATGGAGCGGGGGAAGCGGATGAGCGCGGAGGAGCCGCCGAGGGCGAAGGCGCGGGAGAAGGAGGCGTTGTACCAGATCTGGGTGCGGAAGAGCGAGGAGGAGGAGTTTTGAAAGTCGTAGGCGGACATGTACTGGTTGGGGAGGTTGGAGGGGTTGCCCTGGTAGTACCCCTTGTAGAGATCATCGTTTATGTTAGTCGTGTTGGGGCGCCATAGGGAGAGCGTTACCAGACACTCAATGCCTGCAGGGGGGAGGGAGGGGGCAGGGGAAAGAGCAAGGGCGGGAAGGAAGGAGGGAGGGAGAGAGGGAGGAAAGGAGCGAGAGAGGAAGGCAGGGAGGGAGGGAAGGGGAGGCAGGGAAGCAAAGAGGGAGAGAGTGAGGAGGAGTTTTGGAAGTCGTAGGCGGACATGCACTGGTTGGGGAGGTTGGAGGGGTTGCCCTGCTCACACACTAGTCACACCAAGGCACATTCGCCCCTCCCTCCCTCCCTCCCTCCCTCCCTCCCTCCCTCACTCCCTCACTCCCTCCCTCACACAAAGAACGGTACTCACGGATGGTCATATTGAAGCCGGAAAACGTGATGTTGGAGCTCTGAGGCAGGAGGCTGTACTTGGCGCAGCTGGGCTGAATCAGGTAAATCGTCACATTCCTCGCTTTCCCCGTCGTTGCCGACCCCACCAGCGCCTCCTCTGTGTACAGCGACCACCCGCGCAGGGTGCTGGACCCGGGGGGGACATACGCCATGTCGTAGGTGATCGCTGGGATCATGTAGGAGGTGTTTGTGTAATTGAACACGCCGAAATTCGTCGCGTTTGGCCCGGTTGCGCTGGTCATGTTGCCGAACCCGCCCGCCATGCCCCCCAGCGCGCCGCTCCCCCCCCCGCCGCTGCTACCGCCGCTGCCGAAGCTGCCACCGCCCGAGCCTGCGTCAGTCTCCCAGTTATCGTTGGCTTGCAGTGCCCGATGGGGGTTACCGCTGGCTTGCAGTGCCCGATGGGGGTTACGGGCGGGATTGACAGAGGCACCGCAACCCGTGCGCGTGGCGGTTTCCCATTTGCTTGCTTCTTGAATCACTCGCCGCACCACGTTTGCTGGAAGCACCTCTTCGACCCTCCTCAGGCCTCTCCTCGCTGCCGGACCTGCGGCTGCTGCTGTGGCGGGCGGGGGGGGTCCCAAGCCTGGCGCTGCTGAGGCTGGCGGCGAGGTTTGGTTGAAGGGAGGGTCGGTGAGGTAGAGCATGACGCTCTGCTTCTTCTTGGCGGTTTGGAGGGAAAAGAGAGGCACGTCTGGGATGAGCTTGGAGCCAATGCCTGCATGGGGGGAGGGGATTGAGGGATTGGGGTTGAAATGAGGGAGGAACGGAAGAATCTTGCACAAACGTGCGCCATTTTGTTGCAGAGTATTTTTGAGAATTCTCAAAAATACTCTTTTGAGAATTCTCAGAAATGAGGGATTAAGAGAACTCTTGCACAAACGTGCGCCATTTCCATTTCCGTAAAGGGCACTGTGTTATAGGACGGAATTAAGTCAACCGCACTGGGCCCCCTTCTCTTCCCTCTTCCCCCTTCTCTCTCACACAATAATTATAACTAATTGTCTAGTCCGCCCCAGCAACTCACTGTCAGCAATCCGTCGGTTCTGTCCCGTGTATAAGACCGAGTTAAAGCACGGGTATGTCCCGTTGCCCTCCATGCTCGTCAACCTGCACTCTCCCTACCCACTCACCCATCCCAGCCCAGTAATGCCAGCCACTCACTGTCAGCAATCCGCCGGTTCTGTCCCGTGTATAAGACCGAGTTAAAGCACGGGTATGTCCCGTTGCCCTCCATGCTCGTCGACTCATCAATCGAGAAATTCGCCGGCTTCACCCGGCAGCTGCTGGGCGGCAGGCCGCCGCCCGACCCCCAGTCCGCCGCCCGGAATTTCTCCTCCGGCACCTGCAGAAACGCCGGCCAGGCTGGCGGGTGTGGGAACTCGCAAAAAGCAATCTGCCCGAGCTTGTCGGTGTACTGTGGGCCGCAGACTTTTTTTCCGGGCTGACAGGACCCGTCGGGGTTCTTGAACTCAGTGGGGCAGCCGCAGCCGCACTTGAAGCGCGCGTTGAGAACGTTGGCGATGAGGAGTTGGATGAGGAAGAGGAAGAGGCACATGAAGGCCGGCAGGCTCACCAGACACAGGTTGCTGCCCCAATTGCGCTTCTGTGGGATACGGGGGATGAGTGGAAAGGAGAAGGGAGGAGAGGGGGGGGGTGGGGAGGGGAGGGGGAGGGGAGGGGGAGAAGTGCAGCGGTACATGGTTTGTGAGTTGGATGAGGAAGAGGAAGAGGCATGAAGGCCGGCAGGCTCACCAGACACAGGTTGCTGCCCCAGTTGCGCTTCTGTGGGATACGGGGGATGAGTGGAAAGGAGAAGGGAGGAGAGGGGGGGTTGGGGAGGGGAGGGGGAGAAGTGCAGCGGTGAATGGTTTGTGAGTTGGATGAGGAAGAGGAAGAGGCATGAAGGCCGGCAGGCTCACCGGACACAGGTTGCTGCCCCAGTTGCGCTTCTGTGAGATACAGGGCAGAGTGGACGGGAGAAAGGGGGGGAGAGGGGGGGGGGAGGAAATGCAGCGGTGGATGGTTTGGGAGTTGGATGAGGAAGAGGGTGAGGCACATGAAGGCCGGCAGGCTAACCAAGCACAGGTTGCTGCCCCAGTTGCGCTTCTGTGAGATACAAGGGAGGAGTGGAGGGGAGAGGAGGGGGGAGGGGGGGGAGGAGTGGGGGGCGGTTGGGGGGGAGAAAAATGCAGCAGTGGATGGTTTGTGAGTTGGATGACGAAGAGGAAGAAGAGGCACATGAAGCTGGCAGGTTCACGAGGCACCTGTTGCTGCCCCAGTTGCGTTTCTGTGGGATCAAGATGGGAGACAGAAATGCAGCGGTGGATGGTTTGTGAGACGCTTCAACTCACGACGCACAAATTGCTGACAAAGTTCGTTTCCGTGAAATGAGGGGGTAGAGAATGGAAATGCGGCAACATGAATCGTTACGCGCGCGCCAAAAAAGATTCTGAGACGCCTCAGAAAACAAAACACCCGACACACTGTGAAGGGCTTTGGAACGCATGCTACGATATCTGTGCATGACATGCGAGAAGTCTAGTTTTGAGGCGCCTCAACACCCGACATGATGTGAAAAGCCATGGAACGCATGCTACGACATCTGTGCATGACATGCGGCCAAGTGGATCGTTTTCGCGCATGAAACAAGGTCTTATACGACCAGATGGGGTTTCTCGCTCTGAAATGCATGACGATCCGCTCATTCTGCATCATCCTTATCAAAAATTAATATGGCTGGTATGGTCCATGAACCGACTACACGCCAAAGCGTTATGGCCTACATGCATAGCATTGGGTCAGATTCATCGCGTTGGTTGTGACAAATGCGTGTGCTTCGTGCGAAATACCCCAGCAACTGTGTCGAACTAACCGACCCAGTTGTTTCCGTAAGCCCTTGCAGAAACACAGTGTAGGCGACAAATCCGGACAATAAAATGCAAGCCTTCCTGGCGTGAGTATTCAGCACTGCAGCAGGCCCTACAGAGAAGTGTCCGCATGCAGGCTTGACGATCACATATCATGCGTACCTGGTAAGCGAGATTTCTCCGCATGATAGCGTCAACTTGCGTTCCAAAGGTTGTCGCTAGTTTCCTCCGCCGCTGTTGCGTCGTTTTGTCCGCATACCCTCCCTCCTTCATAACCAGCCCAGACTCGTTATTAACGCTGCCGAGCTCTACTTCCTCCATTGTAAGAATCTACGCTTGTTTCACCAGCAGATAAGCCTCGATGAAGCAGGAAACAATCTTTCGGAAGACGATTTTCGCGAATATAAGCTCCTACGGTAGAAACGGTAAGCGCGTCCTGAAAGGGAGCTTGGAATAATAGCCTTAGGTATCTATCGAACGGGAACGGCTGAACAGCAGCTCAAGTCCTGACTATCCAGGACACCAGAACTGCAAACAAAAGTTGTAAATGGCAGAACTGAGTTGAGCAAATTCGAGATGTTCTCGAGGGTTGAAGAGGTGAGGGTTGTATGAAAGGCGGTGAGACGCAACTGCGAAACAGAGGTGGGAGGTGGGAGCTGCGCGGAAGCAGGGTATCATCAGTGAAGTTGAGTCTAGAGATGACACGAAACGGCAGTTCGGTTCCGGAAACTGGGGGAAAGGAGTTGCGGATGCGCGCACGCTTCCGCTGACGGTGCGTTGCGTTACATCTCGACACGTTTTCCTGGAATGAAGGGAACCTGAGGGAAGATGAAACGAGTATGGGGCACGAGGGGAGAGAGGGGCACCAGGGATGTGCGGCGATGGAGGGGCTAGTCCGTATTTGTCGTCGCCAGCTACCACACCGACTTTTCGCTGCCCTGTCGTTAGCTTCGTCGCCTACTTTCGCTTGAGAAAGTGTTCCGACAACGTCGTTGTGCTTCCTCCAATTTACTGTCATGTCAATTCAGAACAGTACACTGCTTGGTGACTCCCCTCCCGCAAACCAGCATGGGTCGTTCGTGTCATGCGATTATTTGAGAGGACCCGGTGGTACAGTAAACTCGGGCAACTAGGTGGATGGACTAGCCTCACCGCACACCTGTCAATGACAAAATCTGCGACACGCGGAAACCCGAAGCTGGTGTCTCGCGCATGTGCAAAACCTGGCTCTCCGGGTGGGCGGGAGCGCCACGGGAGGGGACATTTTCTCCTTCCCCAAGCCACAGTGCATGGGAACCAACGGTCTTCTCACTTTTCAACCAGCAGAGGCAGTTCAAGTGGGCGTGGCTTGCTCGGATTTGACTGACCAACCAAGGGGATCTGTGAAGGGCCTCACCGCACCTAGGAAGCAGGTTGGGCCGCATGTGCCCTGGTTCGTTCAGGGCCTTGTACAGCAGAACTACCTCACGGTTGAAAACGGTTGAATATGAACTTTAATCAGCACCATTTGGCCGAAATGGAAGGGAAATACAATGCTTTTATTACGGTATTATACATGAAGTATCTAACTGCTTGTAAGGAAAATAGAGTTTCGCATAGCGCATTCCTCAGTTTTGTGGGAGGCGAAACGTCGCATTTGAGCCATGGCACACACGGATATGCGGCCCGTGCACCTGAATTCCCTAGCTGCGAACCGTCGATGATCTGAACTGTCGAGATCCCATGAAGAGGAAGCCCATGTATCGCCAAACTTCACCTGCGAAATGTCCAGCTGAACCATTTTTCCTGAACCATTTTCTCAGCAGCACCCAATAACGGAAACTGAACGTTGAGAGACCAAACTAGAGCAGGAAGTTCAGCAACTAAACCGAAGAGAACCAACATTCTCGCGGCCAAAACCAGCAGGTCTTCAGCGGTTGCTAATGACCAGCTTGAAACCGCTAGCACTGGTACTGACACTTAGGGTCTTATCGAATCCTGAGTAAGAACGACTAGCGTGACACCGACTGTGGTTTGCCGACGCTATCGCTATCCTACTTCCAACTACTTCCACGCAGAGACTTCCGCCAGGGCAGCGACGCTGCGACGTCGCCGAGATTCGACCTAGCGCCTAGCAATACCGGGCCTGCGTTACCAGTGTAATTACAACGCCTGGAAAAATGCAATACAGAAAGCTTGATAAGCAGACGAACAGGAGAATGACTCATTCCCCTTTGTGGTCCGTTTACGATAATGACGACTCGTCGGACGAAGCGTCTGATGCCTGTCGCACTAATAATATCCACACCTGTAGCATGTGCGTTTTTATTAATAGTAGCGATAGCGCTACCACCTCTCCTCTGTACGGCCCGAACGCCGCGGCTTGAGTCATACGAGCAAACGTTTTCACAGAAGCAGAGCCGTCACTCGGGCGAGGCAACTTCTGAGACGCCTCAAGAGTCGCCACGGCTTGAGCTATACGAGCAAGCGTTTTCACAGAAGCAGAGCCGTCACTCGGGCAAGGCAACTTCTGAGACGCCTCAAGAGTCGCCACGACTTGAGCTATACGAGCAAGCGCTTTCACAGAAGCAGAGCCGTCACTCGGGCGAGGCAACTTCTGAGACGCCTCAAGAGTCGCCACGGCTTGAGCTATACGAGCAAGCGTTTTCACAGAAGCAGAGCCGTCACTCGGGCGAGGCAACTTCTGAGACGCCTCAAGAGTCGCCACGGCTTGAGCTATACGAGCAAGCGTTTTCACAGAAGCAGAGCCGTCACTCGGGCGACGCGATTACAGGAACTACGCATCACCTGGTGTCCCCTGGACGGGCTTTAAGAAGGCGAGGCCTCGGCGGCCTGCCCCGTCTTCCCTCGCTTAAAGCCCTCCTTACGATCCTCGAGGGCCGCTCTTCCCCATCCCCATCCCCATCTCCCCCTCCGCCACGACCTCCTCCGCCCTCTCCACCTCCCCCTCCCCTTCCGCCGCCCTTCCCACCGGTTGCGCGAGTCTTTCCCCTCCCTATCGCGTCTCCGCCATCCCCAACTCCCGCCGTCCGCAGTCCCCCCCAACCTTCCACGCCATCCCCTTCCCAGCCCTCACCAACCCCGCCGCTTCCCCCTGCTTCCCCCGCGATTCCCCCGCCCTCCCCCGAGCTGACCTCCCAGGATTTCTCCATTCAGCCTCGGCGGCGAGGGGATTCCTTACTCACCGCCACTCTTGCGCCTCTCGGACCTTTCCCCGCCCCCGCGTCTGCGCCTTCCCCTTCTGCCTCCGCCTCCGCCTCCGCGCCCGCGTCGGAAGGGGGGGAATCAGAGGGCACCTTTCTACCAATGGACGATCCATATTATTTCCCCCCTGACGGCCCGGACCTCTCTTATTCTAGCCCTTCAGGAAACAGTGGAGGTTCGGATGGCGGAGCTTCCGAGCCTGGGACCCCCCCTCCGCCTCCCCCGAAGCAAAGGCCTCCGGGCTGGGTGGAGCTGACGTACGGTGGCGGGCCAGTGAAGCACGAGCCTATTAACGCGTACATACTGTACTACGGCGCGTGGGAGTCCCCATCCTTCACTATTGAGAACTTCATCAATTCTCTCAATCAAGACCCTGATGAGTCAGATAATTACGGCGAAACTGACGCCTTTTCTGACATGGTACCTGAAGCCCCAGGGGAGGAAGGGGAGGTGTTTTCTGGGCAGGTGGCATCTGTTCGGGGGTGGTGGAGAGTGGTGGGTCGGTATACGGGGCACGACGAGAGCAACCCTGGCGTCATTGTCAACGTCACGGATCAGGTGCGCTGGTTGACGCTTGATGCTTGGAGTGCTTTGAGTCGACTTTAAACACACGTGGTGGAGAGTGGTGGAGGGTGCTGGGAGGGTGCTGGGAGGGCGGTAAGAGGGTGCGGGGATGGTGGAGGGTGGTGGGTCGGTACACGGGGCGGGACGAGAGCAACCCTGGCATCATTGTCAACGTGACCGACCAGGTGCTACTTGGTGCTAGTTGGTGCTAGGTGGTGCTTGTAAGCTTGTTGGGAGGCAGATTTTATCGAATCGTTGCTTCATCGTGACCATCGGCTCATAATCAGGGCTTTTTGACTCCCGCTCGCTGTATTACTTGATGGCATCTGTGGTGCTACCAACAGGTTATTCTGGCCGGGTCAGGGAGAGACAACTACTCCGCCGGAAGTGATCTGACCGGCTGCGAAGCCTCGGTTGAAACGGGTATGGTTTGTTTGCACTCGCCTTTTGCCTTCTCTTTTCAGATGGCAGTGATGTTTATTGTCCATCTATATGCATGTATCTGTTTGTGCATGCAATTTTGCCTTTGCTTAACCATACGTCACCTTGTTTCCAGTTGACAAGACAGCCATTCTAACTTCAACATCACACTGGCATCCTCACTTCACACACTTCGTTCCTTCTCTCTTCCGTATCCAGTTCCCGGCATCGCGTTTAGCATCTACATGACCATGGTGCCATGCTTCCTGTGGACGACATGGCCATCTACTTCCTCCTCTCATCCCCCATCATCACACAGGCATCCTCACCTCGCATACTTCGTTCCTTCTCTCTCTCCCTTATGCTCCCAACTGTATCCAGTTCTCAGCAATGCGTTGGGTGATGGTGGCATGCTTCCTGAAGACGACACAGCTATCTACTTCATCCTCGCATCCCCCGACGTTGCTCTAGCAGCGCCGTACGAGAAAACTTACATGTGCGATGACTGGTGCTACCTACGGCAGCACATGAACTTCACGGCATGGGATGGCTCCACTAGCAGCATCCGATACGTGGTTATTGGCGACGCAAGCAAGTGCCCGGATAAGTGTGCTCAACTTTTCGGCCACTCGTAAGTGCCGCACATGCGCTTTTGCTCCACACATGCTCATGCTCATGTGCGTAATTTTTCACTCTCCCTCTCCTCTCGGTGTTTTTTTCCAAACAGGAGCTCTCCAAATGGTAACGTTTATGAAGATGCTGCAGTGAATGTCATCGCGAGGGAGCTTTCTAGCTTTGCGACCAATCCAGAAAAGGACGGGTGGACATATGCTAGGAGTGAGCAACACGGGCCCTTAGAGATCAAGGATATATGTGAAAATGAGTGGGGTAGGTTGGTGGATAACGGTGGGTTTGTGTCCAACCTGGTTGGAATTGCAAGCTTACAGTACACAGTTCAACCTGTATGGGACCCAATATCGAAAGGGTGCGTGCTTGGATGATTCATTGTATGCTATGGTTGGAACGATATACATATGTTTGTGCCATGTAACAAAATGTATTGAATCGCTGCGTTGCATTGAAGTTTTGGAGCTGACATGAATGCACATGTTATGCCGTTTGGATGAAGAACGTGGGATAATGTAGAAGAGATGTAGAGCAAGTGCTACAAAGGTTTCCAACTATGTGAATATCCTCGAAGTGGACGCTGTGTGTCCTGTAATTCTGTTCATGACTATGTCGCGGACAACCTACTCATGCTTGGGTTGGAACCAATGACCGTTTTGAGACGCGCGGAGTCCAAGCGTAGGGTAGCCGAGCCTATGGATGTCGCTGGCGGTGCCACAGTTGCTGGCCTACTTTTGCGCGCCTCGCAACACCACATCCGCATCCCTTGATGGATGGGCTTGCGATTCGTCGGTTTGCGCCAACACCGATCTCCGCGCGAAGATCTCCCCATCTTGAGAAGTCCCCCACACGCATCTCCCACGCGTTTCATGTCCATCGTACGCTTGATTCCGAGCTGTACGGCGTACGGTGAATTTGCGCTGCGTGGAAGGCATGTTAGGGCGGAGGGGGGGAGAATCTGCTGGGCGGAGAGGGGAGAATTATTTGAGCGTACCCTGCACGCGGAATGGGAATCTCTGAGGTTTCGCGGCGCCACGAGGCCCCGGTTTCGTCGAGAGTCGCAAAGTGACGATGTCGCAGGAGAGCGAGCGACGCTGCGAAAGGAAGGCGACCGTTTGCCTGGAAATTCCCGCACTGCTGAGACCACCGCGTCGTCGTAGGCTGGGTACAGTTCGGTAGCTGCAGATCCTGTCGCTCAACTTCATCGCTTTGCTTCTGCCGCTGCTAGGAAGCTGCAGAAACCTCGTAGCCCCCAGGAATTCGTGGCACCAGCCTGACGGTGCCGAGGCGAGCTTTCATTCCAGGTACGGAGAGTTTGGTGGAAATCGAGGTGCCTCATCGCTATCAGTTCTGTGTGTCTGCTCTCTCAGCGTTTATGTGAGAGATAACATAATCTGTAGGGATACGACAACATAGAGTCAGAGCCTTTTGAAGCAACAGTTCCCTTCTATATTCCAAGTCGAACGAAACGACGACGGAATTCGTCACGAGCTTTCCTGCATTTAGTTAGTTACGCAACGACTTGAGAATCTTAGCTCGCGAGGGACTGCCTGTCCTTCCATTTTCTAGTTACACAGCGACAGCAACCCTAGCAGCTCAGCTTTCGAGAAACTTGGCTTGCGAGGAACTTAGCTCGTAAGAGTCTCGCCGTCATGAGTACCAATGGAAATGAAGGGGAAGCTTTAGGTCCAGACCCCAGTAATGTCGGACCTGCTATTCCAGTTAGAGTGCGAGGCATGAAGCTCTTTTTCCAGCAGTTTAAAGCCCTCATGATTAAGAACGCGCTGCTAGCGTGGCGCAATCGAACCGCAACGTTCTTGCAGCTCTGCTCGTCCTTCTTCTTCATCCTCCTGATCTTCCTAGTGGACGTTTCCGTGAAAGCCGCGTTGACAAACTACACGGAGTTTCGCGACACGCCGAATCCGAAGGTCGTGGAGGTCCAGCCAATCATGGCCTGCGAAAACGCGTTTAACATTCTCAAGCCGTGCTACGACTTCTTGTGGAGCGGGAACAACAGCAAGATCATCACGTCTCTCGTTCAGAACATCTCCGCGAACAATCCCGGCCGTCCGATCAATTCATCCAGGGTACGTCACTAACAGCCAACAAAGACCGTATCCCGGTTACACGCTCGGTTATTCTTTCCAACCTCCTCTCTGAAAAAGAACAGTCGTTTCAAAAAACGTCTGGCCTGTTTCCTGGCCAAACGTGCACACACGTTCTTTCAAGAACACTCAGGAGAGGCACACTCGTAGCATCCTAGCCTAACGTGCACACACCACCCGTGCAGGCTGCATTTCCGCGAACACCATTCCAGGTGACTCTCTTGCCTCTCTTGAAGGCAAATGACACCAAATCTCCCGCCACTCACCTTCCTCTCCCTCTCACGCATCACGTATACCCTCAACTCTCACCCCTGACGTTCTAACCTTGATCTCCAACATTTTTTTCTCCAATCGCTCTCTCCTTTCATCGAATCCAACTCGCCAGATCATCGGATTCGCGAATCCGAGCGACGTGGACGACTGGCTGCTGGCCCATCCGATGCGGACTGCTGGCGCGCTGCACTTCGCGTTCACGGAGAAGGGCGACCTTGGGTTTGCCGTGCAGACCAACTCGACGTCGAAAGTGCGGCGAGGGACGTTTGAGAACCCCACGTTCGACCACCAGGTGCCGCTGCAGGCCGCCGCGGAGAGGGAGATCGCCAGATACATCGCTCAAGGTACGTGGTAACCTGGTAACGGTTTAGGGAGCAGATGAGGATGGGGAATTTGACGAAGTCTGACGTGAAATCAAGGAGGCAGACTTGAATACTGTGAAGAGAATAACACGAGGGGAAGCAACACGTGTCGTGAACCTGGTATGGAGGATAGGCAATACGAGATGACATTTCAAGCTCACCAGCCCCTCCCACTTTGCCGTTCCTCCAATTTCTTGCACAGCAGAGCTGACTTTTGAGTCGACTCAAAAGTCATTTCTTGCACAGCAGAGCTGCATTCCACCATTTCCACCCCAACCCACCCATCTCCCATCTCTCCATTCCCGCCTGTCCTTGCCCCTTCCACCCCACCCCACCCATCTCCAGACTGGACGATAGGGTGGCAGCCGAGCTACTCGGAGTTCGCGCATCCGCCATACCAGTCGCTCTCAGCCATCCCACTGGCGGGCCCCACGTTCCTCTTCGCAGCAGCCATGTTCAACTTCGTCACGCAGGCCGCCAACCTCGTCATAGAGCGCGAGTTAAAGCTCCGACAAGCCATGGCTACCATGGGCCTAATGGACTCCGTCTTCTGGAGCACCTGGCTGGTCTGGGAGCTGATAGTGGCACTCGTGACCTGCATTCTGCTCATCTGCTTCGGCATGATGTTCCAGCTCGCGTTTTTCCTGAAGAACAGCTTCGTCGTGCTGTTCCTCGTCTTTTTCCTCTTCTGGGTGGCGATGACCGGGCTGGCGTTCCTCGTCTCGACGTTCATGCGCAAATCTGCCAACGCCAACACCATCGGGTTCTTCATCTTCCTCCTGGGCTTTGTGCTGCAGCTGATGGTCATGTTCGGATTCCCCTACACCAACGACTTTTCTGGATTCTGGCGGGTGATTTTCAGCCTGTTTCCTCCGGACCTCCTCACACTCTCGCTCAAGTACCTGACTGATGCTACGAAGCTGCCGCAGTCGCCGGGAGTGAGTCTGAGCGAGATCAACAAGTGCACGCTCGGCAACGCAGGCTGCACCAACACTCTGGTGAGTAGCTGGCATTTCAGGTGAGGCTGTAACCCCCTCCACTGAGGCTGTAGCCTCCTCTGGTGAGGCTGTAGCCTCCTCTGGTGAGGCTGTAGCCTCCTCTGGTGAGGCTGTAGCCTCCTCTGGTGAGGCTGTAGCATCGTAAGGTAAGGTTGTAGGCTCCTCAGGTACCCACCTCAAGTACCTGACCAAGTTGAATCTGAGCGAGATCAACAAGTGCACGCTCGGCAACACAGGGTCCTCCAACACTCTGGTGAGTAGTTGCCATGCCGTTACAGGTAAGCCTGTAGCCGCCTCTTTAGGGAAGGCTGTAGCCTCCTCAAAAGAGGTGGGTTTTCGAGACCCCATCTCTCCTGAACCCCACCCCTCTTAAACCCCATCTCTCCCCTCCCGCTCCTCACCTCTCCCCTCTCCCCTCTCCCGCTATCTGTGTCTCATCCACAACTTCTTGCTTCTCTTTCTCCTCTTTCTCCTCCTATATGATCCGAAACCCCACCTCTACATGATCTACTTTGACAACGTGCTGCCAGATGCGCTAGGCCGCCCCATCCCCACCTGTCTTACACCCTTCTCTTCTCCCACTCTCCCTCAAGAGGCGAGCATCTACGTGTGGCTGATCGGCGATTTCTTTCTCTTCTTCATCCTCGCCATCTACTTTGACAACGTGCGTCCCAGGCCGCCCCATCCCTACCCGTCTTAAACCCTTCTCCCTGCCACTCTCCCCCCCACCCCATCACCAGGCGAGCATCTACGTGTGGCTGATCGGCGATTTCTTTCTCTTCTTCATCCTCGCCATCTACTTTGATAACGTGCTGCCAGACGCTAATGGCATCCGCAAGCCCATCTTCTACTTCTTCTACCCCTCCTTCTGGACCGGTGAGTGGTACCGGCTGCACATGCACATACATGCACATGCACATGCACATGCAGATGCACTCACATACATTCGCAAGCCCATCTTCTACTTCTTCTACCTCTCCTTCTGGACTGGTGAGTGTGCTTACTCTAGGCACAAGCTCGTGCACATGCACATGTACGCACGCAGTCATGCACACACATGCATGCAAACCCATACTCTACTTCTTCTACCCCTCATTCTGGACTGGCGAGTGTGCCTACTCTCTTGGCACACACACACACGCACCCTATACCCGCGCACAGACACATACATGCATGCAAGCCCGTGATGGAGGAGGAAGAGCACAAGCCTCACTCACTCACTCACTCACTCACTCATTCACTCACCCACTCACTCACTCACCCCTTGCTCCCTCTCCCTCTGCCTAAAAAATGACACGCTTTCCTCCTCCACCCCCTCTCATTAACCCCCCTCCCCCTCCTCTTCTTCCCCACCAGGCAAGGCGTCATTCGCCAAGTACAACAACGGTGGCAGTGGCAAGGCCGACCCGGGGCTGGAGCGGGTGGGGGAGGAGGATGAGGACGTGCGGGAGGAGGAGGAGCTGGTGAAGGGGCAGGCGGAGCGAGGCGAGGTGGATGCTGACATGGCGGTGTCTGTGCGGGGATTGGTGAAGACCTTCCCGAAAAAGTGGAGGATGAAGGGGCTCAAGTGCAAAGTGATGCCTCCCTTCCATGCCATCAAGGTCAGTGGATGATTGGGTGTGTCGGGTAGCACAGAGGGAAGTTCAACGTGAATTGACTTTTGAGTCGACTAGTCAAAATGATGCCTCCCTTCCATGCCATCAAGGTGGGTGGATGATCGGGTGTGTTGGGTAGCGAAGTAGCTTCTGAGGCGCCTCAAAAGGTTTTTGAGTCGACTCGAAAAAGTGGAGGATGAATGGGCTCAAGTGCAAAGTGATGCCTCCCTTCCATGCCGTCAAGGTGGGTGGATGATCGGGTATATTGCGTAGCTAAGTAGCTTTGGGGATTTCTTATAGAATCTAATGTGATGGAGAAGCCATTTTGAGGCACTTGAGAAACATCGTTTTCCCCCCTCTCCACTGCACTTCCCACATTCCCTCTATTTCTCATCCAGGGCACGTGGTTCAACGTGGAAAAGGACAAGCTCTTCTGCCTGCTGGGGCCCAACGGGGCGGGCAAGAGCACCACCATCCACTGCCTCACCGGCATCCTCCCCACCACCGCTGGCGACGGTACGTGTCTGCTCTCTTCTCTCCTTATGGTGTCTCACCTGCTTGTTACTCAACTCACAAGAGCACCACCATCCACCGCCTCACAGACATCCTTCCCAACACTGTTGGCGACGGTACGTGTCTGCTCTCTTCTCCTCCTTATGGACAATGCATTGGATTCCAATCCGTGTTAGTCGACTCACAAGAGCACCACCATCCACTGCCTCACAGACATCCTCCCCATATCCTCCCACACCCACATCCCCCCTCTCCAGGCCTTAAAAACTTGTACTCGATCCGCGATCCAGGCAGCATGGCGGCCATCCGAGCCATCATGGGCGTGTGTCCGCAGTTTGACATCCTCTGGAGCTGCGATCTCCCTCTAACCACTAACCTCTCCCACCGCTCTTCTCCCTCTTCCCTTCATCCCCCCCTCCAGGTCTCAGATACGGGCACTCTATCCGCGATCCAGGCAGCATGGCGGCCATCTGCGCCATCATGGGCGTGTGTCCACAGTTTGACCCTCCTTCCCCTTCCGCTTAACGCTTCCCTCCCCACCTGCTCTCTCATTCCCCCCTCTCCCCCCCTCCAGGTCTGATATACGGGTACTCCATCAGGGATCCAGGCAGCATGGCGGCCATCCGAGCCATCATGGGCGTGTGTCCGCAGTTTGACATCCTCTGGGACCGCCTCACCAGCCAGGAGCACCTCTACCTATTCGCACGCATCAAGGGCCTCCTGCCCTCCCAAATCCCCAAGGAATGCTCCATGCTCCTGGAAGAAGTCAAGCTCACAAACGTCACTCGCAGCCGCACGAGCGGGTACAGCGGGGGCATGAAACGCCGGCTTTCCGTCGCCATTGCCCTCATCGGCGACCCGAAGATCGTCTTCCTCGACGAGCCGACCACCGGAATGGACCCGGTGTCGCGCCGGCACGTGTGGGATATCATCGAGCGGGCCAAGCGCGGGCGGGCGATCGTGCTGACGACGCATTCGATGGAGGAGGCGGATATTCTCGGGGATAGAATCGCGATCATGGCTAAGGGACGGATGCGGTGCATCGGGACGTCGATTCACCTCAAGAACCGGTTCGGGGCGGGGTTTGTGGTGACTGTGGGCGTGAGGCGGCCCGCGAGGGTGGTAAACAGTGCTGCTGGTGGTGGTGGTGAGAATTCGGCGGCTGAGACGTCGAACGGGTCGTCGCCGCTGTCGTCCTCTGCTGTTTCACCTGACGGAACACCTGGGGACAACGTGGAGGCGGTGAAGGGGTTCTTTTACGACCGCCTGGGAGTGCAGGCGGTGGAGGAGTCGCAGGGGTACATCACGTTCCTGGTGCCGCGCAGCAAGGAGACCATGCTCACGGTGAGACGCCCTTCTATGCTTGCCATGGTTAGAAACCCTCTAGGCTCTAGCCCCCCATTCCCCCTGTCGCCGGAAACTGTCCTCTACCGGTTTGATCGCCTGGGAGTGCAAGCGGAGGAGGAGTCGCAGGGGTACATTACGTTCCTGGTGCCGCGCAGCAAGGAGACCATGCTCACGGTGAGACTCCCTTTCGAACCCCCTTCCCACACATGTTTTTCCGCGAGCTCAAGGGAAAGGGCATTCCAGAGAACTGTCAGTTTTGTCACTGGAGGAGGTGTTTCTCACCATGCGTCCATCCGCCCTCCGCCCCCCTCTCCCCTCAACAGACCTTTTTCCGTGAGCTGAAGCAGAAGAAGAGGGAGTTGGGCGTGATAGAGACGCACCTGTCGCGGGCGACGCTAGAGCAGGTTCTCACTGTGCCCTATCCGCCCTCATTCCTATCCACCCCCTTCCCCACCAATGCAGACATTTTTCCGCGAGTTGAAGCAGAAGAAGAGGGAACTCGGCGTCACAGAGACGCACCTATCGCTGTCCACACTGGAGGAGGTGTTTCTCACCATCGCCCGCAAGGCTGAGCTTGAGACGGCACAGGTGGAGGAGCGATTTGAGGCCATCACCCTTGTGGATGGTCGCACCCTTCAGGTGTGTATGGGGGATGGTCAGAAGTGGTCTGAAGTGGTTTGAAGTGGTTCGGAGCGGCTTAGAGCCATTAGTGGGAGGAGGTGTTTCTCACCATCGCCCGCAAGGCTGAGCTTGAGACGGCACAGGTGGAGGAGCGATTTGAGGCCATCACCCTTGTGGATGGTCGCACCCTTCAGGTGTGTATGGGGGATGGTCAGAAGTGGTCTGAAGTGGTCAGAAGTGGTCTGAAGTGGTTCGGAGCGGCTTAGAGCCATTAGTGGGAGGAGGTGTTTCTCACCATCGCCCGCAAGGCTGAGCTTGAGACGGCACAGGTGGAGGAGCGATTTGAGGCCATCACCCTTGTGGATGGTCGCACCCTTCAGGTGTGTATGGGGGATGGTCAGAAGTGGTCTGAAGTGGTCTGAAGTGGTTCGGAGCGGCTTAGAGCCATTAGTGGGAGGAGGTGTTTCTCACCATCGCCCGCAAGGCTGAGCTTGAGACGGCACAGGTGGAGGAGCGATTTGAGGCCATCACCCTTGTGGATGGTCGCACCCTTCAGGTGTGTATGGGGGATGGTCTGAAGTGGTCTGAAGTGGTTCGGAGCGGCTTAGAGCCATTAGTGGGAGGAGGTGTTTCTCACCATCGCCCGCAAGGCTGAGCTTGAGACGGCACAGGTGGAGGAGCGATTTGAGGCCATCACCCTTGTGGATGGTCGCACCCTTCAGGTGTGTATGGGGGATGGTCTGAAGTGGTCTGAAGTGGTTCGGAGCGGCTTAGAGCCATTAGTGGGAGGAGGTGTTTCTCACCATCGCCCGCAAGGCTGAGCTTGAGACGGCACAGGTGGAGGAGCGATTTGAGGCCATCACCCTTGTGGATGGTCGCACCCTTCAGGTGTGTATGGGGGATGGTCTGAAGTGGTCTGAAGTGGTCTGAAGTGGTGTGAAGTGGTTCGGAGCGGCTTAGAGCCATTAGTGGGAGGAGGTGTTTCTCACCATCGCCCGCAAGGCCGAGCTCGAGACAGCGCAAGTGGAGGAGCGGTTTGAAGCCATCACCCTTGCAGACCGCACTCTTCAGGTGTGTATTTGCGGGTTTTCAGTGGGGGTGGGGTGGTTGCCTGGTCGTCAATACTTGTGGATGGCCGCACCCTTGAGATGTGTATGCGGTGTGGTCTGAAGCGGTCTGAAGTGGTCTGAAGTGGTCTGACAGGGTTAGGAGTGGCTTAAAGCCATCAGTAGTAGGAAGTGTTTCTCACCATTGTCCGCAAGGCTGAGCTTGAAATGGCGCAAGCGGCGGAGGTTGGTAGCAGTGTGAAATGGTCAGGAGCGGTTGAGGCTTTTAGCATCACCTATGTTGACTCGCCAAAATAGCCAGGTGTTTGTCAGATTGTGATAGGCTAATGCTGATCCGTCCCCTGTGGTCTTCTATCATCCATGTGGCAGGTTCCGATTGGTGCAGAGTGCGTGGCCATCCCTCCGTCAGCCTCGGCCAATGAGGAGGATGCTGACGTGGACGCGGGGCAATCACAGCCACTGATGGTGGTGGATATTACATGGCACCAGGACGAAGCTGGGTGTCTGCGCATTGCCTCGTACTCCGAACCTAGACAGGCAGACTCGGGGGAGCTGAATGTGACCAAGGGCTTTTGAAAGTCCGCCCCTTGAATGCTTGCTCTGCACATCCCCTCGATAGTCCTAATCTAGACAGGCTGACTCAGAGCTGAATGTGAGCAAGGGCTTTGACAGTTAGCCCTTGGGGTATCTCTGCGCGTTGCCTACTCTGAACCTAGATAGGCCGCGTTGGGGTACCGGCAACTGAGTGAGTTGAGTACAGGCCAAGATAGAACTCTGAACCTAGACGGGGCTTTTGAATGCAAAGCCCCATACCATTGGGTGTATGTTTCACTTCCCAGTAAGTGTATAAACTCTTATTGTGATTGTTTTGGTGGCACCTCAAGAAGAATAGCTTCACTAGCTAGTAGGTGTATACATTTCAAAGAGCAAGCTTGCCTCGCATTGCCTCGTACTGCAAACATGGGCACTAGCACCTAGTGGATACCTCACATGGCAGATATTCGTGGGTCCCTAATGGTATGAGCATGCACACACATGGTCCCATAGAGTGGCGCCATGCAACATATGCACAGACACACATGCAAGCTCACATGCACGGGCACACATGCACACACATGCACACACATGCACACACGCATGCACGGACACACATGGATGCATACACATGCACAGACACACACACATTTGCAGAGACACATCCACGGACACACATGCAAACACATTCACACACATGCACAGACACACCAAAGGGCAGAGAGAGGTTAGCAAGGAGACAAAGAAAAGCCAGTCAACACCTCACAGAGCACCTGACAGAACACCTGACGGAACACCTGACGGAACACCAGGTACCCCACAGGGAGGGCTGCTTGTACTTTTTACAATCCTCAGAAATGACTCGGATATCCTTAGATATCAGGGTACCCTGATATACCCTGATATCCCTTAGAGGTCAGGTATCAGGGTCAGGTACCTCTAAGGGAGTGTTTTGAGACGTCTCAAAACACTTCTTCAATCACGTGGATACCCTGATATCCCCTGATATCCCCTGATATACCCTGATATCCCCTGATATCCCCTGATATACCCTGATATCCCTTAGAGGTCAGGTATCAGGGTCAGGTACCTCTAAGGGAGGGCCACTAGAGTTACACACCTGACGGGGAAGCGGAGGTGAAAGCAGGAAGAAAGTTGGATGGGCGTGTGTGTGGCGACAAAGGCAATGCCCCCTGCGCCCCTGTGTTCTTCAATCATTCCCTCTAGCAGCTCAACCCCAGCCAGGTCCAGCCCCACAGACGGCTCGTCTAATAGCCACAATGAGCGGGGGATGGCCAAGAGCCGGGCCAGCTGCAGGCGCTTGCGCTGCTTGGCAAGGGGGAAAGAGCAGTGGGGAAGAGCAGGGACGAGGGGGGGTATGGGAGGTTGAGTATCATTCCCTCTAGCAGCTCAGTGGAAGCAGCTGGATAGTTGGATGGGCGTGTGTGTGGCGACAAAGGCAATGCCCCCTGCACCCCTGTGTTCTTCAATCATTCCCTCTAGCAGCTCAACCCCAGCCAGGTCCAGCCCCCCGGATGGCTCGTCTAATGGCCACAATGAGCGGGGAATCGCCAGGAATTGGGCCAGCTGTAAGCGCTTGCTCTGGCAGAAGTGGGGGAAATGGGGGACGAGTAGGGATGATAGGGGGAAGTGAGGATGAACATCGTCCCCTCTAGCAGGTCAATGCCAGCCAGGTCCAGGAGCCACAATGAGCGGGGTATGGCGAGCAGCCGAGCCAGCTGCAGGCGCTTGCGCTGGTAGCGGGGGAATGGTTGGGGGGGGTGAGGGGAAAAGAGGGGACTGAGGGCTCCTCCTCAATAATCCCATCCAGCAGCTCAACGTCATGTTTTGAGTCGACTCAAAACACGACTCATTACAAGAGGGGATCGAAGGCACTCTGCTCCTCAATAATCCCCTCCAGCAGCTCAACGTCAGTCATGTACATCCCCCTTGGAGCCCCACGGATGGGCGCTCGTCCAATAACCAGAGGGAACAAGGAATGGCCACTGGCCAGTAAATGTTTTTTGAGAATTCTCAAAAAACATACGCTGGAACGAGGAATGGCGACTGGCCTGTAAGCAATTGTGCTGGGAGAAGAGGGGGAAGAGCAGTCACGTACACGTACGGCCCCACGGAGGGCTCGTCCAATACCAGAGGGAACGAGGAATGGCGACTGGCCAGTAAGCAATTGTGCTGGGAGAAGAGGGGGAAGAGCGGAGGGCTTGCCCAGAACGCATCTGATTGGCACATAACACCTCCCCCAGCACTCACCTGGCCCATGCTGAGAATGCTGGCTGGCTCTCTTGACAGGTGCTTCAGCCCCACTGCCTCCAGCGCCCATGCCACTCTGTCCTCCGTACCCTCTAGTAGCGCCCACGTGCGCTGGAGGAGGGGTGTATGGGTTTAGGGTTTAGGGTGGGGAGGAACAGGAAGGAGAGTTCAGTCGCATGTGAACCACACGGTCACACCCTCCCACAGCCTCCAGCGCCCATGCCACTCAGTCCTCCGTGCCCTCTAGTAGCGCCCACGTGCGCTGGAGGAGAGAGGAGTGTATGGGGGGAGAAGGAGACGGGTGAGGGAGGCTGCAGCTACTGTTTACACAGTCACACCCTCCTCCCACTGCCTCCAGCGCCCATGCCACCACCCTGTCCTCCGTACCCTCTAGTAACGCCCACGTGCGCTGGAGGAGAGATGGGTGGGGTGGGAGTGCAAGCAGTGCTCATATCACATGTGTAAACCACAGTGCCACAGCTTCTCACAGCCCCATCCCTCTTCAGCAGTGCGTGCCACAACCTCCCACAGCCCCACAGCCTCCAGCGCCCATGCCACTCTGTCCTCCGTGCCTTCTAGCAGCGCCCACGTGCGCTGGAGGAGAGATGTGGGGAGGAGAAGAGCAGTGCACACACTGCTGACATCACATGCAAACCACAGTGCCACAGCCTCTCACAGCCTTCCACAGTTTCCAGTGTCCATGCTACTCTGTCCTCCATGCCTTCTAGCAGCGCCCACGTGCGCTGGAAGAGGGATGGGTGGGGTGGGAGTGTAAGCACTGCTGACATCACAAGCAAACCACAGTGCCACAGCCTCTCACAGCCTTCCACAGCCTCCAGTGTCCATGCTACTCTGTCCTCTATGCCTTCTAGCCTCCAGTGTGCATGCTACTCTGTCCTCCATGCATTCTGGAGGAGAGATGGGTGGGGAGGGAGAGAATGGAGAATGCTGCCATGACGCTGCCCACGAGATGCACGGCCACCCAGTACACTGGCCAGGGCATGATGCCGTGACATGATGTGCGGTGTGGTGTGGTGTGATGTGGTGTGGCGTGGTGGTGTGGGCTGTGGATTTGAAGAAAGAGCACTCACGACGTTGTCATCAACAGTGAAGGCGTTTTTGATGGCGTCCTTGGCGCCCATCAGATGCACGTTCACTCCCAGGGGGTGTGATGCCGTGCCGTGGTGTGGTGTTGTGCGGTGCGGTGTGGTGTGGTGTGGTGTGGTGTGGTGTGGCATGGTGTGCCGTTAACTCACGACGTTGTCGTCAACAGTGAAGGAGTTTTTGATGGCGTCCTTGGCGCCCATCAGATGCACGTTCACCCGGTACACTGCCCAGAGGGGGGCGTGATGCCGCGGCAGAAAGAAAGCGGTTGCTTCGTTTGCAGCTGACATGAAGCAGGATAGGATGGAATAGCAGGCGATAGAGCATGCAGGAACACAGGCGCACATCCTCGAGCATGCAGGAACACAGGCGCACATCCTCGAGCATGCAGGAACACAGGCGCAAAATGTACTTGATTGATTGACACACATTGCACATCCTCGCTACAGTCACAATGCTCAGGCACACCTCGCGCTGAAGCTCTCACATTCCTCACTGTCCACTCGTTACAAGCACACTCCTTACTGTCATATACATCTGGGTTCATGAGGCTGTGGCCTTGCCACATCAGATACCCCGCAGTGGGCTTTATAAATCCTGCCAGCTGGACAGACACGTGGACAAATAGAATAGGAGGATAGATGCCTCAAAACCAGCCTGCCAGCTGGAGACACATGGCAAGCAAGCAGAGAGATAGGGCGTTCATACAGCTCGATGGATGAATGTGCTCTTCGCGCTGAATGTTAACAGATCAGGTTGATGGTGTTAACAGATCAGCTTGATGGTGTTAACAGATCCCACTCAAGGAGGCCATTCAAGCTTCTCACCAATCTCAGAAATGTGCTCTTCCCGCTGCCGTTAGGCCCCGTTAGAAGCACACCGTCGCCTTCATACACGCTCATGTTTATATCGCGCAGAACCACCTCGCCGCTGCGCATGCACGCGACGCGACTCGCGATTAATCTAGGCAGCTCGTCCGGCTGTAGCGTCGGCGCGAGAGGCGCTGCGGCGAGGTCTCTAGTCGAATCTATGAATGACGTTTGCAGGCGCGACTCGGGATCCGACCAATAGGAAGGCTTGGGTGGTGGGATCTCCGGTCCAGGGTTGACGCGTGGAGGCGGGAAGAAATAGTTGAAGAAGGAGCGGCTCGGGGATGCGGGGGGATTGGACGGAGTGGATCGAAAGATGGATGGAGGGGCAGCAGCGAGAGGAGTAGCCAAGGCGTTACCGAGACAAGCAGAGATTTGAGGATTAGTTTTAAACCGTGCCATTGTGACGGCTATCGAGTGCTTACTCCTTGCTAGCTACCATGCTCCTTATTCTGGTCAGCTCGAGCCTAACCTTAGCCCCTAATATTCCTTGGTGTTACTGAACTTGGCGGCTGTTCTTCGTTAATGAACATTCGTTCGCGGTACAAGTATTCTAAAATCACTGGTCAATATAAAAGTCGAAATGATCAATGCATTTTATACTTTCGATACAAGCATGTCGGTCGGTTCGCAATTCGCCACTTCTTCGCATCACCTTCAGCCCGCGAAAAGGTTTCGCGCCCTGACTCTGTCACTGCCCTCCTCGTCAGCCAATAGCAATCAGTCAGAGCCTAGAATGGGTTGTTGTCCGACAGCATGCCAATCAAAATGTCCAGACGTCAACGAAGATGGACGACATGTATGCGACTGATGATAAACTCGCGAACTCCATGTCACAGCTGTGAACTTTCGACGTGTACAGCAAACGAGCTCGCAGCAGAGCTGAACGAAATTCGCAAGTCTCGCTGAAACGTCATCAATCGTCGCGAAGCCATCAACAAGTTGTCAGGAAGCTGTCAGCAACCCCGAAGTCCCAGATCGCACAGCCGTGACTCCTCTCATAAACTTAGGGAAGCAAGCTTGAAGCGAGGATATAGAAGGTTCAGTCAAGAATACTCCAGGGAAAACTACTTCAGATACCTGCTCCCTACCACTCACCTTATTAGTAAGGGTTCGTCCAGTCAGCATACCCCTCCAACTGGGTAAGGCTGCTGTATGTCACAACAGTAGCGTCGCCGGGTGGTATTTTGAAAAGCTCCCACGTTCTCTGTATTTGCGAGAAAGCAGTTAGGAGGCATGCTACTGCCGTCGTCCAGTCTTGTTGGTTGAGAAAAAGAGGGAATAAGAATGCGTTTGTTGGTGAGCGTTGATTTGTAGGCGAGACGTCGTTGGACGGCAAAAGCTCGTAATCGAATACTCTTGCTTCATTCCCTTAGCCGCCAGCACGAAATGGACGGTAGAAGATATAGACGACCGAATTCCCCAGTCATATCCAACGATCAGGATTACGGCTCAAGCATGCCTCGAATGGATTCCTCGCCGCGGCCAGCCTTCAGTCCGAAGTTTCTCCCGCTCCTTCCTATTCCCGCGCGCAGTCCTAGTCCTAGTCGAATCCCTCAATATCGGGGATCAGGCAAAGCCGGATCGCACATGAAACCTCTTAGCTTAGTACCAGAACGGCTCGACGAGTCAGATCCATCAGCGACGCCTACTCCGCCGCCAGAGCTTAACGACGATCATTCCGTGGCGGTTTGGGGTCTGCAGATTGCCGGACATATCCGGCAGCTTCGGAACGCGGCTCGAGGCCTGATGCCGAAGCTGTACAGGCTGTCGAGGCTCGTTGACCTGGGTCCTCAGGACTCTCCCAAACCGCAGGACCAGGTTTGGAAATCTGGAATCGTGCCGGAGTTTCCGAAGCTGTGCACGCACCTGTGGAGGAAGTTTCCGGAACACCCACGGAACCTGCAGCTTGATAAGGTGTGTACGAACTTCACGAAGTAACAAGCCCATATTTCGCCGAAAAAGTCACCATTCTCCGTGTCAGGGTGACTTCTGTGTGACGGATACCCACCCAACAACAAGCAAGTGCGCTGCCTTCTTTTAACCGACTAACATATTTCTCCAGCCGTTCTGCAGTCTCCCCTTGAATTCGACTCAAAAGCACTGCCATTCAGTGAAGAATTTTAGCCCTATTTGCCCCGTCCTTGCCTCTCTATCTCTTTCGATCCCCCTGCCTACCTGTGAACCCCTCAGGTGGACCGAACTGCTCTCGAGGTGTTTGCCAGCTTCGGCTCGCATTTCCAAGCCTCTCTGCAGCCCTGGTACGAGGTACGGACCAAACCACACAAGACGTTGGAGGCTGGGTGCTCTGGTGTTCTAGTGCTGTGATGGTGGTATACGTCGTTGCCAAATCGGAGAAAAGGCTGGTTAATACCACTTTCTAAGCATTTGTGAAATGAAAACACGCCAGATTATTCTTTCTCCTCTTGAATAGGCCTGTCAGGTGCTGGTGGACCTGCCCCTCTTCAGAGAACAGCTCTGAGGCCCACAGAAGCGGTGATTTTACAGGTGTATTTTGAGGCTTGATATTGTGAAATGACAATGCGCAAAGTTTTTTTGTTCTCCTGCTCGAATGGCCTGGCAGGTGCTGGTGGACCTGGCTCTATTCAGGGAACACGCCCTTGTTCTGCTCAACGATCTTGCCACCAGCATTGTCACACTCTCTGTAAGAACCAACCGCACCACCCTTCCAAGCTTCCATTGTTATCCCAGAATTCTTATCCTGTCCTTGTCTGACTTGTTACTCTTTCCTCAAATGCCCTCTTTTGCCTTCCCCCAATTCTCTCTCTTCTCTAATTTCCAGCATTTTTCGCCCCTACTCCTCCCACCCTTTCCTTCATCCTTCCCTTGTCTGTCCTCCTACTTGCTTCTCAACTGCTTTCATTCTCCCAAAGTGATCCGCTTTCCGTTGTACTTCTATCTTCCAGATTCCTGTTTTCTTCGTTTCCGTTTCATTTCTTCGCGAGCTCTTTGTGCAGAAAAGAGGATGGTTGAAATGCTCTTTGTGCAGAAAAGAGGATGGTTGAAATGCTCTTTGTGCAGAAAAGAGGATGGTTGAAATGCTCTTTGTGCAGAAAAGAGGATGGTTGAAATGCTCTTTGTGCAGAAAAGAGGATGGTTGAAATGCTCTTTGTGTCGAGTCAGCCATCTTCTGCACTCTTCTCTCCTCCCTCATTCCTTACTTTCTTTCTTGCCGCAGAGAAGCATTTCAGCCTGGTCTTAACCCTCGCGTACTTCACTGCTTCACGGTTCGTTCGGTCGATCATAAACTCGTTGTGTTCTCCCCTGTGTTCCCTCCTTCCTCTTTTCAGCCCATGGTGAACCCTCTCGTGCTTCGCTCATTCATGGGCCTCTTCTCAGACTTCGTGCGAGTTAATCTCCTCTCGTTGAGGGTGAGTGTACAATGCGAGTTTCCTCCCACTGGAAGGCTGTACGTCAATGCTTTCTCGAACTGGGTATGGTACCAATCTAATTTCCCTGTCCTTGTGTTCGTGTGTGTGTGTGTGTGTGTGTGTGTGTGTGTGTGTGTGTGTGTGTATGTGTGTGTGTGGTGATCAGGCAGGGAAGAAGATGATAGTGCAGGTGCATGCACTGACAGTGCACTATACCACCAACGGTCAAGTGCCAGAGTGCTACGACAGGTACGGTATTCCTAAGGCATGGCAATCCCAAGGTATGGCAATCCCAAGATATGGCAAACAAGGTATGGCAATCCCAAGGTACGGCAAACAAGGTATGGCAATTCCAAGGCTTGGCAATCCGTGGCAATCCCGAAAGACAGCAATCGCAAGCTCAGCATGTACCACCACGCTTCCTTCTGAGTCGACTCAAAAGTCACAGCAATCGCAAGCTCAGCATGTACCACCACGCTTTGAGGTCGTTTTTGAGGCGCCTCAAAAACGAGCTCAGCATGTACCACCACGCTTCCTTCTCACTTCCTCCACTCCACCTCATTCCCCCTTTTTATCCCATTCCCCCAGAGTGCTGCAGTACGTGCAGGCAAACGACACACCCATGCTGGGCGTGCAGGAGAATCTCAGGACGGTGTGAGCGCTCACCATTCTTTCCCCCCAACTTCCTCCATCCCACCACTTCCCCCCCCACGTCCTCCCTCCCACTTCTTCTCATCCAACACTCCCACCCCCCTCCACATGTTCCCCCAGGGTGCTGCAGTACGTGCAGGCATACGATGCCCCCATGCTGGGCCTGCAGGAGGATCTCAAGCCTGTGTGAGCGCATATCCACCACCTCCTTCCCACCTTCTCCCTCCCACCACTTCGCCCCCCCCCCCCCCCCCCCCCCTTCCCCACTTTCCCCCAGGGTGCTGCAGTGCGTGCAGGCAAACGACTCCCCCACGCTGGGCCTGCAGGAGGGTCTCAGGACGTGAGGACATACCGTTATTCCCTTCCACCTCCTCCCCTCCGTCCCACGTCCTTTCCCCTCCTTCCAGGGTGCTGCAGTGCGTGCAGGCATACGACGCCCTCATGCTGGGCCTGCAGGAGGAGAGGATGATGCTGTGTGTGCTGGTGTGTAATGTGACACACCCACTCTTTTCCGCTCCCCCCCTTCTCTCCCCGTCCCCCCCCAGGGTGCTGCAGTACGTGCAGGCATACGATGCCCCCATGCTGGGCCTACAGGGAGACCATTCTGTGAATATGTGTGCGCTCCTCCCCTCCTCACTTCATTACTCCCCCCACCCCTCTTCCCCTTCCAGAGTCCTGCAGTACATGCAGGCATACGGATATGCTGGGCCTGCAGCCATATGAAATCCGACTCAAAACGGATATGCTGGGCCTGCAGCCATATGAAATCCGACTCAAAACGGATATGCTGGGCCTGCAGCCATATGAAATCCGACTCAAAACGGATATGCTGGGCCTGCAGCCATATGAAATCCGACTCAAAACGGATATGCTGGGCCTGCAGCCATATGAAATCCGACTCAAAACGGATATGCTGGGCCTGCAGCCATATGAAATCCGACTCAAAACGGATCTGCTGGGCCTGCAGCCATATGAAATCCGACTCAAAACGGATATGCTGGGCCTGCAGGAGGATCTCCGGACTATCGCTGTGTGTGAGTTCCTGCGCCAAACACCCACTCCACTCTACTTATCCCCTCTCTTCTCTCCCCCCCCCCCCAGAGTGCTGCAGTACGTGCAGGCATACGACACCCCCATGCTGGGCCTAGAGGAGGATCTCATGACTGTTGCTCCCCGAATCTCCAAGGTCAGTGAACCTCAGTCATCCGCCGTTCCCTTTCATGCAAATTCGCCAGGGCCCTTTTGAGAAGTCTCAAAAGTCGCACCAAATTCGCCAGGGCCCCGTTCCCTAAGAGCTAACAGAACTCTGCGTCTCGCTGCTCTGCTCTTACTCTTAAGGGACCACCCTGGGCCCTCACGTTAGTGTACCACCTCCTCCTCCATCTATCCCCCACTCTCTCCCTTTCCCCAGGCTGTGGACACCGTTGCTCCTATCATTCTCGCATGGGAAGACACTCAGAAGCTTCGCACAGACATCTTTGTGAAGCCGTTCGCGTCGTGGCCCGACGTGGCATCCACCCCTCCGCCCTGGGATCTTATGGTGAGCCCTATGTGTCTTCAGCCTCCTTCAAACCCACATCGTACCATCTCGCATGCTTGCGAATCCTCTCGCGTCGTGGCCCACCCCGGCCCTTTCATCCCCCCCCACCCCCTACGCCTTCCGTTTCATCAGTGTGAGGAGCTGGTGAGCATGGAGGCGTGCAGCGAGTGGGCGCCCTTCGCCCTCCTCACGTGCTCTGCAGCTATGGTGAAAAGGCTTACTTTCTCAGTAACCCACCACCCACCACCTGCTACCCCTCCCCGCCCATCCCACCTTCAGTGCGAGGAGCTGGTGAGCATGGAGGCATACAGCGAGTGGGCGACCTTCGCCCTGCTCACATGCCCCGTGGAGATTGTAAAAGGCACGCGTGACGCTGCTGCTCTTATCCAGGTGAGATGCGGTGCGATGCGACGGGATGGGATGAGGTGAGACGAGGTGAGATGAGGTGAGATGAGATGAGATGTGATGCGATGAGATGGAGTGAGACGAGGTGCGTTCTAGTGCCATTTTGAGTGGACGCAACTGTCACCTCTTTGCCCTCCTCACATGCCCTGTGGAAACAGTGAAAGGCATGTGAGACGTGAAATAAGAGAGTTTTTGAGACGTCTCAAAAACAATGAAAGGCGCGTAAGACGCTGCTTCTCTCATCAAGGTGAGATGCGATGAGATGAGATGAGATGAGGTGAGACGAGATGACGTGGGACGAAATCAGATCAGACGCGTATTGATTGATGCACGCATGCTCATCCCTTCACCATGTGTGCATGCATTGGTGCAGCTGTGGGCCATGGGGGGCGCAGATGGAAAAGGGCAGAAAGGCACAGTCACATTTCCCTTTGTATTCCCTTTATCCTTCTCTTCCCCCCTTCTCTCTCCGTTATTTGCAGACTCTTCTCCACTCGCGTGCCATCGTGCCTCTATTCAGAGACGAGGTGCTGAGTGTGCATGCACAAGTGCAGCACTGGGCTGTAGGGCGCATGGGGGAGGGGAAGAAGGCAGAGCAATCACCTTTCCCCTTTGTAACCCTTTCTTTCTTCTCTTCCCTCCCTCTTCCTCTCTCCCTTACAGGCTCTCCTCCACACGAGGGCCATCGTGCCTCTGTTCAGGGATGAGGTGCTGTGTGTGCATGCAGAGGTGCAGCAGTGGGCGGTGGGGCGCATGGGGGAGGGGAAGAAGGCGGCCAAGGCAGCAGCAAGGCACAGAGCGCAGGGAGCAGAGGAGGAGTATCAGCGATTGAGGGAGTGCTGTAGACTGCTGGGGTGAGTGCTGTAAACTGATAGGGTGAGTGCTGCAGACTGATAGGGTGAGTGCTGCAGACTGATAGGGTGAGTGCTGCAGACTGATAGGGTGAGTGCTGCAGACTGATAGGGTGAGTGCTGCAGACTGATAGGGTGAGTGCTGTAAAACTCTGCTGCTAGGTGGCGTTTGAACCAGCAGCGAGGCACAGAGCACAGGGAGCAGAGGTGGAGTACCAGGGACTGAGGGAGTGCTGCTGATTGGTGGGGTGAGTGCTGCCGATTGGTGGGGTGAGTGCTGCCGATTGGTGGGGTGAGTGCTGCCGATTGGTGGGGTGAGTGCTGCCGATTGGTGGGGTGAGTGCTGCCGATTGGTGGGGTGAGTGCTGCCGATGGGTGGGGTGAGTGCTGCCGATTGGTGGGGTGAGTGCTGCCGATTGGTGGGGTGAGTGCTGCCGATGGGTGGGGTGAGTGCTGCCGATGGGTGGGGTGAGTGCTGCCGATGGGTGGGGTGAGTGCTGCCGATGGGTGGGGTGAGTGCTGCCGATTGGTGGGGTGAGTGCTGTTTAGGGGATACCTTTGCTGATAGGGTGGCCTTTGAATTGAACCAGCAGCAAGGCACAGAGCGCAAAGAGCAGAGGAGGAGTATCAGCGACTGAGGGAGTGCTGCCGACTGATAGGGTGAGTGCTGCTTATGGGATGGCTGTGCTGCTAGGTAGCTTGTGAACCAGCAGCGAGGCACAGAGCGCAAAGAGCAGAGGTGGAGTACCAGCGACTGAGGGAGTGCTGTCGACTGATAGGGTGAGTTGTGCCGATTGGTGGGGTGAGTTGTGCTTACTTGTGGTGAGTACGGATTACTGATTGGTTCTGCATGAGATGGAACTGCAAGCAATGTGTGCGTGTGCACTGCATCCCTTCCTTCTCCTTCTCGCCCCCCTTGTTAACTCTGACTTAGCGCCGCTGTGTGATGACCCAGCCCTATGCATCTTCTCTCCCTCTCTCACCCACCCCGCTTGACTACACTACCAGGGACCCAGCAAATGGAAGTGGTATGCACGCTTGTCTGCAGCGAATGGCAGACTCACACCGGAGGAGGAGGCGCTTCCTACTGGGCCACGAGGGCAGGCGCCTGCTGCTGAGGCTGTGTGATCAATCCCTAACCCCTATGTTTCTCCCTCTCTCTTTCCCCCCTCTCCAACAGGGACCTAGTAAGTGGGAGTGGCATGCACACGTGTCTGCAGAAAATGGCAGACTCACACAGGAGAAGACGCTTCTTATTGGGCCTCGAGGGCAGGCGCCTGCTGCTGAGGCTGGTGGACGAGCCCTGATGAACACCTAAGGTCTTACTGAGTCTCTTCCCCCCCTCCGACTGGCAGAGATCTGGTAGGCTCTACCGGCATGCATGCCTGTCTGCAGCGAATGGCAGATTCGCACAGGAGGAGGCGCTTTCTGCTGGGCCACGAGGGCAGGCGCCTGCTGCTGAGGCTGGCGGATGAGCCGTCACTGCTGCCGGCCATGCTGCAGCTGGTTTTGGCGGTGCTGGCCCTGCTGCGAGCTGAGGTGCACTGGGCTATACTGCACACCTCCTGCCTCGCCCAGTCCGCCCCTGTCACGGTAAACCAGAAACTATTTTGCACTTTCTGGCGGTCTCTGCCACTCTCTCCTGCTGTCATCTCGTCCGGCTGCTCTCTCCTGCTATCGCCCTGCTGCGAGCTGAGGTGCACTGGGCCATACTGCACACCTCCTGCCTCGCCCAGTCCGCCCCTGTCACGGTAAACCAGAAACTATTTTGCACTTTCTGGCGGTCTCTGCCACTCTCTCCTGCTGTCATCTCGTCCGGCTGCTCTCTCCTGCTGTCGCCCTGCTGCGAGCTGAGGTGCACTGGGCCATACTGCACACCTCCTGCCTCGCCCAGTCCGCCCCTGTCACGGCAATCCAGGGGTTCTCTTTCTCTCTGCTCTGCGCTGCCCTCTTCTTTTGAGTCGACTCAAAAGCAATCCAGGGGTTCTCTTTCTCTCTGCTCTGCGCTGCCCTCTTCTTTTGAGTCGACTCAAAAGCAATCCAGGGGTTCTCTTTCTCTTTGCTCTGCGCTGCCCTCTTCTTTTGAGTCGACTCAAAAGCAATCCAGGGGTTCTCTTTCTCTCTGCTCTGCGCTGCCCTCTTCTTTTGAGTCGACTCAAAAGCAATCCAGGGGTTCTCTTTCTCTCTGCTCTGCGCTGCCCTCTTGAGGCACCTAAAGAACGCCTCTCTCGCTCTCTCTTTGCTGCTGAAGTTGGCGTATAAGCCCTCAGTGCTGGCGCCTACATTAAGCCCTCAGTGCTGGCGCCTACATTAAGCCCTCAGTGCTGGCGCCTACATTAAGCCCTCAGTGCTGGCGCCTACATTAAGCCCTCAGTGCTGGCGCCTACATTACAGCTGCTGCTAGCTTTGCAGGGTCTGACCACATGCTTCGTCTCCTTCTCACAGACTCACACCCTGCCAATCCCGCCACGCCCTGCCACACCCTCCCTCCCCCCTTGCAGGGACCAGAAGCTGACTCCGTGGCAGTGCTGATCGATACCACGTTTCACCTCGTTGAGTTTCCAGAGTCAATTTAAGGTGTATCCCCCCTCTCCCTGTCACACCCTCCCTCCCTCCACTGCAGGGAGCAGAGGCGGACTCAGTGGCAGTGCTGATCGACACCATGTTCCGCCTCGTGTCCCTCATCCAGACCCACATGCTCGGTACGTACGTACGTGCTGCTGCTGCTGCTGCTGCTGCTGGTGGCAAAATGCTGTGGTGCAGGCTTGTCATGCGAAGCGGTGATCTGAATCTCACAGGTTGTACGAGGTATGTGGGCATTATTAAAGCTAACACTTCCCCTTGACTGTTCTCCTGAGTCAAGCTGTTGTCCTTGCCCTGCTTCCCATATTCCCCTATTCTCCAGCCATCCAGGCGCATGCATCGTGGCAGGTGCAGTGGGGAGCGAGGCGGGTGAGAGAGCTGATCGCGCTGCCAGCTGTGCGCCAGCTGGCGATGAGCGCCCAGCTGGAGGCCTTCTTCTGTGACACGTCAGCGTCCTTGCTGGCAGCCGCCCGGTTCCTCTGCGATGCTGACGTGGCATGTGCTGGCGGCGGTGGCAGTGGGGGAGGGAGCAGCATGGAGTATGAAGAACGGATGCAGATGGTAAGGACTGAAGTAAGGGTTAGGAGTGGAGAGCTCTTTGGGGCATCTCGAAAGTCCGGAGCAGCATAGACTGTGACGAACGGATGCAGATGGTAAGTTGCTCACATCCTTCTTCGATGCTGATGTGGCACTAGTGGTGGTTGTGGTTGTGGTGGTGGTGCCCCCTCCCCCAGCAGCACGCCCTCCCATCAGACCAGCTGGCTGGCAGGGCACAGTGGCTGCAGCTGCAGCCGCTGCTCATTTCCTTCCTGCCCAACCAACATCCCTTTCCCTTCTCCCTTATCCCCTCTCCCCTGTCCCCTGTCCCCTCTCCCCTCTCCCCTCTCTCCTCTCCCCTCTCCCTCCGCCCATCTCCCGCCTCCCCCCTCTCCCAGCACGCTCTGGCATGCGATGCGACCAGGTGGCATGCGATGCGACCAGGTGGCATGCGATGCGACCAGGTGGCATGCGATGCGACCAGGTGGCATGCGATGCGACCAGGTGGCATGCGATGCGACCAGGTGGCATGCGATGCGACCAGGTGGCATGCGATGCGACCAGGTGGCATGCGATGCGACCAGGTGGCATGCGATGCGACCAGGTGGCATGCGATGCGACCAGGTGGCATGCGATGCGACCAGGTGGCATGCGATGCGACCAGGTGGCATGCGATGCGACCAGGTGGCATGCGATGCGACCAGGTGGCATGCGATGCGACCAGGTGGCATGCGATGCGACCAGGTGGCATGCGATGCGACCAGGTGGCATGCGATGCGACCAGGTGGCATGCGATGCGACCAGGTGGCATGCGATGCGACCAGGTGGCATGCGATGCGACCAGGTGGCATGCGATGCGACCAGGTGGCATGCGATGCGACCAGGTGGCATGCGATGCGACCAGGTGGCATGCGATGCGACCAGGTGGCATGCGATGCGACCAGGTGGCATGCGATGCGACCAGGTGGCATGCGATGCGACCAGGTGGCATGCGATGCGACCAGGTGGCATGCGATGCGACCAGGTGGCATGCGATGCGACCAGGTGGCATGCGATGCGACCAGGTGGCATGCGATGCGACCAGGTGGCATGCGATGCGACCAGGTGCATGCGATGCGACCAGGTGCATGCGATGCGACCAGGTGGCATGCGATGCAACCAGGTGGCATGGCACAGCATCAGAAGTGAGTGGGTGCAGCTGCACCCGCTGTTCTTCCCTTTCCTGCCCAACCAACTCCTGGGTGCTCTACCCGCTCCCCACCCCACTTCCTCTCTCTCCCAGCACGCCCCTCGCCTCCGACCAGCTGGCATGGCACAGCATGAGGAGCGAGTGGATGCAGCTGCAGCTGCTGCTCTCGTCGCCCTTCACGACGGTGTCAGCGAGAGTGCTGCATCTGGTGTCGGGGGGGGATGATGGCCCAACCAGCATCGTCACAGAGTGCAACCGCCTCTATGTGTGGTGCAGGTACGTTGCTGTGGGGCTCATGTTACTTCACTACCGTCATATGCACTGGCTGCTGCCACTGCTGGTACTGCCGCTGCTGCGTGACTCTGTCTATCTCCCCTCTTCCCACCTCACCACTATCTGTCAGGTGCATTGATCAGCTGCCAGAGGTGGTGGACGAGCAAGCTTCATTGCACTTTATGTAGTACTGTTATCGATCGCTGTTGCATGTGTGACTGTGTGTATCTCGTCTCCCCTCCTCCCACCCACCACTATCAGGTGCATTGATCAGCTGCCAGAGGTGGTGGATGAGCAAGCCTCTTTGCACCTCATGTGCTACTATCGACCGCAGATGACGCAGGTACTCACTCCGAGCCATTCATTTCCTTCTACTCTTGGATCTCCTCAGAGAGTTATCAAAGAGTTTGAAACTGGTTGCTGCCTTTTTCATCTCCTTTGCTGTTTTTTACTCTACATCTGGTCCCCAACCATCGCGTTTCTCACCTGGCCCCATTGCTTGCCTCTCAGGTGTTTCGCCAGGTGCTTTTCTCCCCTCATGGCACGCCATCGCACGCTGTAGGCTGGCTGATGGTGGCTCAAGCCTTCCTGCACAACCTGCCACTCTCCCTGCCAGATGAGGTGATACGAAAACCCTTCTTTTCAAACGGTCCTTTGTATTGCCCTTCTTTTCAAACGGTCCTTTGTATTGCCCTTCTTTTCAAACGGTCCTTTGTATTGCCCTTCTTTTCAAACGGTCCTTTGTATTGCCCTTCTTTTCAAACGGTCCTTTGTATTGCCCTTCTTTTCAAACGGTCCTTTGTATTGCCCTTCTTTCTCTCTTTTCTCTCTTTCTGAATAGGATCCTTGACAACAACATGATTCACATCTCACTGCCAACCAACCCTCTGCTTTTCCTCCTCCCTCTCCTCTATTGTTTCTCCCCCACAGCGTCCCACACTCCTGCCAACAGCAGTGCAGTTTGCCGACTCGCTGCTCCATGCCATCACGGGGGGAGTGGACTCGCTTTTCTCTGCACTACAGTCGGACCAGGGGCTGACCGGGCTACACATTAAGGTAGGTCCCATGCTGCCACTCCCTGTTACATGCTGCACCCATACACACTGCAACCATGCACACTGCACCCATACACACTGCAACCATGCACTACTCCATGCTATCATGGGGGGGGTTGACTCGCTTCTCTCGGCACTACAGTCGGACCAGGGGCTCACTGGGCTTCACATGAAGGTGAGCGTGTGGTGTTGGTGTCACCCATACATGCTTGCATCCATATTGCTGCACCCATGCATGGTACACCCATCCTGCTACTCCATGCACGTGTGCCCCATGTGTGCTCTGCTCTGCACATGCGGACGCTACCAGCAGCAGCAGCAGCAGCAGTCATACTGGCAACCACCACTCAAGCCCCATGTGTTGCCAACCCCAATGTGTGGCCCTCATTTTCCCCATGTTTCCCCCATGTGTGCTCTGCTCTGCACCTCACGTGTCCCCCATGTTTCCCCCATGTGTGCTCTCCACATGCAGACGCTACCAGCAGCAGCAGCTGTCCTACTGGCAACCACCACTCAAGGCACCGTCGCTGGCCACCAGGCAAACACGCATCCCTCAGCAGATCAGCAGCACCAGCTGCTGCTGCAGCTGCTCCCAGGGAGTGAAAGCCAGCCGCACAACCGAGCACACGTTGCCGGGTAAGCCCCTCCTGTGCTTGCATACTCTGATGCCTCCTCATTCTCTGACCTTGATTCAATTACTTCCACTCTCCACTCCACTCCATGTTTACCTCATCCCCCTCCCCTCCTCCCTCCCTCCTTCCCTCCCTCCCTCCTTCCCTCCCTCCCTCCCTCCCTCCCTCCCTCCCTCCCTCCCTCCCTCCCTCCCTCCCTCCCTCCCTCCCACCCAACCGCCCACCAGCATAAGCGCATCACTGCACAAGCTAGTGGGGCTCATATCAGCCATTGACGGCCTGCCACCTGTCCGAGTCGCCGACCATGCGTTTGTGCCCAGAGAGGTAACGTCCCTCCCATACCATTCTTGGAAGTACATATTGCCCAGAGAGGTACATATTGCCCAGAGAGGTACATATTGCCCAGAGAGGTACATATTGCCCAGAGAGGTACATATTGCCCGCCATTCTCCCCAACGGCCACCTGCAGCGACTTTTGAGAATTCTCAAAAGTCGCACCAATTCTCAGGAGAATTCTCAAAAGAACATATTGCCCGCCATTCTCCCCAACGGCCACCTGCAGCGCCCCTCAGCCTCGAAGTCCCACATTACTCTCCATCCCCATTCGCTGTTCCCTCTTTCCCCTCTCCCCTACCCCCTGTTTCCTGTCCCGTATGCCATCTCCCTCCCCTACCCCATCCCCCCAACATTACCTGAGAGAAAAACTCACCCGCCACTTGCACCACCGCCTGCGCTCCGCTATTCTCCCCAACGGCCACCTGCAGCCACACTCCACCTTTGAGTGCTGAACAAACTCAACCCCTCCCTCTCGCCGTCTGTCCCTCCTTGTCCCCTCTCCCCTACCCTGTCACCCCCCTTACAGTACCTGAGAGAGCGCCTCACCCGCCACTTGCACCACCGCCTGCGCTCCGCCATTCTCCCAAACGGCCACCTGCAGCGCCCCTCCGCCTTGGAGTGCTAAACACCCTTTGAACCTTCTTCCTTGCCCCCTCTTCCCCACCCTCTTCGTCCCGCCAACAGTACCTGCGGGAGCGCCTCACCCGCCACCTGCACCACAGCCTGCGCTCCGCCATTCTCCCCAACGGCCACCTGCAGCGCCCCTCCGCATTTGAGTCCTGCACAACCTCTGACCTTTCCACTACCCCCTCCCTCTCCCCTTTCGCCTCCCTCTCCTCTTCCCCCTCCCTCTCCCCTACAACCCCTTCTTATCAACAGTACCTGCGGGAGCGCCTCACCCGCCACCTGCACCACCGCCTGCGCTCCGCCATTCTCCCCAACGGCCACCTGCAGCGCCCCTCCGCCTTCGAGTCCTCCCTCACTCGCTTCCTCCTCCTCCTCCTGCTCCTGCAGCAGCACTGCTCTCTCGACCTCTCTCGAACCATCCGGGAGGTTCTTCTGGGGGAGGCCTTTCCTAGGAGGGACAGGGGGAAGGGGGAGGAGATGGAGGAAGGGGAAAGGGCAGGGAGAGGAGAGGGGAGACATGGGGAGGAGGTTTATGAGGAGCAGGTTATGGGGGGGTGCAGGGACTTGCACCCACTGTATCGGCCTGAGTGGGAGAGAGAGAAGATTGGGGGAATGGGGAGGGGAGGTGGGGGAAGGGGGAAGACGGGAGAGGGAGGAGTAGGAGTGGGAGAGGGAGGAGCGTGGGATGGAGACGGGGAGAAGAGAGGAGGGATGGAGAGAGGAGGGGAGGATAGTGGAGGGTTGGAGAGAATAGGGGAAGAGAGAGGATGGGAGGAGCGAGGAGGGGTGCATGGCAAGGCAGTGTCGAGCTCACTAGATGCTAGGCTGAGGAAGAGTGGCGGATGGAAAGGACGATGGTCCGTGGGTTCCAAACAAGGCAAAGGCACGAGCATGGGGATAGATTTGGGAACAGGTATGGGAACAGGTATGGGAACAGGTATGGGAACAGGTATGGAGGAGAGTTGCATAGAAGAGGAGGGTCTAGAAGCGAGAGGTGGTGGGAATGGGGTGGTTGGAGGGCAAGGGGAAGCTTCTGGGCAAGTGCAGGAGGGAGGAAGAAAGGGTGGGTTAGGGTGGAGTGAAGATGGGGTTGTTGGTGGTGAGAGCTTTGACGGGCCGAGTGCGGCTGTGATTATAGCGCGATGGTACGTTGACAATGTGGTGTGTGACTGTAATGAGGCTGGGGTGCTGTTCTCCCCGTTTGACGCCACCTTTAGAAGCACAGCATGGGGGGGACGTGTAGCATCACCATCATTACCACCAGACGCAGCAGCAGAAGGAGGAGGAGGAAAAGCAGGAGAAGGGGTAGGAACCAGCAGCAGCAGTCCAGTCAAACTCGGAACAGGAAGTCTCCCACCTGGTCATCTCACTCCCCCTGTGGCCTCCTCTCCTGCACTCGTCCCAGGAGCAGCAGCTGCAGCAGGCGCGTTCAGCCCCCTCCTGCCCTTCCCCAGCCCCAGTCCTTCCCTCGCTACTCCGCCCACTTCCTCCTCCATCTCCTCCTCCTCCGCCTCCTCCTCTGCCTCCACATTTCCATCCTCCTCTGCTGCATCCCCGTTCACTACGGCGTCCCCTCAGGCTGGTGTCTCTGTGGCTTCGATCCCCGCCTCCTCCCCCATCTCCCCAATCCTCGCCTCACCCAATTCATTTCCCCCTGGTGCGGCGTCTGCTGCTGCAGGGGGGGGAATAGGAGCAGAAGCAGGAGCAGGCGGAGCAGGGGGAGGAGGGGGAGCGGGTGGATTTGTGGCTCGGCCAGTGATTGCTGAGCTGGTGGCGGATGGTGCTGAGCTGGCTGCGTTTGTGAGGCTGTTTGGATTCTACGGGGCGGATGAGCTGGCAGGGCGGGTGGTGCGCCCCGTGTTGCTGCGCCTGCTGAGTCGCCTGGAAGCCATTCTGAGGGCCAACCGGGATTCCCTAATGATGCTCGCATCCAAGATGCACCTCTCTCCTCCCTTGCAGGTGAGTTGTTGATGTTGTTGTTGATGTTGTTGCTTTTACTTCTTCTTTTTTCTTCATCTTTCCCCTCAGCCGCCTGGAAGCCATTCTGAGGGCCAACCGAGACACTCTTATGATGCTCGCTTCCAAAATGCACCTCTCTCCTCCCTTGCAGGTTCCCTCCGCTGCCGCCGCCGCCGCTGCCTCTGCCGCTGCTGCTAGTGCTGCTGGTGCTGCTGATTCTGCTGATCCTGCTGTGAGCACAACTGGCCCTGGAAAAAGGGACTCAAGCACACCTGTTACAGGCACAGATGGAGCAAGCAAAACCGCTACAGGCCCATCTGCTGCAAGCAAACCCGGTACAGGCACAGGCACTGGCAGTGCCACCCGCACGCAGCAGCCGGAGGAGCAGCAGCGGGCAGCAGCAGCAGCAGCAATAGCAGCCCCAGCAGAGGAAGCTCTCTCCCTCTGTATCCAAATCGGACACTGCCTCTCCTTCCTCCACGTCCTCTCCTCTGCCTGCTCCTCCACCCTCCACGACCACATCCCCCTCGTGCTCTCAGTGTTACGGGATACTGCCTCCCACCTCCCTCCCTCCTGCCCTGAGAGTGTGGCTGTGGGGCAGTTGAGGAGGGTTGCTGCTAGGTGCGGGGTGGGAGGAGGGGCAGCGGGAGCAGCGGCGGTTGCGGCAGGTGGGGCGGTGGTTGTGAGCGGGATGGGGGGCGCGGGGGGGATGGCGGGGGTCGGGGGAGGGGGAGGGGAGGAGGAGGTGGGCGGAGGGGGAGGAGGAGCAGATGGGACGTTAGCAGAGGTTCTTGAACTTCTGATGGAGATAGGAGGAGTGGGAGACGGAGCTTGGGCCATGCTGCCCTTTCTCTTTGCTCTCATGCTGGGAGGAGAGTCATGGGAAACCTGTGTATACCTCCCAGAAATACAGGGGTTTTCGGATAATGCCAACTGTTTGATTCGGGCTATACACGTGCTTCTGGTGGGGTGCGAGCGAGCAGGGGCAGAGAGAAGAGAGTTGAAACGAGAGCTGCTAGCCCAGCAGCGGATCATGAGAGGATCAAATCGCAACTCGGAGGATTACGCTGATGACGACGAGCCGACCAATCTGGTCCGGCTGGCGGGCGGCGTGGCCGGCATGATGCGGACGTTTGTGCAGCACGCAGCGAGTTTCGTCCTGAATTCCTGGGATAAGGGCCCGCGGGGTGCGTGGGCTTCAAGAGTGATCTTCTTGGACCAGCTCTGTCTCTTCTCCCCCCATCTGCCTCGATCGGTGTTGGAGAAATACCTTCCCTACACACTCATCCGTGCGGCTTACAACGCGTACCACAATCACCCTCCTCTCCCTCTCCCGCTCCCGCTCCCTCTCGCTCCTCCTCCTGCCCCTCAGCCCTCCTCTTCTCCGTTCGCAGCCACAGTTCCTGCTGCATCTCCCATGGGAGCAGGAGATGGGAGGACTCCACTCTCCTCCATCCCGTCCTCCTCTCCTCTCTTCCCTCCCCACACTCGTCCCTCTGGCCCGTTTGCTGCAAGAAAGGTTCGAGACATTATCCAACCCCCATCTCCACCATCCCCACCATCTCCCCCTCTCCTCTCTCCCCCTCCTGGTCCTCCCCAGCAGTCCCCCTTCCCCTCACTCTCCCCCGACCTTACCTTACCTTCTGCTTTTCCGAACCAAGCGCAGCTGTCAGCTACAGGACAGGGATTGCCGCCCAGCACGGATCCTCAACAGTCACATCTGTCACAGTCACAGCAGCTGCGGTCACAGCTGCAGCTGCGGCTGAGAGCAGCAGAGGGAGGCAGCGGGAATTTAGAGCAGTTAGAGCAGCAGCTAGAGCAGTTAGAGCAGCAGAGACCAGCATATGCATCGTCTTCTCTGCTGGAAATGGCACAGAGCTTCGAAACGCCCCAGCAAAACGCGTCTGCCACTGTGGCAGAAAGGAGTGGGGGGTATGGGGGGCATGGGGGGCGGGGGGGTCGAGCCCCCACTGCCGCTGCAGCTGCTGCTGCTGCTGCCGCTGCTTCTGCTGTTTCGTTTGGCTATGCTGCCGGTGGTCCTGGTGTTGAGGGCGAATACTCAGGTGAATTTTCAGGTGAGGTGTCAGGTGAGGGCGGGTCTCCAAGCCACGCACCTGCCATGCGCTGCCTGCCCTCCACGCCTCAGTCACTGGCAAGGAAGCATGGCTTCTCCCACCACTCCCAGCAGCAGCACAGCAAGGCACATTCTCCCTCTGTCTCGTCTCAGGGATACAGGTCAGGTCAGCTGTTTAGTCACACAGGGGCAGAGCCAGGAACAGGGGGAGCAGCAGGAGCAGGAGGAGGTGGCATTGGAGCAGCAGCAGCAAGACCAGCACCGGCATCGCCAGCAGTGGTGGCGGCAGCAGCTGCTGCTGCAGCATCCGTTTCCCTCCCTCCTGGCCTCGCTGCTGCTGCCCCGCTCACCCTCCCTGCTGCTGCTTCTGCTCACGACCCCCTACCTCTTGCTTCCTCCGCTTCCTCCTCCTCCTCCTCCTCGTCCTCTGCATATCGTGCCCCCCCTTCCTCTGCGTGGATGCACATGAAAGGCAAGCCCAAGGCGAAGTCAGGGCAACTGGTGTATGGGCTGGCAGGGAAGATGGGAAGAGCAGGAGGGGGAGGAGGGGGGGGAGTGGGAACAGGAGGAGGCATGGGTAAGGGGATGGGCATGGGGGTGGGTATGGGGATGGGGATGGGGATGGGAGGAGGTGGTGGTATGCGTGGAGTGGGGGGAGGAGGAGGAGGGGGAGTGGGAGGAGGAGTCGGAGGGGGGAGAAGGAGCACCACGCCCACCAGGAGGCAGGCTCGATCTGGGCCGTTGATTTCGGGGGCATCGCATGAGCAGATGGACGTTGGAGATGCAGCGATGGGCATGGTCAGAACCGCATCTTCTCATCCCCGTGGGACTGCTGCTGCTGCTGATGCCGGTGTTAGTGGTGCTGGTACTGGTGCTACTGGTGGTAGTGGTGCTGGTACTGGTGCTACTGGTGGTAGTGGTTCTGGTACTGGTGCTACTGGTGGTAGTGGTGCTGGTGACGCTGCTGGTGCTGGTGCTGCTGCTGGTGGTGGTGGTGGTGGTGGTGTTGATGGCACGGGTGACGCAGGAGTTGACTGGGAGTACAGTGCAGATGGGTTCGACCAGTTTGGGGACGGTGATGACTTCTCTCCAGCAGACGTCTTTGCTGAAATCGGCCGGGCTGCTGCTGCTGGCAGTGGCAACAGTGGGGACGAAGGGGACTGGGAGAGGCACAATCGAGGGTCGGCTGGTACAGGAGGAATGGGACGAGAAGGGACAGCCAGTGCTGCTGCTGACGCTGATGCTGCTGCTGCTGCTGCGCGTCGCATGCCCACAGCACGGATTAAAGCGGCAGTGCTGTCAGCCCTGGGGTTGACTGGCCTGGGGATGGGGAGAAAGTCAGGAGGGAAGGAGGACCTTCGACCCGCTCCTCCTGCCTTTTCCACTGCTGATGGTGATGCTGCTTCTGTGTATACAAGTGCTAGTGCTGGTGCTGCTGGTGTTTCTGGCGGCAGTGGTGCTGGCGTTGGCGTGCGTAATAGCACGAGTGGGGGAGGATGGAGGGGGTTCAGTGGGAACCTGAAGCCCTTTTCTCCCAGGAGGAGCAACGTGGGGGGTCATGATTTTCCTGGACAGGGTGGGGGCGTTGGAGGTGAGAGATGGGGGGAAACGGGTGGAGAGGCAGGGGTTGGAACAGGGGCAGGGACAGGAGGGAAGGGATTTGATTGGACGAGTCTGAATGACTTGCAGCAGCAGCTTCGGCAGCAGCTGCAGCAGCACCTGGACGGCCGCCGAGGCTCGCTCGGAGGTAAGGGAACAGCCTCGGCAAGTGGAGTTTTGTCAGATGCAGGCACGGTTGGTGCTGCTGCTGGCTTTGGTGCTAGTGGTGGCGGTGGTGGTGCTGCTGCTGCTGCTGGTGCCGGTGCTGCTGGTGCTGGTGGTGGGAGTGCCGATGCACAGGCCCCAGAAATGAGTTCCCGAGGGCAGGCAAGCCCAGCAGTTGCAGCAGCGGCAGCAGCAGCAGCAGCAGGCCTCGTACCCCCATCCCTCCAAGCGGCAGCAAGACAAGAAGGCGGCGGCATGGCAGCATTACAACGCGCCAGCAGCAGCAACAGCCGCATGGGAGCAACCACTGCTACAACCATTTCCACCCATGGTGCCACCCAAGGAAATCATCTCCACTCCTTGGAACCGCGCAAGTATGGTGTCTCAGCCTCGGCCCCTCTGGATCCTCGGCTCGTTGCTGCTGGCGCTGCCCCTGTCTTCCCCGCTCTTCCCCCAGGCTTCCCTTACCTCCCTTCATCTTCTTCTTCTTCTTCTGCTGCTGCTGCTCGTTCCTCCTCCCCTGCTCCTGCCGCTGCTCCTGCTTCTAGTGCTGCATCGTCCCCCCATCCCTCTGCTCCTGCTGCTGCTATATCTGCACCTCCACGTGCCTCCGCTCCTGCTGCTGCAACAGCTGCCTCTCCCCGGGCCTCGGGTTTCCCGAGGCGGATAGACGTGGTGGGCGTGGAGAGGCTGGGGTTGCATGAGCTGGACGCCAAGGTGCTGGGTTTAAAGAGCCTCAACATCCCCAAGGGGAAGGACCGGACAGAAGACGAGGTGTTTGACGAGGAAGTGAAGTTACCCTAATGGTGGCCTTGGTGCATAGGGAGACAAGGTGCTGGGGTTGCATGAGCTGGACGCCAAGGTGCTGGGGCTGAAGAGTCTAAACATCCCGAAGGGGAAGGACCGGACAGAGGAAGAGGTGTTTGACAAGGAAGTTCCCCTAGTTAAGGGGGTGGGGAAGTGAAGTTACCCTGGTGGTGGCCGTCTATGGGGAGGTGGTGCTGGGGCTGGAGAGACTAGGGTTTGCATGAGCTGGGTGGCAAGGTGTTGCTGGGGTTGAAGAGCCTCAATCAACACCGTACTCTCAAAAGATTGGTGTCCCTTAGGGATTGGATTGGAGAGAGATGGTTACGGTGGAGAGGAGAATGCATCAAGTTTTCTACGCATCTTAAAACCATACTGTCAGAAAGATCCGTGAGTTTTTTGAGAATTCTCACAAAACACAGTTTCTACATACAATCAGAAAGATCCTAAGTACACATCATCTCATCAGGCTTTTCAGCTCGTGTCAAGCACCATGCTTTCTTGTTGTTAGGAATCTTGAAGGCTAACTTGGTTGATTGTGACACGACTTTCAGAGGAGTGTGCAGTGCAGTCGTCATGGGCATAAAGAAAGAAAATCTCATTTTGGTTTCTGCTCTTTGATGTGCATTTTCATGTGTGTATCCATGACCTGCTTTCCCATAGGCATGAAAGTACTACAGTGCTGTATGAGCATCAGAGAGAAAATTACACTGTATCTTGTTTGTTCTTATATTGTCATGTTTTGCTACCGTATTATGTTTTGTTGTTTTCTCATTGCCCTGCTGCTGCTGCCTGCTTCTGCTGGTGCTGCTTGGAGTGACTCGTCTGGTAATGACAAGTGGAGGGAAACAGGATATGATGTTCTCCCTGTTCCTCCCTGTCACTAGAAGGTCTTAAGTGGACAATGTTCCAAGCGGAATCGAGCCTTCTTTCATCACCATGTACACAGGGATTTCAAGTGCATGAAAAACCAATTTTGCCCAATACGTGCATGTGCATGGCTAACGAGTCCGTAGCATGATGGTGCATTCGGGAGTTGCAGTAGATGTCCCAGCCAGTGCCGCACACTAGGTGGAAGGCAGAATGAAGAGGGCTTTTGATGATAAGCGTGAGGGGACCGAAACCAGGAGGAAGCAGAGGGAGAGGGAAAAGGAACACAAGCAACGAAATAACGAAAGCAAGAGCAGAAAAACAGCAATGGACTGATGGAAAGCGAGGAATGGGAAGCACGGGCAACTGAGAAAAAGCGCGGCAAAAGACGAAGAATAAAGCGAATGAAGGACCAGATGACGAAAGGGATGAAAGCAAGGAACAAAGAATAGAGAACCATGAGGAGAGAGAATGAGAGTAGAGGGATGGGCAAAGAGAAAGCTGGGGGGGGTGGGGGAGGGGTTGGGAGGGGAGAGTTGGGCAGAGTTGTGGGCAGATGGAAGGAAGTCTGCATCTCCCACATCCCCTGGGAGATGTGGTGTGCGGCACTGGCAGAGCTGGGCAGGGCAGGGTGTGGCACTGGCAGAGACGAGATGGTTTTACAGTGAGTCAGTGGCTGGCAGGGTACAGTGCTGGTGAAAATGAGATGGTTTTTGAAGCGTCTATGAAATCTTAACCCCTGAGAGAACTGGTCTGCGGAATTAGCGGAGGTAGTGGCAGTGTGCAGAGAGAGGAGAGAGAGTTGCAACGAGGAATGCAGGTGGCAAGTGGGTGGTTGCAGTGCAGGCAGTGTGGTCAAATGGCATGGAGTGCAGTGAACAGTGGCTGGGAGCGGTGGCTGCAGGCAGTCTGGTGCACTGAACGGTAGCAGCAATGGTTGGGAACGTTGCGGCACTAGCAGTATCCAGTGCGGTGAATAGTGGAGTGATGAGTGCCCGTGAAAATGCGAGGATCTGATGTTACGCAGGCATGGAGAGAGCAGATGCCTCTCTCCTTGCTCTGCATGCAGTGTGGCAAAGCAAAGAAGCTTGTGGCAGTGGGAAGGGCGGCAATGTAAGGGCAGCAGTGGGAAGGGTCACGAAGAAGCCGCACTGTCCCTTCACTTGGCAGTCATCATCCGTTCCTTTGCTTGCTGACAGAGCTTCGCAATCTGTGTCTCAATCACCCTATGAAGCCTCTGAGCGTTCTTTCCTTCCCAAACACGCCTTCAGCCCACTCGACCCTTCAACCCACTCGATCCTTCAACCCACTCGACCCTTCAACCCACTCAGCCCTTCAACCCACTCGACCCTTCAACCCACTCGACCCTTCAGCCCACTCGACCCTTCAACCCACTCGACCCTTCAACCCACTCGACCCTTCAACCCACTCGACCCTTCAACCCACTTGCCCCTTCAACCCACTTGCCCTTCAACCCACTTGCCCCTTCAACCCACACTGCAGGCCTGCAGACGAATTGCGCAGAAAAGTGATGACCTGCCACAGCTGCGGCAATGAAGACTGCTGCAGATACACCAAGGTAGAGGCAAGTGATTATCAGCATCAAGTCCTGCTGCCTCTGCTGCCCCTGCTACTCTGCTGCCCCTGCTCCTCCCTCAACTCCCTCTGCTCCCACTGTTACTCTGCTTCTCTGCTGCCTCTGATTCTCTCTCCTTTCAGCCTGATTCACAAGCCTCTCACAGCCACTATGACTCACCCTCCGTTTCTGCCCCTCCTTATTCCTGCCTGTTCCTGCTCCTGCCCCGTGTTGCTTCTGTCCCTGCTTGTCTCTGCTCCTCCCCTCCCTGCTCCTCCCCTCCCTGCTCCTGACCGTTCCTGCCTCGCCTCCTGCCTCGCCTCCTGCCTCGCCTCCTGCTTGCTCCTGCTCCTCCCTCCCTGCTCCTGCCCGTTCCTGCTCCTTCACCTTTGAAGCTGATCAGCTCCTTTCTCCCTCTACCTTTTACACTCACCTTCTTTCGTTCTGAAAACTCATCCGCTCACTTTTTGCTCCTTTTCCCCTCCCTTCACCCTTTTTCCTCTCAGCTTCTCCCTTCTACCCCCTTCTCTCCCTTCCCCTCCCTCCCCCTCCTTCCCACTATCACCTGCCACCTTACAACTCAACCCCCCACACTGCCATAGCACCCGTACAGCCCTCATCCCAACACCATCTCAAACACCCACGCCTCAAACCAATCGTTGCCCTCGTCATTTCTCCACAGCCGCTACCACACACCGAGCCCTTGCATCACTCCCCCATATGTTGCGCCCGTTTCCCCATACGCTGCGCCTCCCCCTCCCCCATATGCTGCGCCTCCCCCTCCCCCATATGCTGCGCCTCCCCCTCCCCCATATGCTGCGCCTCCCCCTCCCCCATATGCTGCGCCTCCCCCTCCCCCATATGCTGCGCTTCCCCCTCCCCCCTATGCTGCGCCTCCCCCTCCCCCATATGCTGCGCCTCCCCCTACCCCATATGCTGCGACTCCCCCTCCCCCATATGCTGCGCCTCCCCCTCCCCCATATGCTGCGCCTCCCCCCTCCCCCATATTCTGCGCTCACTCCCCATATATTCTAAAGATTCTCAACAGTTTCAACACTCCCCTGCGCCAGCTGCCCTCACTCCCAGAAACCAGCGCCTCATCACGCCACCGAATCGTGTGCCCTGCGCCTACAGGTAGGTAACAACACGTGCTCAGACGCCCTGCTGTCCGCAACACCTCTATTCCTCCCTTCTCTCCCCAACAACCACTGTCAAGCACCCTCTGCTGCCTTCACGTGCCTTCTCACATGCACTTGACATCGCAGCTGTCATCGCAGTACTAATACCCCACGCCTCCTCACACGCCACCAACCCTTGTGCCCTGTGCGTACAGGTACCACCTCGTCCCCCTTCCCCTCCCTGCGACCCTCCCATTGAGCTCCAACTGCTGTGCACACATTGTCCCCCACACTGCCGCCCTTTTAAGTCGAGTCAAAAGCCTCCTCACACGCCACCAAACCTTGTGCCCTGCGCCTACAGGTACCACCTCGTCCCCCTTCCCCTCCCTGCGACCCACACTCCCATTGAGCTCCAGCCTACAGGTACCAACTACTGCACACATTTTGTCCCCCCCACACTGTCGCGCTTTCACCCCCCACAGCCGCCCCGCACCCCGCACCCCGTACCCCGCACCCCACACCACACCCGCTCTCACTCACACACCCACGCACCCTCCAATAACCAGACCACGTAACCCCACACACTAAGGTACACGACCGAATCCCTGTACCCCGTAACCCCACACACTAAGGTACACGACCGTATCCCTGTACCCCGTAACCCCACACACTAAGGTACACGACCGTATCCCTGTACCCCGTAACCCCGTATCCCTCCTTCCCCACGACTCTTTTCCTCAACCTCAAACCGCGCAGCCCCCCTTGCCTTAATCCCCAAACCCCAATATGTGCGCAGATTTCCCCACAACTACCCGCCTCACCTCCCCCCTCCCTTTCCCCCCCCCTTCCCCCCAACTCCCCCTATCCCCTTTAGCTGCTGCTGTCTGCAACAGCGTCGGTCCCATCCTTTGTAGCCTCCACAGCAGCCCCGGCAGGCGCGGATGCGCCGAACCTCTCCGCCCGAGCCTTCTTCTTAGCCTCGAGCTCGCTGTCAGCAGGGTTGGCGGACCTGGCAGAATAATGCGGAAGGAGGAGGGGGGGAGGGGGGGCGTGAAAGATTAAGGGGAGAGAGAGCGGGTGTGAGAGAGGTGGGGAAGAACGAGAGGGTGCGATTCATGAAGAATAGCACATCATTTTGAAGAATAGCACGTAGTCATGACTGAGAGAGGTAGCGGGTGCGCCTCATCAGTCAAGCTCGCTATCAGCAGGGCTGGCGAGCCCGGCAGATGAATGAGGGAGGAGGAGAGGGAGAGGGAGGGGGGAGAGAACGGGCGTGAGGGAGGGAAGAGACGAGAAAGTGAACTCTTGAGGCGCCTCATCAGTCAGGCTCGCTGTCGAAAGGGTTGGCGGACCCGGCAGATGACAGAAGAGAGAGAGCAGCAGCGCGAGCGACGGGCAGAAAGAGTGAGAGAGAGAGAAGGGGAAAGAGAGGGTGGCGCAAGGGCAGCAGGCACGGATGAGACAGCGACGGCGGGGGGAAGGGGAACGAGAGTGTGCTAGCGCGAACGCAAACCAACACTAGCCTCTCGTACCTTTAAAACCTCCCCCATGATAGTGATGTTTTTGTTTAATCCAATTTTCCAGAAAAAACTCCCCTGGTCGCTTTTTCACAAAGTGACATACATACTGCCATACATCATCCCTGCCCACTCACGTGTCTCTCTTCGTATCCCCTCCTGACCGCTGCTCCTGCGGAACCATCTCCCGCAGTGACGAATTTCTTGGCTCGAGCCTCCCGCTTGGCCGCCTCCTCCGCACTCAGCGCGGACAGCTGGGTGGCTTTCTTAAGAGAACCCATGCCATGCACCATTCCTGCCCACTCACGTTTCTCGCTTCTTATCCCCTCCAGTCGACGCTGCTCCATCTCCCGCAGTGCCAAACTTCTTGGCTCGAGCCTCCCGCTTGGCCGCCTCCTCCGCACTCAGCGCGGACAGCGGGCTTGTGCCGAACCGTTCAGCGCGTGCCTTCTTCCGCGCTTCCTCCGCAGCCTTGTCCGCCAGACTGCTGCTCGCGCCATTCCCGGCGTCCTTATCCGCTTTGATTCCGAACTTGGCGGCTCGCGCCGCCTTCTTGGCGTCCTCCGCCGCAGGCGCGGCGTCCGCAGTGCCGAACCTGGAAGCACAGGTTAGGGAAGAACGATGACAAAAGAAGATGAAATGTCACAGGCGGAAAAAAGACGGCTGCGCCTTCTTGGCGTCCTCCGCCGCAGGCGTGGCGTCCGCAGTGCCGAACCTTTGAGAGGGTACGTAGATAGAATACAACGGATACGCCATGGGGCAAATGATGACGTCACAGGCAGGACGACGTCGTGAAAGGCGGAATGACAACCTTAGCGGCAGAACGATGACAGGAGCAAGAAACACGCCGCTAAGGCTGTTCGATGAAAACCTTCCGATGGCAGATGACAAGCAGAAGGATGAGATCAAGGGTAGCCAACCGTTTCGCGAGTGGCGCGCTCACCGTTCGGCGCGCAGGCGGCGCTTCTCAGCCTCGCTGATGGTCAGCTCCGTCCCGAACCGCTCTGCACGCGCCTTCTTCTTCTCTAGATTCGCCGCCACCTCGCTCGCCGTCCCTTCCTTGCCCTCCTCTCCCGCCTTCTTCGCTCCCTCGCCACCACTTACACCATCCTCTCCTCCTGCTCCTTCCTCTCCGCCTGCAGAAGCTTCGGCTGGTGATTCTTCTGCTGCAACTGCGTCTCCCGCTGCTCCCGCTGCTTTCGCGGCACCGGAAACATCTGGGTTTCCATCATTTGTCGTCTCTGGAACGTCAGACTTTCCGTTTTCAACGGGCGCATCGGCGGTAGCAACCAGCTCAGGGTTGGTCTTATCATATTTAGATGCCATGGCGACGGGATTGATCAACGGGAGTGAACAGCGAGATTGAACAGCGGGACTGAACAGCGGAATTGGTCAGCTGGTAGGAGAGAATGTGAAGAATGAAAGATGCTTCGCGTGAGACGATGGGATTCAGCCGGTACAATTGAGCTCGTGGAGGAGTAGAGGATCCGTCAAATCAGACAGCGGAACTTCACTGGAAGGTTGCTAGTCGGTGACGGATTCCGTCAGGTCAAATGTTGAGATTCAGATATCGGACGAGCTGATATTCGACGGATCGACGTTACTGAGAGTTGACTGACAAATAGATCGGACCAAGAAACAGGACTACGTAATCCAGTCACGAACGATCTACTAGGAACAATCACAGAACGCGATCCGAAGCACCACGAGGATGAACGAAATCAGCGAGGGGATCACTTATTTCCAGCAGCCTGGAAGACCAAGAGATCTGTCCGTCTTAGGGGTCTCGAGAAGCTTCGGCAGACTTATCGAGTGCCTCGAATGGCGGCGAAAATAGGAGGGAGATCAGATGAGCAGATGCAGGATGAGGGAAAATGAAGCAAGAGAATCTGGAGGCAGAAATACGTAGAGCAGAAAATGCAGATCTTCAGGTATACGAGTAAATATCGAGGGTAGAAGGGGAGATTCAAGCCCGAGGGAGAATGTTCCACTAACGACCCACGGACATCTCAGCCTCGATATAGTGAAGCTCCCGTAGCTCGGTCCCGTGATTCGTCAGATCCCCAATTCAGGTCGTTTCTTCGTTTTGGCGAAGGGCATTACTTCGCCAACGTATCTAGCCTAGCAGGCGAACTAAATTCACGAAATAGACTTGGTAGCACCATGTGCAACCCCCGAAACCCTTTCTCAAGTCCTCAACCCCGCACACCCAATTTCGAGCTTTCTTTTTTGCCCTCTTTTTCCTCCCACTCCCACTTTTTGCCCTATCACTGTGGGATCGCATACACTATCACTGCGGTAGGTCAAATCCACTTCTCCCCGCGGATACACCGTCTCCTCGTAGCGAGATCTAACTTCCGGTTTAACATTGTAACCCGTCGCCATGTTGTCGGCAATATCGTGGGTCCCGCGCGGCGCGGCGAAACCGTTCCCCAAAACAGCGGAGCTCGACGAGGAGGAGGTCGCAGAGGTGCGCCGCCGCGCAGAGGGCGTCGCCGCCGCCGCTGCCGCCGTAGCTGGAGGCGACGCCGACGCTGAGGACGGCGAAGAGAGGGACGCGGAGAATGACGAAGACGCGACAATGGAAGAGGAGGAGGAAGAGGAAGAGGGGAGTGAGGAGGAAGGGGAGGCGGACGGAGAGGAGGCAGCGGCAGCGGCAGCGGCGTTGGCGGCGGAGATCCGGAAGGCGAAGAAGGGCCAATCGGCGGATGACAGGCTGGCAGACGAGCTTGCTGAGCTGGACATGGACCACTACGACGACGAGGCCGACGCGGCGCCGAACCTGTTCGGCACGGGGAAGGGCATCGGCGCGGCGTATTACCGAAGCAACGACGAGGATCCGTACCTGACCAAAGCGGAAGGTGCGGAGGACGAGGACGACGAGGACGAGATCGAAGATCTCACCATACGCGATACAGACTTGCTCATTCTCGCGGCGCGGAACGAGGATGACGTCAGCTTCATCGAGGTGTGGGTGTGCGAGGAGCAGCAGAGGCAGGAGGGGGAGGATGGCGATGACGTGGCACAAAACGACAAGGAGCTCAACATGTATGTGCACCACGATATCATGCTCCCCGCCTTCCCGCTCGCTCTCGCCTGGATGGATTTCAACCCCTCCGCCGCTGCCGCGGCCGCCGCAGCCGGGTCTTCCGCCGCCGCGATTGCCGCCGCGGGCGCCGGTGCGAGCGTCCTGGCGCCAGGAAACTTCGTGGCAGTTGCGACGATGGACCCTGCTATCGAAATCTGGGATTTAGACGTTCTAGACGAGGTCGAACCCGCCGCGTCCTTAGGAGGCTTCGTGACTACAGCGGGCGGCGCGGGCGCTGATGGGGAAGAGGACGACGAAGAGGAGTGGGAGGAGGTGGAGGAGGAGGAGGAGATGGAAGTGGGCGGCGGGGGTTCAGGGCCTAAGAAGGGTTCAAAGGGCAAGAAAGGGAAAAAGGACAAGGGCGGAAAGAAAGGAAAGAAGGGCAGAGAGAGGGAGCCGGAAAAGCGCGGAAGCAGCAACAAGGGGAAAAGTCAGGGAAAAACATCAGCAGCAGCCGCAGTTCTGAAGGAGGGGAGTCATAAGGGGGCGGTGATGGCTCTGTCGTGGAACCGCGAGTACCGGAGTGTGCTGGCGAGTGGAGGCGAGGACAGGCGGGTGAAGGTGTGGGACATGGCGGCTCAGCGCTGCGATCGAACGCTCAAGCCGCACACCGGCAAGGTGCAGGCGGTGGCGTGGGCGCCTCTCCACGCCACGAGTCTACTGTCTGGGTCGTTTGACCGCTCTCTCGCCCTGGTGAGTAAAGGTGTGGGACATGGCGACTGAAGCCGCACACCGGCAAGGTGCAGGCGGTGGCGTAGGCGCCGCTGCACGCCACGAGTCTGCTGCCTGGGTCGTTCGACCGCTCTCTCGCCCTGGTACGTGTGCTATTGGCGTGGCACTGGCTGTTGAAAGGGACGTTTTGGCACTGGTAAGGGCGTTATCAGCTCTGGCTGGTGGGAACGGCGGGTGAAGGTGTGGGCCATGGCGGCGCAGTGCTGCGACCGAACCGAACGCTCAAGCCGCACACGGGAAAGGTGCAGGCGGTGGCGTGGGCGCCCCTGCACGCAACGAGCCTCTTGTCTGGGTCCTTCGACCGCTCCCTTGCTCTGGTGCGTGTCCTGTAGGACAGGTGAGTAAGGTGTGGGTGAGAGATGGCAGCTCAAGCCACACACGGGAAAGGTGCAGGCCGTGGCCTGGGCGCTCCTGCATGCTGCCGTGGCCTGGGCGCTCCTGCATGCTGCCGTGGCCTGGGCGCTCCTGCATGCTGCCGTGGCCTGGGCGCTCCTGCATGCTGCCGTGGCCTGGGCGCTCCTGCATGCTGCCGTGGCCTGGGCGCTCCTGCATGCTGCCGTGGCCTGGGCGCTCCTGCATGCTGCCGTGGCCTGGGCGCTCCTGCATGCTGCCGTGGCCTGGGCGCTCCTGCATGCTGCCGTGGCCTGGGCGCTCCTGCATGCTGCCGTGGCCTGGGCGCTCCTGCATGCTGCCGTGGCCTGGGCGCTCCTGCATGCTGCCGTGGCCTGGGCGCTCCTGCATGCTGCCGTGGCCTGGGCGCTCCTGCATGCTGCCGTGGCCTGGGCGCTCCTGCATGCTGCCGTGGCCTGGGCGCTCCTGCATGCTGCCGTGGCCTGGGCGCTCCTGCATGCTGCCGTGGCCTGGGCGCTCCTGCATGCTGCCGTGGCCTGGGCGCTCCTGCATGCTGCCGTGGCCTGGGCGCTCCTGCATGCTGCCGTGGCCTGGGCGCTCCTGCATGCTGCCGTGGCCTGGGCGCTCCTGCATGCTGCCGTGGCCTGGGCGCTCCTGCATGCTGCCGTGGCCTGGGCGCTCCTGCATGCTGCCAGCCTTCTGTCTGGGTCGGGTCCTTTGACCGCTCCCTTGCTCTGGTGGGTGGGCGCTCTCATCTGCAGACGAGCCAAGGTGAGAGAAGGTGAGATGAAGCGTCTGCAGGCAACGTGCAGGCCGTAGCTTGGGCACAGCTGCACGCCACGAGTCTCCTGTCGGAGTACTTGTTGTGTGTTTTGGCGCTGGTTTGGTTGGTGCTGGTTTGGTTGGCGCTGGTTTGGTTGGTGCCGTAATCGGCTTTGGTCGCTGCCGTATCCACGTTGGTGGGTGCCTCATTGACTTCGGTTGGGGGCGCTTTTGGCTCGATATGTGAGTTGACTGAAAATTGGCAGGGGGGCAGATTGTAGGCAGGTGGGAGCGTGGAGCTCATAATTCGCTGCGTTGTGTCCCGGCAAAATTACTTCTCCCCCTTCCCGCCCCCCCTCCCCGCCTTCCCGCCTCCCGCCTCCCGCCTCCCTCCCCCTCGCTCTCAGGCGGACGTCCGTTCGCCCGATGCTACAGCGCTGCGGTGTGGCGTCTCTGCAAGCTTATCACCCCCTCCCTCTCCCCCTCTCCCCCTCTCCCCCGCTCCTCCTCTCTCCCAGACCGATGTCCGGTCGCCCGATGCTACAGTGCTGCGGTGGGGCATCTCTGCTGACGTGGAGGCTCTTGCGTGGGACCCTCACGACAGCACGCGCTTCGTCGTCTCTTCTGAGGACGGGCTCATCTGCTGCCACGACACGCGGGCAGGCAGCAGCAACGCCACCGCCGCCCCAATCGCCAGCTCGGCGTCGGCACTTTCGTCTTTTCCGAACGCTCTCTTCACAATCCATGCGCACACCAAGGCGGCATGCACTGTGTCTTGGAACCCTAGAATCCCGAACCTACTTGCGTCAGGTTCGACTGACAAGACTGTGAAGCTGTGGGACCTATCAGGGAACCAGGCTCGGTGCTTGGAGTCGTCAAACCCGAAGTTGGGAGCGGTTTTCTCAGTGGCGTTTTGTGCGGATGCGCCTGGTTTCCTGGCAATGGGTGGATCGAAAGGGAAGCTCAAGGTGTGGGATACCCGAAAGGTTGCTGATGTGGGACAGAGGTTTAGAGTGGTGTGAGCACAGGATTTGTGTTTGACTAGAATCTCCACTGGTGTACCGTATGTTAGCGGTGTGCCTAAATGCACGTGTATGTTGTGATTAGAATCATCACTAGCTATATGCTAGCAGTGTGCCGATTCTCAAGCTGGTATGTGGATGTCTTTTCAGCATGGCTTCTCTAAGTCATGTTAAGCAAATATCCTTTCCTAATTTGGCTTTATGTGGACCTACGTGGCTGCTCACTCTTCTTTGTGGAAGGCTGGGGAGAGAGCATTTGCTCATGTAAACGTTTGAAAATATTATACATATTTGTACGCTTTCATATTTTCCTTGCATGTCATTTTGAGGACTCCCCCTCTCCAGTCATCACCGAACAAGGATTCTTAGTGGGTCAAGAAACGCGGCGGCGCGCGATCGGAGGGCTCTTGCTTGTTTGAGCGGCTTCGCTGCCCCGGGCAGAACTGCTAGAGTCGCCGCAGATTTGTCAGGAAGAGGAAATGGGTGTTTCCATACCACCCAAGTTAAATAATCCAGATTGCCAGCCAAGTTTATGTATTGGTCAGCTGAAAAAAATCATTCCTTACGTTTTTTTGCTGACTGGAGAGAGTGGACCTGGACAGGTGGTGTCTGCTCGTTCCACCCTGGATCTTGTGGCCCTATTTTTCCGAAGGGTACTCGGGCAGAGTAAATCAATGACGACGGTGGATTTGTGCGCCGCCTTGTTCACCGAAGCTAGTCGCGCAGACTCGGCGCTTACGAAGCATATTGAACCGTCAATTGCCTCGACTCGAATCACCTAAATCGTCGATGTGCCCCTCTCTCGCCCCTTTTTGCTGATATTGACCGCGTCTCGACACGTCGGGCAGGTTAGTGCCTGAAAGTTCTTCCCCAATGTCAGGGCCAACAACGACAACCCAATGGCCTTCCCCTTCCCTCACTTCCCCTGAGCTGCGCCCCAACGATCCCCCCTACGCCGCTCCCCCCAACACCATCCTGCTGCAATTGACCGGAGCGTGCGACGCGAAATTCTGGGACGGGTGAAACTCGTCGCTCATAACAACATTGAATTGTCGCACAGGGGCGATTTCTACACGAATATCCAGGACTGGAACATCGCAGAAGGCCACCTCGTTTGTCGCCTATGCATTCCCCATTTCCCCCTCATAAACTCCCCGCATATGTCCTGTCCACACCACAATGGGGATGGGCGGGTGGGCGGGCTCTCGCGCGCTCACACTCTGCCCGTTCCGCCATTGACAGTCGGCCCTTTCCGCCAAGGAATCTCACCACTGTGCACCTTGAAACTTTATCCAGGGAACAACTTCTCACCTCGGAAGTACCAAGTCCGACCCATTGCTTCTGTCCTGGACATCTCCAAAGATCACAGACAGGTGGCGAGCTGGATGTGCTAGTGCTGTAAGCTCACTGCTTTTTCGAGCTTGGTTGCAGCTTTGATGGTTTTAATGGCGGTCTAGAGATGATACGCTGTACGGTTGTCTCGTAAACTTCGATTTTCATCAGGTCGGTTCTTCTCGTGTCTCGACCACTCATCTCTACGTTCGGTTCTGGGTTGCGCGTTCAACGTTGAACCTCGAAGCTGGTCGTTCCTGGGAAGCTTTAGTTTCTGCATGGCGTTTATCAAAGATGCATCTTCGATCGACTCAATCTCCTTCCCAGAACTCACCTGGTCCGCTGTATCTGGTTCACGGAGCCGCTGATTCAGAATCACTCGGTTGACATTTCGTCGCAGAACGTACTTATACGACATTTGCGAGTTTATGTACCCTTGGCACTAAGTGTACGTTTGCCGATCACTCGGATTTAGAAGGACCATACAATCATGGCGTGCGCGCAATCCTTCCGCGTCGACCGCGTCAGGTCGATTCTCCTGATCCTTTCGGTATCCCTGACGGTGCTCAGCAGACCAGCCGGCGGGAATTTCAGACCGTCGAATTTAGTCAACGTGTTTCCGGTGACGTCTAAACGATTGATAGTGGCTAGTAATAGCGGTGGTGGTGGTGGAGGTGGTGGTGGTGGTGGTAGCAGTATCAGCTCACAGACTCAGGCCTCTCGAAGCTCCTCCTCCGGTATCGTCGCGTCGCTTCGAAGTTTCACATCAAGTAGCGATCCCACGAGATATTCCAACACGGTCCATCGACCACAGTCGTCGGTAGTAGCTGGACAGTCAACGGTCATGGCAGCCGCTGAAGCGACGAAGCGATCGCGGGAACTGCGGATCGCGCGAAGCTTCGCTGTAGGGCAATGGAATCGCCGCAAAGCGCTGCCGATTCGGTACCACGGCGGGTGGGTGATGGCGAAGGTCCCGATCAAGGTCTTTATTATCTACTACGGCTCGTGGTCCTCGTCAGAAGTAAACATCGTGGAGAATTTCATCTACTCGCTCTCCAACAACAACACCACGCCTAAGGTGTGTGACTTAAAAAATTAGTACCGTATAAGAGCTTTTTTATCAACTCGCCCTCCAACAACAACCCAAGGTATAGCTAGCTGTTTCTTGAGACGATTCAGGGACTCGAGGGTTCTCGGCTAAGTTCGTCCGTTCAAACTTCTTTGTGTTTGTGTACGTATATTCGTTCAGACTTCTTCGTGTTTGTGTACGTATATTCGTTCAAACTTCTTTGTGTTTGTGTACGTATATTCGTTCAGATTTCTCGAGCAACCACACCATGATCGTGTTTTGCCTGCTCTGTTCCGCTCCCCGCGCGCATCAACCCACGCTTCGCTCCCCGCGCTCATCAACCTACGCTTCGCTCCCCGCGCTTGAGTCGACTAAAGAATCCGCTCATCGGAGCTCTGCCTGTTTGTGCGTCCGTGTCTGTTTGCCTGAATGTGCGAGCAGGACGCCAAGGCGGTATCGGCGTGGCAGTGGTGGCAGATCAATCGACCCGTTATTGACAGTGTTGAGCATCTTTCTCAGCCATGTTTTGCGTGCGTTCGTCTGTGCGTGCGTGCGTGCGTGCGTGCGTGCGTCTGTGCGTGTGCGTGTGCGTGTGCGCATCTCCGCGTGTGCTAGCAGGACGCCAAGGCGGTATCGGCGTGGCAGTGGTGGCAGATCGCCACGCTATACACCATGAAGCGGGGCAGCCAGACGGTGTCCGTCTCGTCGCAGGTAGTACGTCGCACTCGAGAAGTTGGAAGGGCTGAGAGTCAGTCGAGACACACTATTTCGCTCTGCTCAAGCTCTTTTTGGTTTCCGCCTTCGCGCCTGCTCTCCTCCTATCCCGCTCTCCGCCTATCCCGCTCTCCGCCTATCTCGCTCTCCTCTCCTTAGTTCACGTGGATCAGAGACCCACTTTCCTCTTCTTCCTTTCTGACCCTATCCTCGATACAAGCAGGTCCAGTTCCGCAAGCGAGTATTCGACAAGTATTCACTTGGAAAAGTGATCAAAGAGGACTTGGGGGGCGTCTGGCAAAGTGAGATCTACTTTTCGCACCTTAGATTCGCCAACCTTCGCCAAGCTTCGCCCATCTTTGGCCATAGTTCGCGGCCATAGTTCGCGCATCTCCTCCCATCTCCCTCTTTCCTTCTATTTCCCTGTTGTGCCCATTCCGCTACCTCTCCTCTCACAAAATCCTCCTCGTTATCATCAAATCTCTTCCCCTCCTCACCACCCTCACTATCCCCTCCCTCTCCCCCTATCTGATACTTTCTCCTCCCCATCCGCCCCACACCTCCTGCCTCTTACCCCCCTCTCCCCTCGTCCTTCCTCCCCGGCTTTCCCCCTCCCCCAGTAATCGACCAACAGCTGCGCACCCGGGCCCTTCCCATCGACAGCTCAGCGCAGTACCTCGTGCTGACGAGTGCTGACGTGGCGCTGGGCGACCGGGAAAAAGGGTTCTGTGGGCGGTCAGGGTACTGCGGATTCCACTCGTTCGCCACGGACGGCGTGAGCTACATCAAATACGGCTTCGTGGGCAACGGCGAGAAGTGCGGCACGCGGTGCATGCGCACAGGGGGCAGCAAGTGAGTGTGTGCTGCGTAGTTGTGTTGTGTGCGTTGTGTATCGAGTCAAAAGGGGTACTGCGGGTTCCACTCGTTCGCCACGGATGGCGTGAGCTGCATCAAATACGCATTTGTGGGGAACGGGGAGAAGTGCGGCACGCGGTGCATGCGCACTGGGGGCAGCAGGAGAGTGTGTGCTGTATGCTGCTGTGTGCTTGCATCCATTCAGGGGGTACTGCACATACAGGTTGCTGGCATGACACTTTGGGGAGCAGAGAGCAGCGGGAATCGAGCATGGAGGATTTCGGGTCTGACTCCCCCTGCTCAGCCTTTTCCACCTTATTCCTTGCCATCATACCCCTTGCCATCTTACCTTGCCATCTTACCTTGCCATCTTACCTTGCCATCTTACCCCTTGCCATCTTACCTTGCCATCTATCCTTGCCATCTTACCTTGCCATCTTACCTTGCCATCTTACCTTGCCATCTTACCCCTTGCCATCTTACCTTGCCATCTATCCTTGCCATCTTACCCCTTGCCGCCTTACCCCTTGCCGCCTTACCCCTTCCCCACCTCCCTCCAGAAGAACGCCCAATGGCAAGCGGGGAGTGGATGGGATGATAAGCATCGTGGCTCACGAGGTGGTGGAGACGGCCAACAACCCGCGCATCGAGGGCGGGTGGTACGACGCACTGGGAGCGGAGAGCAGCGACAAGTGCATGACTGATTTCGGGCCCTCGGTGGCTGTAGGGGGGAATGGGTACAGCTACAACATGGTGGGGCAGGGCGGCATGCAGTGGCTGGTAGAAAGTAACTGGCGACCCACTGAGCCGCAGGGGTGTGCCATGACGCGGTACTGAGGGGCTTGATGCGGTTCTGGCAGGTTGTGGTGCAGTACTGAGGGGTTCAGTGCATTGGTGGGGCAGGGTGGCATGCAGTGGCTGGTGGAGAGTAACTAACTGGCGATCCACTGAGCTGCAGGGGTGTGCCATGACGCGGTACTGAGGGTTTTGATGCGGTGCATGCAGGTGTGTCATGGTGCAGTACCGAGGGGTACAATGCGGTGGGGGTTGGTACAGCTGCAACAGGGTGGGGCAGGGTGGCATGCAGTGGCTGGTAGAGAGTAACTGACGACCTGTGGAGCCGCAAATGTGTGTCATGGCGCGGTACTAGAGGGGTTGGAAGCGGTGCTGACTTGTTCCCCATGGCGCGGTACTGTGGGGTTGGACGCGGTGCTGGGCGGTTGCGTTGTGGTGGGGTACTGAGGTATTGGATGTGGAGCTGATGGGTGCATAATGACACGGTCACATGGCACACTACAGAAATTACCCGTATGGACGTCTGGTGGTTGGAAACGCAGCATCTTGGGCTCGGGCTTGCTGAGATCAGGATTCAAGGTTTCGGTGGTGATGTGGGGCTGTGCTGCTGATTTCTAAGTTATACTGTAACTGCTGCTGATGGTGGTGGCCAAAGAAGAGAAGGGAATCACCTGAAGCGCTGTTCTGTGTGGAGGCTGAGACACGGCTTCGCTACTGTGTGCAAGCAGTGAAGGCAGAAGCCAAGGTTCGCCCTTGCTGGCATGGCTGCTAACACACTAACAGGTTTTGGTGCATCTATCTAACCCACTACATGTGATGCCAAGTAAAGTTGCTGTCCTGTTGGTATTATTTCGGAGAAACTCTGCTGGCTAGGCTGTGCTGAAAATTCAGTAGGTTCTGAAGGACTATAGTACAGTTAAAAGCCTTCATTTCTGTGGTGAGATCATAATGAAAGAGATCTTAAAAATAGGACAATAACACACAGCTCAACGTCCCAACCCCAACCAACACTTTCCCCTCTTGCACCATACATTTCCCCCTCCGAAGCTACCTAAGAGCGGGAGATGTATAATGCGAGAGATCGCCATAACAAAGAGCGAAGCACCCTAAAGTGAAGCCCACTAGTTGCCGACAAGCACCGTTTGGCCGACCAGACTCACACCTCCACCACAGTTGTCAGAGGCATGTCCGAACCAGCAATGCTCGTTTGGCTCCCGAACCTCTTTCTGCGAACCTGCGCGCGGGGCTCCAAATTGCAGCCACTCACCGACCCTCCCCGAGCCTACGGCACACGCGTCCAAGCTTTCGCGATCCGTCAGAGAAACACCGGCCTCGTTTTCCGAGTCTGGGTATCGCGAATCTATGGTCACAGCATGCGAGCTGGTTACCAGGCGGGAGCTTGTAACTGAAGCAGGAGCGCTGCGAGGCCGAGCTGGAAAGATGGGAGTGGTAACGGAAGCGGCGGCGGAAGAAACGGGCTTCAGCGGGGAAAAGAAAGACAAGATGCTAGAGGCGGCGGAAAGCGCGGAGGCGGTTATAGACGTCCTTTGCTGATGAGTCCGAACGGGCTCTTTGCTGGTAATACTGCCGGAGAAGGTGGTACTGGGGGAGGTAGTATCTGAGTGGGAAGAGGTTGCACTCGTAGCAGGGGAGCTGCTGGTACTGCTGGCGCCGACGCCAATGCTGCTTCTATCGCTGCTGCTACTATCGAAGCCACAGCTGCTACTGCTGTCGCCTCTGGCGATCTCGCTGCCGCTGTCGCCTGCGTCGCCGTTGTTACTGTTACAGCTGCTGTTACTCGTACTGCTGCTCCACCGACCGCTACCAGTGAGCGTACTCGCGAGGAGCTGAGGCAAGAAGAAACCGTACGACCGCGAGAACGACGTTTCATCTCCCTCTGAAGAAGCTTCCTCCGCAAGCAGCTGCTCATGCAGCACCTTACAGTACGAGGAGAACTCCGTTTCAGTTACATTCAGCTGAAAGTTGAGCCGGAACAGAAACTCCAGCTCTAAGCGGTTCATCTCCTCTATCGAGATCCCCCCGACTTTCGCATAATACGCGTTATTGTAGTACGCGTCGTCCATAAACTTGACCGCTACAAGAATACTCGTTATAAGCAGCCGATGGACGTTGAGCGTCGTTATAAGCATGGCGTCCTTCCGTTGCATGATCCGATCGATGTAAATGTAGGCCATCACGTAGCACGACGGACTGCACCGGGCGTATTTAAAGATTCGGTCGAAATACTTTTCGATGCTGATTCCAGGAGAGCGGAGTCCGTCGAAAACGGTCAGGTGCGACGCGTGGTCGTCGGCGCAGCTCGCGCCGCAGTTTCCGGCGCTTTCAGTGGCGAGATTCGAGGTGGAAATGGATTCGTTGCTGGCGACGATGCGGTTGAGGATCGTGGCGAACACGTGGAGGACACGTGGCTTGTCGGTGAAAGAGAGCGAGTCGATGTCAAGTGCGGCGAAAGCGGGAGTGCTGCTCGCGTCTTTTGTGAACATCACCCTTGGAGCTGTTTCTGCGCGAGCCGTGACCATGGCGGTGGTTTGTGTGCGACGCTCGAAGCCCGAAACTCCATCGGCGCCTGAGTTTCCGATGCAATCTAAATCTCCTCTGGTGGCGCCCATGTCGTGCGGAGAATAAATGGCCTGGATCCGAAGGAAATTGCAACGGCGACTTGCTTCAACGAAAGTCGGGAAGAAGAAAGTGGAGGAACTGACTGATTTTGGATGGTTTGAACTGAGGAGCTTGCGAGTTGAACGGTAACGAAGTGGAAATATATGCTTTTCAGCGACACGGGTGCTTTTCTTTCTTGCGCTTGCCAGCGGAAGGAGCGGCAAGAGAAGCGCAGGTGAGGCAAAACAGAGGGAATTTCGGGAGGTGGGGGAGGGAAGGGGGGGGGGGGGATCGGTGGGGGCAGGTGACAGGACAAGACGGAGCTCGATACCGTAGGGTGCGGGGCTGGGCGGGGTGGGGGGAAGGGGTGACGAGGGGATCAGACGAGGCAAGGAAACGCGTCTGGTCGTGCTGGTGAATGCTGACCTGTGCAAACCTGAACACGGAAGGACGAAGTTGCTGCTCATTCCGGAAGATCTCAGCCATTGATTACAACCGAATCGACCTAGATGAAACCGGAAATGGCCAGATGAAACAAGGCTAGCTAGGCTCCCCTCCTTGGCAAATGACACGCGGGGGGGGCTAGCTAGACAGATCTCGGAAAGTAGCCGCCAAGTAGACACCGCCGACACGGGATAGGTTGGGGTGGGTGCGGGAGTCAGACTGGCGAAAGTTCGGATGCCCCAATGAGATGCGACATTCACAGGGTTACCGCGCTTTCCTCGTTCAAAAGGCGGGATTCGGTAATGACGTGGAGCGACTCGAATGTGGTCACCCTTGGGTTTCGGATTGGCGGCTGGTCGTGTGACGTAGGTGAACAGTTGGTGAAGGGGGTGAAAAACACGATCCATCGGGCAGGGCAATACTGGGCAATCATGTTGCTTGCTGAGGTGTTTTCGTTTGTCAAGCGGGAAATACCTTTATTGGCTCTACCAGCATGTGCTGGCGGAAGTGTTGTTCCCTGTTTAGCGCGAAGAGCTCCTATTTGTGGTGACTACCTTTGAATCTCCGATTCCCGTATGGATCGTGGTCGTGCAAGAAAGCAGACCAGTTAGCTTACGAAAAAGAGAAGGCAGGTCCCTTTTCGCACACTAAGGACGTGGGCCCAATCGACTTTGATCGGCGCGATCAGAGACGATCTATAACTTCGAGGAAGGCGGGAAGCCAAATTCAGGCAATCGGGGGCGATCAACTGATCGCGATCCGCTGATCGCGCCAACTCGATCAACCGCCTCGAACAGCCCAATCAGACCTGATCAGACACAATCAGCCCAGATCACTTGATTGCATGTGATCGGGGCCCTGGGCGATGCAAGCGAAATGTAACACGCCTCGCCATGAGGTCTCTAAAATCCTCGCTCATACATTCAGACCAGCGAGAACTGTTCTGGAGCGGACCCTGAGCGCAGTGCGATATTTGCGACATTACCACGATACTTGGATTCGCCCATCTCGCCATAGTCGGGGTGCAACTACCAGGTAATGGGCCACCAGTTGTCATGCAAGACCGCAGAATATTCGAGGAAAATCGATTCTGATCGGGCGGCGCGAGAAAAACGATCACAAGCAATCGATCCAATCCAACCCGATCAGATCCGAGCCGATCAAAGTCGATTCGGCCCACTTCGTAAGCCACTTGTAAGGAAAATTCCTTTTTCCTTGCTTCGTGTCCCTCCTCAGCGCGTACACCACTGTTCCCGCCAACAGCACCCAACAGTAAACCGTTACCACTCGCGACACTCGCCTCAACTACTTTTCCCGCCACTGTTCACGACGCGACCCAACCTCACGGTTCGGTTGGTAACCCGCGCTCCAGACCTCCGCCTTGACATTTCCCAACCTCGGGGCTAGGCCCGTCGCGCACCCCATTTTCACGCATTACCGTTACTACTGAAGTTTCGCTATATGTTCTTCGCTCATGCCTTCGCTCATTGTTTTGTTTGTTTCAATAGTGCAATTCTCGCTCGCTCGCTCAATTGCACTCGTAACACCTATGTACAGAGTGTTTTTTTCACGTCTCGCGCACGAACATGGTTCTTAAAGACAATTCCGCGGTACAAACAGCTTAGATAACAAGTTTTCCTAAGGCTCACACGATAGGTTCACATGTACAGTCCATGCCATTTAGGAACTCACAACAGCAAACCAGTTACAAATCAGTTACACACCATGCTCCATGACTAACCACTTCACATTTGTTTACCTTGAAACAACCCGCTCTATAGCTTGATCTGCCTTCTTGATCTGAGCCATGTAGTCATCAACCTGCATAACAAGTGCATACCCTTTTAGTTGACGCAAACAAAGACAGGAAAACAAGATGCTCCCATCTGTCCCCCCATCTCCCTCGCTCTCTCTCCCCCTCACCCCACCTCCTCTCTCCCCTGCCCCCCCATCTTTCCCCCCTGTTCGCTCTCCCGCCCTCCCCCCACACTCCACTTTTCCAACTCCCGCCACCCCTTACTCCCCCCAACCAACCAACCAAGCCATAATCAACGCCTGCTCTTGAAGACCCTGTTCACACCTGTTCTTGAAGTCCCTGTAGCCGCCTTGCTCCAATTTCCCGAACCACGAGTTTCTCCAGTCTCGCCTCCAGTTCCCGAACCTCCTCCTTGTGCCGTCTCCGCACCTCCTCCAAAGCAGCAACAAGAGGAGCCTCGGCCCGGACCGATCTCACCCGAGCCTCTGCAGCATCGGCCCGAGCCACCGCCACTGACTCTCTTAGCTTCCCAACCTCTTGCTCCCGAGCCTTCCTCTCCTCTGCCAGGGCCTCCCGAACCTCAGCCAGCTGCATTTCCAAACCTGGAATTTCCTCCGTCATTCTCCCAAGCAGAGCAGCCATTTCTTTCTGCTGCCGATCCTCCTCCTCCAGTATTCTCCTCGCATCTATTAACTGTGCGGTCAGCTCCCGAAAACTTTCCACATCGACCGATTCCCGTTCCTGCTCCACCCTCTCCAGCTGCGAGCGAAGCTCCCGCACAACTGCAGATTTTTCTTCTGCCCGGAGTTTGGCCTGAAAGAGAGTAGCTCTGGTGGTCTCTATGGCTCGGCGGACTTCCAGCAAGGAAGACTCAAACGATGCGACTCGCCCTGAGAGCTCAGCTGCTGTGGCTATTGCTGTTGCCACTTCAGGCTGGTGCTGCTCCCTCTCAGTCTTCATTCTGATGCAAGGGAGGCAAGAGACAACGGGGAGGTAAAATAACAGCTCCATAACCAGTGTTTTCATGTTAATCTTCATGTAGATATATTTAAACATACATACACATATATAATGCCCTTTGTTGCTGTTGTTTTGATGGAATGCGATCTCCCCGAGCAGGGCAATGGTTGCAAGCACTACCTGCCAGCCTCTCACAATAACCCTCCCTCCCATCCCTCCCCTCCACTGTCCTCCCCACTACCTCACTCTCCTCCGCCTTTCCTCCCTGGCCCCTTCCCCCTCCTCACCCGCCTGTCATCTCTCCTCCCCCCACTCCCAGACACACACTTACCCCTCCAAAGCAGCAGTCAGCCAGACAGCCGTCTCTGATTCCACCATTTCCGCTGCCTGGTACCCTCGCCCCTCCCGCCGCTCAAGCCCCTCCCGCCCCCTTCCCCCTTCTCACATGCTCCACACTTACCCCTCCAAAGCAGCAGACAGCCAGACAGCCGTCTCTGATCCCATCGCTTCCCCTGCCTGGTACCTTCCACCCTCCCCTTCCTCCCGCTCCCTCCGCTGCAGCTCCTCCGCTCTACTCACATCCCCCTGCAGCCTCGCCCACTCCTCCGCGCGCCTCTCCTCCTCCGCCTCCCCCTCCTCTGCCTCCACCCGCGCAACCTCCGCCTTCAGCTTCCCCCTCTCCTCCTCCACCTCCCCCCGCCTCCGCTCCAACTCAGAACTCGTCTCCCGTACCTTCCCCCACTCCGCCGCTAGCGCCTTCCGCACGCCCGCGTAGAGCGCCCTTTCCTCCTCGACCTTCTTAGCCTGCGCCGCGATCTGCGCTTTAATCTCCGCCAGCTCCTCCTCGCGGCGGCTGCGCTGCTTCATCACGTGCTCCGTGACCTCCTTCGTCAGAACCAACTCGTTTGTGAGCGCCTCGATTTCCTCCTGAAAACGCATGTAGGGGCATTTGAAAATCATACGTGTAAACAAGAATCAAACTTGATAGATTTTCAGCAACCCATTTTATCACGCACTCCCAATCCCAACAGCTCATTCTACCATTAGCTCACTCTGTCGGCACCAACACGTGCAGCAGAACCAGCCTATCACTCACCCTCAATCCCAACACGTGCAGCAGAACCAATCCAGCACTCACCCTCAATCCCCACGATTTTTTCAATTCGTGAACAACCAATCCATAACTCACCCTCAATCCCGACATTTCCTGCGATTGCCGTCGCATGACCTGCCCCTCGATCTCCGCCACGCGTCGCATCGTCGCAATCTCAGCCGTCTGATCCACCTCGATCCTCGCGATTCGCTCCTCGTACGAAGACACCGCGGCGGCCGTGGCGTCTTTGATCAGCCGCAGCCGTTCCGACTCCCACTGCTTCCGCCGCGCCTCCAACTCCGATTCGCCGGAAGGCCCGTCGCTCACATTCCCTTCGTCGCTGCTGCTCCTTGATTGGTCGACGACCGTTGCGACGCTCGCCTGCGACTGCGCGTGGGGCGCTACGGCCTGGAGAATGGAGCGAGGCTTGAAAGATGACGACTGGAAACATGGGACGCGGGAAAAAGGGGTAACGAGGCCGTGAGGGAGGAGACGGAATCAAATTGTGAGTCATGCACGAATGACGATTTACGCTCCACTTTTTACGGAGGATGCTGGTCGTGGATGAAGGGGAAGGGGCAAATAGGATGAGACTGTGAGGAAGTAAGGGCCAGTGGGAAAGAGCAACGGCCTAAGAACGGCTAAAATGTAAGATGTCGAACGGAAAGCTGTGGCGGGCAGGTAAGGCGGAATTTGGAAGTTAGGGAAGCGAAGGGACGCCAACCTTTCCGTTGCATGATGGGAAGCGCGATGAAGTTGAAAACGCGCTAAAAGGTCCCAGCCTGGCCGGCGTGAGAGCCCTCTGCGGTAGGCGTATCGCAGTCATGGAGCCAGCGGTCTGTAAACTAGCTTTGGTGCAGCCCGCCGAAGCGGGAGACGCCGCAATAGCAGCAGCAGACATAAGGTGTGGTGTACCGTATCCTGTGGCAATAGGAAAATCGTAGTTGTAACTGGGTGCTGAAGTAGAGTGAAGAGCTAAGGTCGTCTTGGTTCTTGAATGGTTCAGGCTGAGATAGAGGCGTAATGGGGACGGAAAATGGAAGCGCGCGGTGTGCTGTTATGGAGGTAGCAAAGAAACGAGTGGTGTTCGACTGTCTTCTAGAAAGTAACACGAATGTGGTCAAATACATTCGAGAAGGGGAATGGGAAGGGGTGGGGAAAAAGGAGAAGTTGGAAGATTGGAAGTTGGGATGGAAACTTGGAAGTTGGAACTGGAGGAAGAAAACCTCCCCTTGTTGGGGGTGGCTATGGCAAAAGGAGAACCCAATGTCTCTGTCCACATAAATCGCCCCTTTGGATTTCCTCGAGAAAACATTTTCACCTATGACCGTGTGTGTGAGACAGCTTGCTCGTTCCCCTTTTCGCAAAAGGCTTTCTCCCCCTCGGTTCTGTTCGTTGCAGAGTCGCACGCAACGCGACGCGAGTCCGTCCGTGCGATACGAGAACGGAGTCGAATTTCTCCGACGAGTGACGTACATCCACGTGGAGCTATCCAGTTTCCCAACACTAGATGTCGTACTCGATTCAGTACAATGCGGTTCTGTGGCGAGATCTCAGACAAGCATTTGCAAATGCTGCTTATGCTATTTCAGAATACTCTCAGGTCCCCGCCGACCGACCCGATAAACGTCGTCGTCAGGTTGGTTCTGTACATACTGTATCGCTCCAATGACCGTGTCGCTTCTCTTGATGATGTGACGGTCCACAGTACACACTGTTGGCCTTCTGAATTATCGCCCAGCCCTTGTGTGTTCTTGCAGCCCCTCTGGCGCTGGCCCCACTTTCGACCAATCAGAAGTCTCCAGCGCGATGACGTGCTCGGACGGAATTCCGAATGTCAGGTGAAAAAGGGAACAAGGTCATCCTTTCCGCATCACCACCACCACCACCACCAGGAAAGAAAATGATTCCTCCTGACGCTTGTTTGCCTGATGCGCGTCGCATGGGCTCCGAGTTATCAGGTTTCGGACGGATGGGTAGCGGTTTAATACGGTAATGCGCTTAAACCGCTTCTCTTTGCGCAGCACCGTGCTCAACCGCGCAGACAGAACATCAAGTGAACTTGTGATGCCTTCACCCTCCTTTTCCTGCTCTGACACTTCTGATTTTCCTGAAGATATCCTGCCAAGCACTTCTTACATATTAGATATTCAGGCGTCTGAATTTTGCATGAAAGTCTTCCAGGAAGCCTGAATGTTTGTTAGGCGCGAGCTAGCGTCTAGAAAGGCTGGCGTGGGAGGAAGATTGTTGCACGAAGAGTTCAAACGGGACATCTCTTTTTTTTTTCACAACAAGCTCGCAGCCTTTTCAGGCGATGCTACATTACTGAGGACCATCGGAAGAGCCACCATGGCGCTGTGTTAGCATCTCATCAGAGGAGAATCTTGTCGTATGCAGGTTACTGTTACGTCGTTTAAACAGTGATTAAGGACTGCTTTCTGCGACATCATGGATGGTACCGGCTTACTCCCGTCAGAAAAGGTGGACATTCTGCTGGATGAGGAGAGGTTCTCAACCTGTCCCAAGACTGAAACAGAGGACAATGTTGCTGGAGCAGGCAGTAACGTCGAGACTAAGAAGCTTATCAGCCGTGAAGACGAAGCAGACGGCCTGGAACGTGATGCATACACGGTCAACGGTTTAAAGGCTAATGCGGACACGTCAGACGCGCCAGGCTCCAAAGACGTCGTCGCTTCAGTCCAAGAAAGGCCAAAGAAGCGGCGCAGGTCTCCAACGATCCTTTCATATTCTCATTTTCATTTACGTGGTGTGCGACAACGTGCTTGGGGAAAATGGGCATCGGAGATTCGTGACACGGATAATATTCGCCTATGGCTCGGAACGTTCACGACGGCTGAAGAAGCGGCTTTTGCTTACGACGCAGCTTCTCTGGCTATCCGTGGAGCTGATACCCGGCTTAACTTTGAAAGGAGTCGCATGTACGCATCGAACATGGCTGACATCAGGGAGCAATGCGGTGGAGTAGTCGGCCCGGCGTTTCGGACTGCTCTCGCGAAAGAAACGGCTCGGCTTATCGGCGAAGGAGCTCTTGACGGCATCGTCGCTGACTCTCCGGGATGTGCCCATCTGCTAAGGTCGATCAATGTCCCAGCGTCTGTCGCTACATTTGCAGTACCGGATCATATCTCAGAGCGTATCGATTTTTTGGCGGAAACGGCGGCACGGCGACGACAGACCCAGATGACTGCCAGTATTCCGCGAATGAATCCGGTTCCTGCACCCGTTGAGACCAGGCCGAGACCGTCATTGATTCACAGCAACAGGGCTCCGTCTGTGACCGGGATTAAGGCCGGACCAAAGCAGGCTAAGAAGGCGCAGCATTATATTTATTGTGAGTCGGATGGTGAAAATCTTGAGAGCGAGATTGACGCTCTCTTTGCTTTACGTCACAGCAGCAAGAGCGCTGCTTGTAACTCACGTGATAATGTCTCAGGTCCCCTTGGATTTGGCGACGGCCATTGGTGGCAACCATCAAAGAGCGGCTGTGAAAATGTTCAGGGGAGTTCGGGAGCAGCCACTTTCAGCTTCAATGATGGTGCGAGCGGCGGTGCATTTGGAGGAAATGTCAGCGGTGGTGGTATGGATGACTGGAGCTCGTACATAGAAACGGATTCGTTCACTGCAGTTCCCACAACCGCAACTACCACAGTCACAGATTGTCTAACAGGGGAAGGCGGGAGCGCAAGCGGTTCAGGACAGAAGGAGTCTGGGAATAAGCTTTGTCGTTCAGGGAGCTGTACAGACATTGTCAACCATTTCTTGGCAGATGGAGACGAGTGCGAGGACCCTGTTGTGCTTCAAGGTAACCGACATAACCACCACTTCTCAGGAGGCGACTCAGTCCGCACTGCTGACTCGCAATACAACTCCACTGCTGTTGATCTCGTGGCCGCTGCAGATGGTACCAATGCTGCTCCTTCCATTATTTCGTCTCCTGGTGCATTTTCTGACATAAGCAAAGGTCATGCAGGCTATGATGATGTTGACGGGATCATTCCTGAGCTGCACGGTTTGGCAAAATTCCTGGAGGAGACCCCCATGTCTCCACTGCATCTAGCCTCAGGCAGTCCTTCGTCAACTGAGAGCAACCCCATTTTTGCTGAAGACCCAGCACCACTCCACCTTCCATCTGCAGCGCTCTCGGCGCAAGCTACGCTAGCAGCTTCTGAAGTCCCCCAAGCAGCTGTACTGTCATGTTCACGACCTCTTGCTGCAGCTGCCGACCCACCTGCTCGCTTGCTCTCCTACCCGAACTTTACTCGTATACGCGCACCTCCAAGCCAATCAAATCTGCGTCACCTCGCCAATGTCAGGCAGGCACAGGCGCTCATGCTTCCATCGCCTGCTGCTCCTGCGTCTTGCACTGACCTGCCTTTGCAAGGAGCGTATGTACCAGGCCCTACTACTGCTGGCGCTTTCTCTGCACCACGTATGTCTCCCTCTCTGGTTTCGCCACTCTCATTTCCAATGCAGCAGCCTAGCTCAACCATGGCCCCATCATCTTCTGTTCCTGCATTTCAAGCTTTTCCGCTCTCCCCTGCATCTCGCCGCTTGCAACTTCCTCCAGCTCCTGCTATATTGCCATCACATCGACCCCTTAACACCTCTTTTCCTGCCTTCGCTACCAGCAACGAGTGCCAGTGCTGCTGCCATTGTCACTCCACGCAACAGCAACAGGCGCCTCTTCAGGGCGGGGTGCAGAGCAACAGTATGCACAAGGTGCAGACAGTTACCAACACCAGCGTTCTGGTTGATGCTCCTCCTACCTCCGGAGCTCCCCTTTCCTCTACCGCTTTTCCTGTTACAGCTGCTGCAGCTTCTGGAAGCCCCGCAAAGAGCAGCCGCCACCTGTTGGTCATGCCTAAAGTGGGAGTTGCATGGAATCTGAAGTCATGTGACAAGCCACGGCACCAGCAGCCTTTGGGTCCCAAGTCTTGGCAGCAACCACAGCCGCATCTGCAGCCAAATCAGCCAATGGTCCATCAGCCTCGGCAGCCACAGCACCCTCACCAGCCTCAGCAGCCACAGGCACAGCACCCGATGCTGCACCTGCCACAAGGACAGCCACAGAGTGCAATGCAGCAACAGCTGAGGCCTAAGCAGCAACAACAGCGACAATCTCTGCTGCAGGTGCCATTGCCAACTGAGAAGGAAGATAAGGAGGAAAGGAAGGAGGTGGTTGGTGGTGCATCTGGTGCTTCCATTCTGGGCGGAAGGTCCCCTCCTCTCCCACCTCCTCCTCGTCCACCTCCATCTAAGTACCCCTCAGGGCCACGACCAAAGCTCACGCCGTTCCTTCTGTCAGCCATTGCCAACAGCAAGGCCAATGCTTCTGCAGCGTCCCTGGTGCAGAACAGTCCAGTGACTCTACCAGCTGTGGCGAGCGTGCCAGTGGCACCAGCATCACTTCAGCCTGTAACGGTATCAGCACTTACTGAGGTTGCGGCTATGCCAACACTTCATCTGAATGCTGGTGTGGCAGGGGTTCTCAATCTCGAAGAAGCACCAACAGCATCAGCGCCTGTTCAGCAAGCACCAGATTCTGCACCTCAGGATGCAGCAACAGCTGCACTTCCTCAGCAAGCACCAGTGTCCGAACCTCAGGAAGCCGTTCAGCATACGACAGCACCATCACCTCTCAAGCAGGCACCTAGTGGCACCTCTTAAGCAGGCAGAGGCATCATGTAAGCAGGCTGCAACAACAGCATTGAACCAGTAGGCAGACGCATCAGCACCACTCGATCAGGCAGCAGTATCTGCATCACTCAAGCAGGAACCACTTCACCATCACTGACCTTGCACGTA